GTCCAGATGGTGTGTGTCCAGATGATGTGTGTACAGATGTGTGTCCAGATGGTGTGTGTCTAGATGTTCTGTGTACAGATGTGTGTACAGATGGTGTTTGTACAGATGGTGTGTGTACAGATGTGTGTCCAGATGGTGTGTGGACTGATGTGTGTCCAGATGGTGTGTGTACAGATGTGTGTACAGATGGTGTGTGTTCAGATGGGTGTGGACTGATGTGTGTTCAGGTGGTATGTGTACAGATGTGTGTACAGATGGTGTGTGTTCAGATTGTGTGTGTTCAGATGGTGTGTGGACTGATGTGTGTACAGATTGTGTGTACAGACGTGTGTACAGATGATGTGTGTACAGATGTGTGTACAGATGGTGTTTGTACAGATGGTGTGTCCAGATGGTGTGTGTTCAGATGGTGTGTGTACTGAGGGTGTGTGTAAAGATGGTGTTTGTACAGATGGTGTGTGTACAGATGTGTGTACAGATGGTGTGTGTTCAGATGGTGTGTGTACTGAGGGTGTGTGTAAAGATGGTGTTTGTACAGATGGTGTGTGTACAAATGTGTGTACAGATGGTGTGTGTTCAGATGGTGTGTGTTCAGATGGTGTTTGGACTGATGTGTGTACAGATTGTGTGTACAGATGTGTGTACAGATGGTGTGTGTTCAGATGATGTGTGTACAGATGGTGTGTGTTCAGATGATGTGTGTACAGATTGTGTGTACAGATGTGTGTAAAGATGGTGTGTGTTCAGATGGTGTGTGTACAGATGAGTGTACAGATGGTGTGTGTTCAGATGGTGTGTGGACTGATGTGTGTCCAGATGGTGTGTGTTCAGATGGTGTGTGTACTGAGGGTGTGTGTACAGATGGTGTTTGTACAGATGGTGTGTGTACAGATGGTGTGTGAACTGAGGGTGTGTGTACAGATGGTGTGTGTACAGATGTGTGTCAAGATGGTGTGTGTACTGTGGGTGTGTGTACAGATGGTGTGTGTAAAGATGTGTGTCCAGATGGTGTGTACTGAGGGTGAGTATAGATGGAGTGCACAGATGTGTGTCCAGATTGTGTGTGTACTGAGGGTGTGTGGACAGATGGTGTGTACAGATGGTGTGTGGACAGATGGTATGTACTGAGGATGTGTACAGATGTGCGTCCAGATTGTGTGTGTACAGATGGTGTGTGTACAAGGTGTGTGTACAGATGGTGTGTGCAGATCGGTGTGTACAGATTGTGTGTATATATGGAATGTACAGATGGTGTGTTCAGATGGTGTGTACAGATTGTGTGTGTACAGATTGTGTGTACAGATGGTGTGTAAAGATGGTGTGTTTAGATGGTGTGTACAGATTGTGTGTACAGATTGTGTGTACAGATGGTGTGTTTAGATGGTGTGTACATATGGTGTGTACAGATGGTGTGTACAGATGGTGTGTATAGATGGTGTGTTTAGATGGTATACTGAGTGTGCAGAATGATGGGGGATGCCGGGTGATGCTGACAGTATCACCGAGATGTCAATGTGTTCTTCATTAACTGGTTTGCCAAGTAGTGATAAGACACTTGACTGGGTTATGGAATTCTTAAACGAAATTATCACCGCACACATGAAAAACAAAACAATTCGTGATGATCACCAAAGCTAAAGTATACCAATACTCCGATTAAATGAAGCGCCAGTAAAGACACATGTGCGAACCATCACATTCAGCGATGCGAACATAAAATGTTTAACACTTTCTCAGTTATAACATACAATAAATAGTAATTGTTGCTGTGAGCTTCACGACAACTGACACCTATGAGGTGGTGAGGTGAAATGGGGTTTAACGTCGCGTCCAAGATTATTGCACTTATATAGCGACGTGCATGCACGTGTTGGTGTGTGTGTGGCTGACTCATGCTCACTGAGATACCATGCCGCAGTTTAACATGAATATCCCACTCAGATACAGTATACTGACTCCGAGCCGACCAGTCCTTGTTTTAGCCCCTTTATGCCGAGCCCCAGACAGGGTAACAACAAGAACCATCTTTTAACGTCTATTGGTGGGGATCGAACGCCGGACCTTCCGCTCCTTGGGCGGACGCTCTACCACTAGACCACGGAGGCGGTCCTGACACCTATGAGTTCAGGCATCTCGCGACAACCAAGTGTTCTCATTAATGATTAAAAACTCTCACCTGTACAAGCTCTTCAACGGGGGTGTCCACCTCGAGTAGCTTTGGGGCGGTCGGGTAGCCTTGTGGCTAAAGCGTTCGCTCGTCACGCCGAAGACCGGGTTCGATTCCCCACATGGGTACAATGTGTGAAACCCATTTCTGGTGTCCCCTGCCGTGATATTGCTGGAATATTACTAAACGCGGCGCAAACCATACTCACTCACTCGTGTAGGTTTGTAGGTGAAATATAAATGGCCTTTTAACCGCCATCAACAACATAATAGCTGTAGTTAAGTCACCGATTCATAGTCAGGCCCTAGTAATGGTTCATAGAAGTAGCAACGATCCACGTCCTAGTAGTAATTCCAGACACAGCACTACTATGAGGTAATCTTGTTACAGAGCACTTTACTGTACACATGCGTATGCGATCATATGTGTCACATCATGCACGTGTTTTCTGTTCCAGTTTCTACAGATGATCCCTGCTTTGGTGAGAGGGTGCATGTTGCTGTAAGCCGCAGTCAGCAGTATTCCAGCTATATAACGGCGACCCCTAAATATTGGATCCATACCCAGACAAACCAGACATCTCGGTCAGAGGTGAACGACGACGCCAATTCATCCACGTCGCACCTTGTGAACACGCGGTCTGAATTTCGTCTTCTCTAACGAGAAACGTGGGCTGCTATTCTGTCCTGCTTGTCAGTTCACATATATTGTGGTAACGTTTTTACACCGGTGATTGAGTGAGTGAGTGAGTGAGTGAGTGAGTGAGTGAGTGAGTGTTGGCCATATCAAACAAGTTTACAACAATATTATTAAAAAAACAACTGTAGTCGAAGAACAATATATTCACCAGTAATAGATCACAGGTTTACTTAAAACTACCTGGAGAACATGTTATCAGGCTATTAGACAGCGGTAGAATAAAACTCAGGCTGTGGATCACCAGTTACCAAACTTAGGCTCCATGTTCGTCTATGTTTGACGCGTGTGGGCCTCATGACCAAGAAGACAGACTTCGCACGTCCTAATAGATGCGATCGTAAAATCATCACTGTAGACCAACCGGTGCTGAAGTTGTTTCTTTTGATGTTCTTCCGCCTGGGACCACGTGAATGGTTCGCTTTTATTGCATGCCGCATATAGAGGTGAGCGAGTTTAGTTTTACGCCGCTTTGAACAGTCTTCAGTTATATCACAGTGTCCCGCCTTGATGTGGGAGGAGAGCCTGAGGTGATGCGGGTCTCAGACATTCGTCCGGGTGAAACCCAGAAACATGATGATAAAAAGAGGTGCCAAAGATTTGTTGCGAGTTAGTTTTGCTGCAGCCTCAGCCATTGTGTTACCGATGATTCCAATATGGCTTAATGACCAACACAAGACGATGTGGTAGTGCTCAGAAGACAGAGCATTACAATGTACGATCTATAAATGTCCAGTATATAAGGATTATGTACAGAAACACTTCAGCCTGAAGGCATCAATGGGTATTAAGTAAGACCAGTGATCCGTGAAGATACGGGTTAGTGAGTGAGTGAGTGAGTGAGTAAGTATGGTTTTACGCCGCTTTCAGCAATATTCCAGCAATATCACGGCGGGGGACACCAGAAATGGGCTTCACACGTTGTACCCATGTCGGGAATAGAACACGGGTTTTCGGGGTGACGAGCGAGCGCTTAAACCACTAGGCTACCCGACCGCCCCTAAAACCGGGTTAGAATAGATTTGTAGCAACTCATGATTGCCGACCAACGGGATCGGGTGGTCAGGCTCGCTGACTTGGTTGATGCATGTCAACGTATCCCAATTGCGTAGATCGATGTCTGTCACAGGACCGCCGTCATATAACTGGTATATAGGGCGGCGTGAAACAACAAACAAACAAGAACAAGATAACTCCTCATGTAGTTGTATATCGGCCGTACACCGATCACCCTTCTGCTGTGACAAAACCACTATTTTTTACGTTACGTAGAACATTGTCCTTTCTCTGCATGTACGGGGCCGCCTCCGTGGTCTAGTGGTAGAGCGTCTGCCCGGAGAACGGAAGGTCAGGGGTTCGATCCCAGACCGCGTGATACCAAAAAACGTTAAAAGATGGAGCTTGTTGTTATCCCGCCTGGTGCTCGGCATTAAGGGGCTATAACAAGGACTGGTCGGCTCGGAGTCTGTATACTGTGTCCGAGTAGGGTGTTCACGTCCTGGCTAGTACAAGCACCCAAAGTAGAAAACGTGTAAGTCCTGCTTAACTTCGAGCTGTTGAACACGTTGAACAAAAATAATGTTCACCCTTTTATTGACTCGAGGGGCGGTGGGGTAGCCCGGGTTCAATTCCCCACATGGGCACAATGTGTGAAGACCATTTCTGGTGTCCCCCGCCGTGATATTGCTGGAATATTCCTAAAACCACACTCACTCACTCCCAATCTTTGAGTGAGTGAGTGACTTGGGTTTGACGCCGCTTTTGAACAAAATTCCAGTTATATCACGGCGTGTCAGCTCAATGTTGAGGAAAGCCCGAAGTGATTCAGGTGTAAGCCGTTTCCTACTTCGGTAAAAGCCCACGAGCACGGGACGGGTAGTGACAAAATTAGAAACATAATCGGGCAGAACCCCGGTTCAATCCCACGTTAATAGGTTCCTGGCGTACCCAAGGGACGTAACTCTGCATAGCAAATTGCGGAGCCTTAGACAGCTGGTCCGCTGGGCCCCCATGTATGTGTGAACATTTGACGTGATGCTTCAGGACATGCCGATGTAACTCGGATCATGTTGCCATGATACATCTCAAATATTGCCGACTACACTTATTTATGCAGTCATTACGTAAAACTACATCATGACTAAAAGTATGTTTAATGCGGCGGTTGATGATGGTTGCAGTATGATCATCCAGTTAAAACCGGTGGAGAACTGATGGTCAGGTTGAGAAGGCCAGGACCTGAAAATAAACACAAACTGTATCACTCGTGCTGGTTTGTTTGTTTATTTGTTGTTCAACGCCGCACTCAGCAATATTCCAGCTATATGACGACGGTCTGTAAATAACCGGGTCTGGACCTGGCAATCCAGTGATTGACACCATGAACATCGTTCCACGCAATGGGGATACGATGACATGCATCAACCAAGTCAGCGAGCCTGACCACCCGATCCCGTTAGTCGCATCTTACGACAAGCATAGTCGCTTTTTTTGCGGTACGAGTGGGTATCTGAAGACCTATTCTAACCCGGATCTTCAGGGGTCGCTTGGTGATATGACGTATTCGTACGCTGGGATTGTCATGACGTATTCTAAAAATGTGGTGATATGACGTATTGTAACTCTGGAGTGGCGGAATGACGTAGTTGTATGTTTACAACGGGTTTGTATCATGACGTATTCATAAACTGACGAGGTGTCATTCTTCAAGTGGATTGGCTTCATGACGTAGTTTAACAGTGATGTGGCAGCGTGACGTATTCGACCACAGTGGAGGTGCAATGACGTACACCTATACACAGCTGGTTTTATGACGTACCTTCTACTGGGATTGTGGTATACGTTAGTTTTACGGTGATGTGGCAGCGTGACGTATTCGACCACAGTGGAGGTGCATTACGTACACCTATACACAGCTGGCACGTGACGTACTCTCGCACACAGTGTACCCTTACCGTACCATCTGTAAAAGTAGGTCAACTTACAGTCATCGATGGTGACTCTACTGTTGAGGATTCGGATGGCATCAAAGTAGTAGTATGATGATCTGCAACTGATGAGGGAGTTCAGACACTTCAGGTACGTCTCCCCGGCGCTAGGGAAAAAAAGGGGTGACGTGAAATGGGGTTTAACTTATATAGCGACGTGCATGCATAGCGTGTGTGTGCGTGCTTGTCGAGTCAGGACTAGCCCCGGTTTAATTGTGCTATGTCACAATTTAACATGAATAACCCACTCAGACACAGCATGACTCCAAGCCGACCAGTCCTTGTTTTTCCCCTGAACGTCAGGCTGGGTAACAATAAGCAACATCTTTTAACGTCTCTTGGCATGACGCGGCTAGGTGTCGAACCAACCGACGAACCTTCTGCTCTCTGGGCAGAATGAGTTTAGGTGTTGGCCAGTGAGTGAATGAGTGAGTATGGTTTTTATCGCCGCTTTTAGCAATATTCCAGCAATATCACGACGGGGGACACCAGAAATGGGCTTCACACATTGTACCCATGTCGGGAATCGAACCCGGGTCTTCGGCGTGACGAGCGAACGTTTTAATCACTAGGCTACCCGACCGCCCCTGTTGGCCAGGAGTTGCAACACGCACTGAAAAGGGAGGCAGACATTGATTGTTTGTCAATGAGTAATGTATGTGTCACGTGCCATCTCCATCTTGAGGTGAGGTGAAATGGGGTTTAACGTCGCGTCAAAGATTATTGCACTTATATAGCGACGTGCATGCACGTGTGTGTGTATCTGCTTGTACTAGTCCGGACTGATGCCGATTTATAGTGCTAGCTCACTAAGATACCATGCCACAGTTTAACATGAATACCCCAGTCAGACACAGTACACTGACTCCGAGCCGACCAGTCCTCTTTTAAGGCCCTTAATGCCGAGCGTCAGACAGGGTAACAACAAGTACCATCTTTTAACGTCTTTTGGTATGATGCGCCGGGGATCGAACCCCGGACCTTCCGCTCTCCAGGCGTTGATGTTAATGGATAATCATAGCTTTAAATGAGTGAAGAAAACTTGTTTGTTATGATAATCATAAGCAAATTGCCTTCAAGCACATGAAACAGTTTCACTTGAGCCCCATGATTTGAGCCTGGTCGAACGGTAATTCAGTGTTTGCATTTACTTGCGATCAGTTGCTGTACTGTCGATGTTATTGTGCCTATAAATAATCTGAGTTTGAACCAGGGAATCCAGTGAGCATCAGCCAAGTCACCGGGGATAGAATAGGTCTTCAGCAACCAATGCTTGGCGCAAAAGGCGACTATGCTTGTCGTAAGAGGAGACTAACGGGGTCCGTTGGTCAGGCTCGATGACTTGGTTAATGCATGTTATCCATTGCGTGGATCGATGCTCATGATGTCAATCACTGTATTGTCTGTTCCAGGTTCGATTATTTATATAATTACGCACCGCCGTCATATTGCTAGAATATTGCTGAGTTAAACAACAAACTAACAAACCGCGTCTGACAATCGCCTCCTTCGAAAGCAATTTTAGTGGTGGCTGCAGACATCTGGTCCCTACCTCGTCGATACTTCAAGGTTGTAACAAACTACACGTTCCTCCATCTTCCGCTGTGAGTGGGGTGATTGTTGTTTAACGCCGCATCAGCAATGTTACAGATATTCACGGCCACTATGACCTGTAATGATCGCTGTTTCCAACTAACCGATGAAGCCACGGCGCGGTTCTAGCGAGACGGAAACAAACGAATGATGGCCATTTCCTTTAGACTTTGCTTAAATATCAGGGACGTGCGTGCGTGTGTGTGCGTGTGTGTGTGCGTGTGTGTACGTGTGTGTGTGTACGTGTGTGTGTGTGCGTGTGCGTGTATACGTGTGCGTGTACGTGTGTGTGTACGTGTGCGTGTACGTGTGTGTGTACGTGTGCGTGTGTGTGTATGTGTGTACGTGTGTGTGCGTGTATACGTGTGCGTGTACGTGTACGTGTGCGTGTGTATGTGTGTGTGCGTGCGTGTATACGTGTGCGTGTTCGTGTGTGTGTACGCCTGCGTGTGCGTGTACGTGTGCGTGTACGTGTGTGTGTACGTGTGCGTGTGTATGTACGTGTGCGTGTGTGTGTACGTGTGTGTGTACGTGTGTGCGTGCGTGTTTACTTGTACGTGTGCGTATGCGTGTGCGTGATTGGTTGGTTGAATTTGTGGGTATTGGGTAGGTATTGGGTTGGAGGATGAGTGAGGGAATCATAAAACATACTCGTGTTAATTATATTAACACCATAATCACATCACAATACAATAACAGGCACAGCGTCACAAACAAAACCTTTAAACTTGTAATAAACACTGTATCATACTATATATCAGACTATATACTAACAATACACATTTTTAATAACAATGGGCCGCAAATCACCAGCAACCAATGTAAAGCCACTTTATGGTGCCCCATCTTCTCGACTTTGCTTAAATATCAGGGACGTGCGTGCGTGTGTGTGCGTGTGTGTGTGCGTGTGTGTACGTGTGTGTGTGTACGTGTGTGTGTGTGCGTGTGCGTGTATACGTGTGCGTGTACGTGTGTGTGTACGTGTGCGTGTACGTGTGTGTGTACGTGTGCGTGTGTGTGTATGTGTGTACGTGTGTGTGCGTGTATACGTGTGCGTGTACGTGTACGTGTGCGTGTGTATGTGTGTGTGCGTGCGTGTATACGTGTGCGTGTTCGTGTGTGTGTACGCCTGCGTGTGCGTGTACGTGTGCGTGTACGTGTGTGTGTACGTGTGCGTGTGTATGTACGTGTGCGTGTGTGTGTACGTGTGTGTGTACGTGTGTGCGTGCGTGTTTACTTGTACGTGTGCGTATGCGTGTGCGTGATTGGTTGGTTGAATTTGTGGGTATTGGGTAGGTATTGGGTTGGAGGATGAGTGAGGGAATCATAAAACATACTCGTGTTAATTATATTAACACCATAATCACATCACAATACAATAACAGGCACAGCGTCACAAACAAAACCTTTAAACTTGTAATAAACACTGTATCATACTATATATCAGACTATATACTAACAATACACATTTTTAATAACAATGGGCCGCAAATCACCAGCAACCAATGTAAAGCCACTTTATGGTGCCCCATCTTCTCGAGGCAAGAGTGTCCACGAGTCTGAAGAAACTGGGTTTGGATATCGGCGAGTGGAGACCCTTGCCTCGGGAGGACGATGGTATCTTTGCTACATCCACGATTTATCCACGTCAATACTAGTATACATCAGATAGTTATTGTATACCTCTAATGATATTGCCTACGTGCAATGTATTGATGCTGTAGGAGATACTCACGCACACAACTTGGCCATGCTCTTTCCCGCATAAAAGAAACCGTGTGTTGCGTGCATGGTGCAGTCGGAGACGTCGTTCTCCCAGCAGGTTTGACCTTCACAGATCGTAGCTGCAGCTACAGTTGAGAATATAAAATAGATTAAACAAATTAATTGGTTTTCAAATTAACCTAACCGATGACCGATGTACGAATCGAAGGAAGTGAGGTTGAATGGGGTTTAACGTCATGTTTGAGGTTAATGCACTTATATAGCGTGGGCGTGCGCGCGTGTGTGCCTGCTTGTTCTAGTCCGGACTGATGCCGGATTTTAAGTGCTAGTCCATCGGATACAGGCAGGGTAACAACAAGTACCATATTTTAAGTTTTTTTTATGTATGATACGGCTTGGGATCGAACCTCGGCCTTCCTCTCTCCCTGCAGACGCTATAGCCACTAGACCACGGAGGCGGCCCCGAATCGAAGGAAGTATTCCAGCAATAGCTTTTATCATCTGAGTGTGCGACCAATTTAAAAAGTTCATGCGTGTTTCATATACGGCTGACATGTGTTTCAGAATGGCTGTGTGAATCTTACACCTTAGTACGGCGGTCGTGTCTTGGTGAGCAGCACCAGTGGTTGACTCCATGAAAACCGATGGTTGACAACTTGAGCACAGTGGTTGACAACAGCAGCACAGTGGATGACAACAGGCGCACAGTGGTTGACAACAGGCGCACAGTGGTCGACAACAGGCGCACAGTGGTACACAACAGCAGCACACGTGGTTGACTCTAGGAACACACGTGGTTGACAACTTGAGCACAGTGGTTGACAACAGCAGCACAGTGGTCGACAACAGCAGCACAGTGGCTGACAACAGCCGCACAGTGGTTGACAACAGGCGCACAGTGATCGACAACAGGCGCACAGTGGTTGACAACAGGCGCACAGTGGATGACAACAGGCGCAGTGGTCGACAACAGGAGCACAGTGGTACACAAAAGGAGAACAGTGGTCGACAATAGGCGCACAGTGGTTGACAACAGGCGCACAGTGGTTGACAACAGGAACACAGTGGTACACAAAAGGCGCACAGTGGTCGACAATAGGCGCACAGTGGATGACAACAGGCGCACAGTGATCGACAACAGGCGCACAGTGGATGACAACAGGCGCACAGTGATCGACAACAGGCGCACAGTGGATGACAACAGGCGCACGGTGATCGACAACAGGAGCACAGTGGTACACAAAAGGCGCACAGTGGTACACAACAGGAGCACAGTGGTACACAAAAGGCGCACAGTGGTCGACAACAGCAGCACAGTGGTCGACAACAGCAGCACAGTGGTTAACAACAGGGGCACAGTGGTTGACAACAGGCGCACAGTGGTTGACAACAGGCGCATAGTGGTTGACAACAGGCGCACAATGGTACACAACAGGAACACAGTGGTACACAACAGTGACACAGTGGTACACAACAGGAGCACAGTGGTTGACAACAGGCGCACAGTGATCGACAACAGGTGCACAGTGGTACACAACAGGAGCACAGTGGTACACAAAAGGCGCACAGTGGTTGACAACAGCAGCACAGTGGTACACAAAAGGCGCACAGTGGTACACAACAGGAGCACAGTGGTCGACAACAGGAACACCGTGGCTGACAACAGGAACACAGTAGTACAAAACAGGAGCAACGGTCCACGTGGTCGGGGCACCATGACACACAATCAGCCCGCTGACCACCCGATCCTCATAAGGTGGTTCTTATGACAAGCACTGGGTATACTGACCTATTCTACCCCGTGTGGGTGAGTGTGGTTTTACGCCGCTTTTAGCAATATTCCGGCAATTTCACGGCGGGGGACACAAGAAATGGGCTTCACACACTGTTCTCATGTCAGGAATCAACCAGGGTCTTCGGCGTGAGGAGCGAACGCTTTAACCACTAGGCTTCCCGACCGCCCCTATTCTACCCAGAGAGTTAGCGAGTAATTGAAAGGTTTTACACCACATCGGCATTTTCTTAGCCCTGGGGCAAAGTATCTCAAGAGTAAGACAAGAAGATGGAACCCGCGCCACTCCAATATTCAATCAGTATTGAATCGGGGAATTCCAATATGGGCTTTACAAGGACCCATGTTGGGAATCGAACCCGGTTCGTCAGCGTTTAGTCTTACCTAGAGTCACTGTAACTATTAAGAGGTTCATTCTGGTCCGACACGTTCACCAGTCACTGTAGAGAGACTACATTGGGAAACGACAGTTGGTGACAGTCAGATACCAGATCGCACGTTGTTTGGCCTGAAGCTACAGTGCATTAACTGGGACACTTTGATGAGACGATAACATGTAACTTGACTTCCCTCTGGACTTTTGTTAAACAATTTCAATCATACTATTCATCTATTCCTATGATTTACATTGATTTTATTTATATGATGTAACTATATGCATTTTATTGCCACAAATGATGTCATTACCACTTGAACCATAACTATCGACCATGAAATATCAATTTAATTAGTTTTCCAAATGTCACGGTTAAAGATCTTTCCTCAAAACTTAATTTAAACAGAACCGACTTCGAAATACGTCAGACCCCTGGAATATGTTTGCCTATCAATTGGGAAAATGATTCATTTTATCTCTGTCAATATTTTGAGTGAGTGAGTGAGTTATGTTTATCTCCGCTTCTAACAGTGTTCCAGTTATATCACGGCGTGTCAACTTAATGTGGAAGGAAAGCCCAAAGTGACGCAGGTATCAGACGTTTAAAACGGTGAAACCCACGAGCACGGGTATGGTGCTGACAAACCTCGAAACATAATTGGGGCGAACCGGGATTCGAACCCACAATCATAGGTTCCTGGCGTCCAAGGGACGCAACTCTGCACAGCGAATCGTGGCGCCTTAGACGACTGGGCCACCCGTGGCCCCCATTTTATATTTAAAGAACACATGTTCAATATTGGCTGAAATAAACAAAAGCAAGGTATACGATTCAAATAAATGCATTTGCTGATTTTATTCACAATGTTGTATGACTTAGCATTTCATAAAATATAAATACATAAAATTAAAATATTTTGAATTAATGCTCGGCACACTGAACAGATGCACATTGTTATGTTTTCAACTACGAATGGAGCCACAGCTGAGACTGAGTGTAGGGCCACGTTGACGCTTGGTAATCCCAATGGTGAATGCCCTCATATTTGCTGCCATACTGGTGCACACGTTTTCGCTTCACTACTCATTTGGCTATCTTTCTGTTCACCAACCCACTTGTCCACTAGCTGAAGTGATCACACCACCTGACTCAACACAAACGTTTTGACACTTATCAGTTGTTGATGTTGCAGGGATGTTGTGGCGTCGATGAATGTTCATTCTATGTCAAAGAAATAATTTGCCACCTACGAACAACTCAACTTCGTCCTTGGAATCTCATTCAGTGAGTGTTTATCCCCGTCATTAAGTGTGAATTGGTTATTGTACAGCAGTCGATAGAGATGGTCCGCTGCCATTATCAAGGTCACGCCCCAGCCACTCAGAAGTACAAGGCACATTTTAACAAGTCAAGGCTGTAACACTTGGTTAAAACATCGGAAAGTGTGGAAAAGTATATGCACCGTATTTAGCATCCATGAACGTTTTGGATTAATCTATTGACTTGCCCTGTCCGCAGTATTACGTGCTGGTATCCAGGATAATAGGACCGATGGAGTCCAATAACGACACACGAGGGTTGCGTAAAGAGCGACCTTTAATGCTGGTCTATCAAAGGAAGGGCAGAACCCATTACGTAATACACACAGTCAAGGGAGGCAATTCACGTAACACACATCATAGATGAATGTAAAAGCTTGCGTTTTTGAGCATTGTGATTTAATTTTTAAAAATAATATTTAGAATAACTGCGGTGATATTGATGGAGAGAAATACGGACCTAGTTCCTTCAGACATCCCATATTGTTCCCCTGAGTACTTCAGGGACACTCTTTGCTATCTGTATGGTTGTAGTATTGCTTGCTCCAGTCTTGCAGTCTATCTGTGTGAGCTGCTCTCCCCACACGAAGGGGGTCGAGTAGGTAATTGAGTGGGTAATTAAGTGTATCAACATGTTTCAAAGCCAAATACAACAGTTTTAGTTTTGATGAGATCGTTTTCTAGGTATTTTGAGGATGATGTACCAACACAACATACTCAATATAGCGTAGGTATATGCTTTACTTCTGTGTACGATGGGATTAATTCAGACACACCTTTTTTAGTTATATACAGAACAGCTGATATTATGCTGTCTGAGTAAGAGAGTCTGGCAGTTGAGGGCTCTGATTCCAGGAACTGTGCTCCTTTGCCCAACACACTACTTTGACCCTGACTTCACCTAGACGGATGGTACAATGGGCCGGTTCTATCAATCGGGCTTATGCCAAGCCCTATGCATACAATTGTGTATGCACACGCATCATTCATTAAAATATATTCTTCTTTGGTCTTGGCCATATATAACATGTTTGAGTTAAACAAAATAATTATGTAATAAATGCCTGGAATATATTGCCAGAAGGCTGTGGCTCATGGGCCAATCTGGTGATGTTGACTTCCATTTTGTTTATTTCGGCTGAGCCAGTCTGGCATTTAATTTGGTATACAAATATTGCTATTTCTGTCATATTTGCTTGAGCGTTACACCCGGTGAATGTCCGGTGCCATGTCACACTGACCTTGCTGACACTCAATGGTTGGTGTGGAACAGGGATGTCGAATTAATATATTTCGCCATGTCACCACAACACTCTGGTTCAACTCAAACGATAAAAAGAGACGTCTTGAAAATGACAGTTCAAAGGAAAATGTACCTACAAAATCATAAAGTGTATACTCATGGTCTTGGTTCCTGGTGATTGAGTCTTCCGATCATGAACCAATTAAACTAAAATCCATTTCCTGTATCTAAAGCTGCATCTCGAATTTATTGTGGAAGCGAAAACCTTACTCGTCTTCGGACTTGCGTTCTCCTTGTGAAGAGTGACCAGAGACAACAATCTTTAAATCTTTTAGCTGTGACTAACTTTGCCAATGTTGAGGTTGTCCGCGCACAGGACAATTAACTCATGTCGGGGCATTGTTCGAGACCGAGCTCGTTGCCTATCCGACATGTCTGAACAGGAGATTCAAGCTGAGCTAGTGGACCAAGGTGTAACATCTGTCAAACGTTTCACCGAAAAAGGGGTATTATCCACAACACCAATACTTATGTCTAAACTTTTGTCAGTCTCATAGTCCATGAAGGTTGGTTATTTCAAGGAGGTGTATGTCCGCCAATGCACTCCGATGTTACACATGTCAGAAATTTGGACACGGTTCTGAATCATGTCATAGCTTCGTGGTGTGTCATAGCTTCGTGGTGTGACATAGCTTCGTGGTGTGTCATAGCTTCGTGGTGTGTCATAGCTTCGTGGTGTGTCATAGCTTCATGGTGTGTCATCGTTATGGTGAGAACCGTGAACATTCACATTGGCAAAAATATATCACATGTGTAAACTGTGACGCCAGTCATGTTGCCTCCTTTAAGTCTTGCCCTGAGTGACAAAGGCAGTCAGAAATTGTAAAACTAGTACCAAAATAACATTTCATTCTCAGATGCAAAGAAACTCAACTCTCACCGTCTCTGCTGCGGTCAGTCGACCTATCTCAACCGCATCTATCACGTGCCGGACCTACTTAATATGAATACATTCAGATCAGCCTATTACAACAAGTTCAATCATTATGACCACATCAGCACATTCAGAAACCTTTGAGAATACAGACAACAGACAATTAAAAACTTGGACACCCTCTCCTTAGGAAATACCTGTACATAACTTGTTTGGTCCTTTGGACATGGAGGTTACTCCATCATCACAGGACAGAGGATGGGTGTTTCTTCATCACGTTCACGCGGTAGGTCTCCAGTTGAGCCGCCATGACTCAATCGGCGAATATGACCCAATGAAATTACAGAAGACTTCGAATGAATTTTAATCCGATACAATTATTAGTTTACGATTTTAAACCGTCAGCTACATGTATATGTGTCTCAAACATACAGATAAATTTGACCTGAGGCAGTAAAACTTTCTTTATTCATTTTTCACCCGGGTAATAAAGGGTTACTGTATTAGTCAGGCAGGACGTCATTCATAGTGGTGTTTATCTAAATACTTATCCTCAAGCTGTTCCTATCTGAATATGCGTGTTTGCCTTTGCCATCCCATGAAGTCGAACTCAGTGACATGTACATCCTTATAAAATCATGTACATTACCACAGCTTGAGTAATACCGCATTTTAGGAACATTTTTTTATGGCTGGAGTTGTCTTCATCTACCAGCAGCTGTAAAAGGCATATCTCTAACAAAGTCACTTGCCCATGCCTAAGGAGACACCACATGTAGCATGCCTTTTCGTGAGGGGCAGGACCGAATCCCCAAAGACTCTCAGGAGTCAGGATTCCCAAACATGGTCATCCATCCAACTACACTCCGCCACCAGCGTTGCTTAACTTCGCCGGAGTTGTTACCTATGTGATGCGAACAGGGCAACGTACCACCACAATTATGGCATTGTTATCGAAGACTTTTACGAAGTGATGAGATACCAAACCAAGGATATACTGAGTGGTTACACATTGTAAAACATTCTGAGCCATGTAGCATAATTTGGATACTATATTTCATCTATATCTGGAACTGTATTCAAGATGGTGCAAGCGGCATGTGACTTATACGTACCTATATACAATATTGTACAATTTCACAGAGTCTTAACTTAATAAGTAAAGCGGGGACAAGTTTCTAAGGCGCCGTCATTCGCTACGCAGAGTAGCGTCCCTTGGGTACGCTCACAATATCAATCATTGGATTAACTGGTCCAGATTCGAATATTAACATGCCGCTGTCAAATAGCTGGAATACCGCTGGGTGCGTCGATAAACTACAAAGAAACACAAAATATGGAAGGAAAGCCCAAAGGAGATGCATGCAAGGCGTTTACGAATTTGGCGAAAACAACGGCACGATAACGGTCTGATAAACCAAGAATCGAAGCTGCGGTCATCGACACGCTTGTCGAGGACACTGTGGCACCTTAGACTTGGTAAAGTGTACCTCCCGAAAGAAAGAATTTGACATATACTTCAAGACGATAGAACACGATGAACTCCTGCATTTTTAATGTGAGTGAGTGTGGTTTTACGCCGCTTTTAGCAATATTCCAGCAATATTAAGGCGGGGGACACGAGAAATGGGCTTCACACATTGTACCCAGGTCGGAGATCGAACCAGGGTCTTCGGCGTGACGAGCGAGCGCTTTAACCACTAGGCTACCCAACCGCTCCATGTATAATACATGACGAAACACATGCTTATTATGACATCGAGTTGAAACAAAGACGGAAATATTAACTCATTGTTAACAGCACAACTAACAATATCAGACTGGCGTAAGACCATCGTGTTGTAGTAGCTGAACACGTGCACGGAGACACTGTTGTTACTGTCTCTGTTGTGTTGACAGGGACCTCCTCCTCAAGCAAAGCTGGGCCTGTGGAGAGTTGAAAAAGACATATCAATAAATACGTCCACCCAAACCATTATCAGTGAGCGAGTTGGGTTTAACGCCGCTTTTAACATTATTCCAGTTATATCACGGCGTGTCAGTTTAATGTGGGAGGAAAGCCCGAAGTGATGCAGGTCTCAGACGTTTACCACTTCGTTGAAACCCACGAGCACGGATATGGTGTTGACAAACCTAGAAACATAATCGGGGAGAACCGGGATTCAAACCCACAAGGTTCCATAGGTTTTTGGCGTGCCCAAGGGACGCAGCTCTGCACAGCGAATCGCGGCGCCTTAGACGACTGGGCCACCCGTGCCCCCGTAAACCTTTATCAAACCCATTGGACATTGAAGCTTCATACTTTATTGGGAGGACTGGCAAAATTAGCAAGCGCCAAATAGGATGCACAACATCGAGTCAAGGGCGTCATTGCTGGACCGTGATGAGAAATGGTAAGGAGTTATCAGAACATTGTCAATATTGAGAATACATATGTTCAAATAGTGCCGTGGCAAGATGGCCAAAGCATCACATGTTTAGTACATACAAATTCATACGCATCAACACAAGCCTTGGCGCAGGCAAATTCGCAACCCAAGAAATTGTATTCATGTTCTTCAATCGCCACCTAATGTGCCTGCTTACTCAAATTGTACGATGCACGTACAACTCTAGCAGTTGAAGACCATCTTCATCACATCACCACCACACCTCAGTTTTACACAATAACTAATTACATAGACATGTACCGTGAAGCACAGTGTTTGATATAACAACTTTCTTTCGTGGTAACGGATTTAAGAAAAACTATTCTAATTTTTTTTTTTAATGTAATTGGTCCTCTCAAATATGGCAGATGTGACATTCAAGTTTATATCATTCTCATTGGTATCAAGAAGCTGTATTGAGCATTTGATGCTGGTGTTTGATAGCATACCTAACCACCTCTCGATAATGTTACTCAACAGCACTGAGAAAGTTTACGCTCTGCATCACGTACAGTCATCGATGGTGACTTTCGTGTTGAGATGGCGGATCCCGGAAAAGAAATGCTGATTCTTCCTGCAGGATAACGGGTAGGCGTCCACACACCGAATAAACGTCACTGCTGCACTGGAACAAAATGTATATATCATCTTGTGGTAAACCGTTTATCCTTAGTTTGAATTCTGGGATGGAAAAAGTCGTTTGCAATCTCTGCTTGCCATGAGAGCTGCCTCGTGAGAGGGTGATTGCAATGTGTGACCTGGCTGATTGTGTGTCATCGTTCACCAACGGAGCGGTTCATTGCTCACGTTGTCAACCACTGGTTTGTTAGTGTTATTGTCCTGATGTTACATCAACATGATGCATGTATCATGTGGAAATTTCATAAACTGTATTACCAGTTCGTGACACTTCTGTCGCCTGGGCTTCTATGCACTTCTTTACATACCCCCTCACGACCGTTGCGAGGTGAGTTAGTATAACTTAACGACAGTCAGCAATATTTATATAACTATATATAACGGCTTTATATATATAAAAAAAACTAAATGTCTTTACAGAAATTTCATTTCTCTAGACGTGCCTCTGTAATTTCGTTCTTATTTCCAATTGGTTAATAAAAGCGACAAAACCCTTTCCATATTCATAAAATATCTCTGCCAAAAGCAGAGTCGATTGTACGTTATCAAAGACAGTTTGAAATGAACGATGGCTTAGAGATAATCTTGGTTAGGCCAGTGATCGATATCATGATCCACTATTTCAGTCATTTTACAAGTTGACGGAAAAATCTGTCTCGCCTCGCCCCTCATAATTTATTCCCCCTGCAGGGTTTTATTGAACGACAAATAACCCCGACTCGTCGGTAATTTCTCAAACAAAATGTCCCGCGGCATAATGTTATAATTAGTCCTCTGAAACACTGATATAGAATAAACGTCTTCAAATGTTTTACACACTGCGGAACCTAAAGGTCATGAAAGGCAATGTTGATAAAGACTGTTTTACCCATCTTATAAAAATATGTTCATTAAATGTGGTACCAGTGACATCATATTCATTGAACAGTGCACATGTTGTGTAAATACGTGCGCCTTCCGTGTGCACTCACTTACTCACAAAGTCTTGAAGCGTTACTGCCAGCATAGAAGTAGTTCATTGTCAGGTTGTCGTTGCAGTCGGCGATGTCGTTGATGTTGTCACAGGCATGCCCCATCCATCCATCTCCCAAACATGTAGCTAGTAGAACGATCATGGACGATTATAAACGATCATAAACTATCCTACGTTCATTTAGCCGGCATCAAATGTTATCGACTACTTCAGCACGCGTGGTTGTCATTTGAGACGGTGTGGAATGAGTGAGTGAACATTGTGTTACGCCCAAAGATTATTCGTCACACGTAGCATATTGCAACTGGTCATGTCTTCGGGTCCATATTCCATTAGACATATTGTTCTAAATAATTAAGAGATAAACACATTGTGTTTTCAACGTAGAGGTTTCGAAGCGCAATTTGATACCTGTACATTTTAAAAATTTGAAATCTCACGCTGTCACAGTCGGTTTCAATGAGTGAGTGAGTGAGTGAGTATGGTTTTACGCCGCTTTTAGCAATATTCCAGCAATATCACAGCGGGGGACACCAGAAATGGGACGAGCGAACGCTTTAACCGCTAGGCTACCCTACCGCCCGATTTCAGATGAAATGCACAGGTATCAAATGTACATTCGAAACCTCAACACTGAAAACACACCAGGTTTATCTCCATTCTACCTTGACACAATGACGACACAAACGCGGAGTCTTAGGTTATCGCGGAAATGATTAGTGCCATGGCATCGGTTGAGTCTTTTACATTCAGTAGGTTGCAATGACGAATTCGGGATCAGTGGAGATATAATGTTTAATCTGCATATATGCTTGCGTTGTATACCCAAAACAATACTTTCATCACAATATTTGAACCGCTTCAAGACACAATAAAACAGCACCCTGTCAGAATTGTTCAAACTGACATTCCTTGAGAAAATGAAGCGACATTTGTAAAGGTAAGATCTTATATAGTTCTTCAACATGGTCATGTAATATATCATATGAAAGCTTTTTACATTGTCTTTTCAATGATGTACATTATTCACTGACTCCTGTGGTAAATTGACCCCCAACAATGAAAAAAGGAAATATTGAAAGCTAATTTCTCTCGTGACTTCAACCCATACCCAAATTTAGATTTATATTGAAATGGACATATTTTCACTCAAAATTGTAGATATACAGCACTTTAGTTCTACAACATGGTCATGTAATATATCATTTGGAAGCTTTTTTACATTGTCTTTTTAATGATGTACCTTATTCACTGACTTCTGTGGTAATCTTATCCCCCAATAATACAACAAATGATATATCGAAAGCTAATTTCTCTAGCAACACCAACCAACCTCCAAAGTCGTATTTTAATAAAATGGACATCGTTTCACTCACAAATTGTAGATAAATTACACTTTTGTCTGAGCATTTCACTAGTTTATCGTTCGAGTGAAAAAAAACATGAGAATACTTGTAGTATTATGAAGTATTAAAGATTACATCACAGAGTCAAGGGCTGTGAAATAATGTCACCTCTAGTCACCGTCAGAGTCCATCTCTTCTGGAAAGGTAGGTAAGTTGTTTCTGTTTAGGCATGACATAGCACAACTGCATCCAAGGGAACATGTTCTTGGCGCAGCAACACCTGGATGAGGAGCATCTGCCTGTTGTGCATTTACATGTGAGCAATTCTAGACACAGTGCTGGCATTTGTTTCTGGCTCATTGGGATGGTTTCTATGACATCCTCAGTAGATGACCACCTATCGCACAACCATATTTGTTGCAACCAACAGAAAAAACTGGTGCCTTCAACATGAAAGAGAGAGACTCACTTGTCATCAAAGTGTACAATCCAGCATCGACTGCAAGTAGCATTAATACACTTACAGCTGACATGTTCCACAGAGTTGGAGACCTAGAGGAACTCCCACCACACAACCTCTACTCAGATGTCAACACATTTGCATCACGTGGTGTTCCGCACACAAAGGACATTCCACCACCAGAAGGGTATAGGTGGATGTCTACAGACGATGTCACAGAACCCATCCCAATGACCCAGGAATGAATGCCAGCACTGTGTCTAGAATTGCTCACCTGTAAATGCACAACAGGCAGATGCTCCTCATTCAGGTGTAGCTGCGCCAAGAACATCATGGGATATTCCCATTGATGCAGTTGTGCTATGTCATGCCTAAACAGAAACAATTTAACTTACCTACCTCTCCAGATGCGACGGACTCTGACGGTGACATTATTTCACATTTTATTTTTAATACTTAATAATACTACAAGTATTCTCATGTTTGTTTCTTCACTCAAATTATAAACTAGTGAAATGCTCAGACAAAAGTGCTGTATATCTACAATTTTGAGTGAAAATATGTCCATTTTAATTTAAATCTAAATTTGGGTATGGGTTGAAGTCACGAGAGAAATTAGCTTTCAATATTTCCTTTTTTCATTGTTGGGGGTCAATTTACCACAGGAGTCAGTGAATAATGTACATCATTGAAAAGACAATGTAAAAAGCTTTCATATGATATATTACATGACCATGTTGAAGAACTATATAAGATCTTGTTTTTAAAAACAGGTCAAAATGGCGGCCATCTTGAAATTCAAGATGGCCACCATAAATGCTCACAGAAAAACTTGAAACATAATTTTTCTTTTTGAGTTTACTATTTCGGTGTGTTTAGGCATTGTTGCAATTATCCCACTCATCCACTACAGCAACATCATCTACCACCATAACTCAATAAGCAATTTTCATCAAAATTGGTTTTTGGGGGGTGGGGTAACATTGTATACAATATCTCAACCCCTATGTAATATATTTTCATTTTGTTTTTTGTATAGGATAGTACAATGGTTAAGGCAGATTTTAATACCCAGTTATAGTGGTTTTATTGTCACAATTCAATGGAATTAGTGTTTTACCTACTCACAAGATTTGAAAATGAAGTAAAAAAACATGATTTTTACCAAAGTTTCCACTGAGAATTAGAATAACAGTTAAATGAAACAAAATTTTTGCCAAATTCAGATAACCGAACCTATTACCTGTAATCAAAGACTTAATTTGGATAATTTAATGACTTAATGAAAATGTTACAGCCAATTTTGTCAAAGTATGCATTTTTCCTTCAATTTATGCAATTTTGACCCCCTGAAAATTGTTGCACACACTTGCAAGCTTACTACCCAATGAAAATTGTGTACAGATACCTCCTTTATGCAACAGAAAAGGTTTAAGGTATACAGGAAAATGTGGGAACGAAAATCTAAACTAAGCCTCTTTTCTGCTGGTGGCCAACTGACTAATATCACGGCGTGTCAGTTTAGTGTGGGAGAAAATCCCGAAGTGATGTAGGTCTTTGACGTTTACCAATTTGGTGAAACCCAAGAGCGCGGGTATGGTGCTAACAAACCTAGAAACAAAATCGGAGCAAACAAGGATTCGAACCCTCAATCATAGGTTTCTGGCGTGCCCAAGGGACGCAACTCTGAACAGCGAATTGCGGTGCCTTAGACGACTGGGTCGCGGACCAGGTAGCGGATAAGTTGGAACAAGCTATTGGGAATATGAGTATTTATTATCAATATTCAGGACGCTAGTTCGAAATACCCAATAAGAAATGACAGTCTCCTACTAAAAATACAGTGTAGCAAATTGATTTAAAACACCTTAAACGACATTACTCCTGTTGAACATAATCTTTGGGAATCTGGTTCGAACTGAACTTTGAGATAAACACAACACGCGATTAAACAAACTGATATCAGCAAATAAATAAAAAAACATGTATGTTTTGTGTGACTTACCTGCAATAATAGCAGCAAGTAGAATCGATGTTACCATACCTATCATATGGTTTTAGGTGTGCTCTGTAGCCTCACTGAGAAATTATCCGTGTGAACACATTAACTTGTGTCATGCATGTGTACGTCACTGCCTGTGCACAAGGCTGATGTTATACAATACAAATAAGTACTTTGGACGAGTTTACTATGCGAAAACACGTACCGAGGACCCGATCCCTGAGGTGGCCAGATCGGACCGAGGGACCTTGTATTTGCATATTGACCTCGTCAAAAGTAATCATTCGCTTCGTTATATCGAAATTCACTTTAAAGTTTATGAATCCTTTAAACCATCCTCTGTTTTAATACAGTAACCTTAGCTGCGAATGGTGAAATGTTAGTACAAGACGCCATCTTGTTTACTAGCAGACGAGTCAATATTCATCACGGGACAGGTCAATACTGATCATGTGACGAGTTTATATTCGAGGTAAGTGTCAGTCTCATGATTTTGGGGTCAGCATTCAAATGTATTGTTTCGTCACGTGGTACGGATTAACCAATAGAGTTGCATTCTTAATGGAGGTATAACAAATCCAGACGTGGACCTATCAATGTCATCTAATCTGACCAGGGTTGGGTGAGACGCATTGTCTTAGTGTAACTGATCCACTGGTATGACGTGTCTGTGGTGTATTCACAACAAAATATGCACATGATGTCATGCACATTGTACAAGTTGTTCATCGCAAGGAACATATTTTTAAATGCATCATCTCCAAAGGATCTAACACTACGTCAAAGAGGGACACAAAGTACGTGATCTAGACTACCAGTTGTCCGACTTTGTGGAAGCCTCGGTGGCTGAGTGGGTTAGATCGCTGACTTTGTGTGCTGGCGATTAGGTGCCTCAGTCTGGCAGTGTTGGTTCGAGTCCTGGACGGGACTCACCCCAAAAAAGTACGAGAATCTGTACTTTACTAAGAAAGTGTTATCCCAAATATAACATATGTTACATCTGACCTCTTCCTAAATGGCATTGTGTATTCATAACACTACGGGGTTTTATTTAATAATTGATTTTTAAGAAGCATTTGCATGAATTAAAACATTGTGATTAAATTTATGTTTCGTAAAATGTCATTGATCAGGTAGAATAGTATGTGTAACTGAGATGGTTAGTGGCTGTGCCCTAGACAGTGGTTGATTTGGTTTAATAATATTGTCTCCCTGATTTGGTATATAAAACCACGTCATCCAAAATAGTTTTATTGCTCCCACGATTTCATTTGTAGAATTGTGTTCTTTGATATTCGGCTAAATCGGTCAAGAACGCCAGCAGCTGAAGGGATAGTTTAAATACTGCTGTTTGTACCACACAGGTAGCAGAGATACCGTAAGTCCCCATGGTCCCTTGTATGGTGATCTACCTTTAGTTGCTGGCGATCTCCAGACAGGTTTTCACATTGTACTGTCAAATAATAGTCATAACGTTTCAATGCTCTGATACCAGTATCTGTTTCAGTCTAGCTATGTATCTGTCTATCGTTGACAGGATTTTATATATTATTAGTGTATAACTATGCTTGTCACAATAAGGCTGGAATATTGCCGACGTGACTTACAATTTTACTCAATCACTATACAAACTGTACTTCTTGAAGTGGTGACCGACAAAACTCTAACAAATATCCCAGCTTCCCGTGGATATTTAATGGTTGCTCCCTTATGGTAAAATGCATGTGTACGAAGCATACAGAATTGGTTGGAATTTCACACTGAATTAGTGAGTGAATGAGTGAGTATGGTTTTACGCCGCTTTTAGCAATATTCCAGCAATATCACGGCGGGGGATACCAGAAATGGGCTTCATACATTGTACCCATGTCGGGAATCGAACCCGGGTCTTCGGCGTGACGAGCGAACGCTTTAACCACTAGGCTACCCGACCGCCCCCAACACCAAGGACACCGCTCTTAACACAAAGTACAGATATGACAAAACATTTATATTTTCGTTTTCACACATGTTGTCCGGATACAAAATTCTCTCAAGCGATATTTTGCGAGGTATTTAAAGCTTATAAGTGTTACCAAGCACGACGCCACACCGACATATATTGGCGGTTGCACTCAGCAAGCTGCAAAGTCAAAACATTACTGAGGTTTTCCATCTGTAATTCCAAGTATATATAGTGTAACGTTCACTATTTGAGTAATAATAAATAGTTACCGACATGGTACTAGGAACACAGGTAGCATAACAAAACGTCATGAAATACGTGTGTCAGTTTTAGTTTTATTCAGTACTTAAAAGGCCACAGTCCTATAGTACAATGCGAATTTACATGTAGGTGACGTGGTTGTTAACTAACAATTCTGTTTCTATGTGACATCGTGTGATAAACATATGTTGACAGGTTACATAACATAGTATCATTAGATGAGGTTAAAAGATCTACAAACTTATGGACATTCGGGTGTGCAGAGTAGAAAGATGGCAAATATTTATCACGTAATTGTTTGTAAGCTTGACATACCAGGAGAAAGTGAAACTCATCTTCAATTGAATTTGTGTTACACAATGTGCATATTCTGTCTCTTCTATCAGTGTGATTATATCTACCAGTCTCTATATACAGGTTGTAAGAGGAACATCTTAATCGTGCTAGTGCAATTCTAAATTTTTTAAACATAAGTTTACAGAGGTACGCCTCAATTTCAATATAACTTTTCATGATTCTATAATATAAACATTTATTTGATTTGGACATTAATTCTAACCATTTCTACAAATACATATCTTTTAGACTCTGGGTGAAGGATCATGAATTTTTATACCCCAGATTTCAGCACCATAGTGTAGTATTGGAATTATCTTTGTATCAAAAATGTTAAAATATGATCTAACTGAGATGTCTCTTAGAAATGGAGACTGTCTGAATATACCAGTCCAAACCTTTTTAGCTTGTATAGCAGCTTGATTGACGTGAAAATGCCATGAAAGTTGATTTGTGAAATAAACACCAAGATATTTATAGGAGGATGTGGTTTCCAAAATTTCTCCATTGTGAAACCATTTTTCAGTTGATGCTAGTTTCCCCCCATTTTTAATGACTATAACTTTTGTTTTTTCTCTATTTACAACTAAGTTTGATTCTTTACAGAATTTTTCAAGTTCATTAATTTGCCTTTGCAAACCAATCACTGTCGTGGAGAAATGTATGAAATCATCTGCGAACAGCAACAGAAATAATTCCGTAAGATCTGGATGTAACTGTATACCATGGGAGCAATTGTCTTGTATTTGAGTAGCTAATTCATTAATGAAAAAGGAAAATAGAAACTGACTTATTATACAGCCTTGTCTAACACCTAAATCAATAGTAAAAACATTCTGACGCTTTGACATTGGTGTATACACATTGTACTTCTCAAAAGATTACTCTTTTTCAAGCTAATTCCGTGCGATTCTAACAGTGTCCATAGTTTTGTTCTATCTACTCTGTCTAACGCCTTTGAAAAGTCAACGAAAAGTACATAAAATTTTCCACCTCTTTTACTAAGACATTTCTCCAATAGAGTCTGTAGTGTAAAAATATTATCGATGGTAGAATATCCCTTTCGAAAACCAGCTTGTGCTTCACTACATTTCCCCATTATATCTGCCCAATTCTGTAATCTTTTATTTATAATGTATATGAACAATTTACTAAAGACGCTTAAAAGTGTAGTTATTGGTATTGTTAATATCACCATGTTTATGAATGGATACAATCATGCCAACCGTCCATGATTCGGGGAAATTCCCACTCTGTAGAATATGATTAAAAACAAGTGATAGATATGGTATTATGACAGTGTTTGAAGAATTCCGGGTGCATTTTGTCAATTCCTGGCGATTTATTGTTTTTCAAATTATCTGTACGTGTGTCATGACACTTGCATGGAATTTAATTGGCTGATACGCGAACTTTTAACTTTCAGGTACTGTTTTTGATTGATTGATTGGTTGGTTGGTTGGTTGGTTCGATTGATTGATTGATTGATTCACTCATTCAATGAAACTCATTTAACGAAAAATTGTATAATTGTACACGATGCATTTACAGATATAGATAGATACATATGTCATGAGTTGCATTAGTTTGTATACATGTTTCATATAAAATTTCGATGTTCTTGGTCGAGATAGATGTCAATGCAGTTTCATGAAGAAACGTGTGCTGTACATGTCTGATTTACTGAAATAACATGGCCAGGCAGAGCTAATCAGTCAGGCCTTTGATTTGTTTTGTTGCTTGTTGTTTAACGCCACACTCAGCAATATTCCAGCCATATGACGACGATCTGTAAGGAATCGAGTCTACACCAGACAATCCAGTGGTTGATATCATGAGCATCAATTCACGCGATTGGGATACGATGACATGCATCACCCAAGTCAACCTGGCCTCTTACGACCAGCATAGTTGCCTTTTAGGGCAAGCATGGGTTGCTGACGACCTATTCTAACCCGGATCTTCACGGGTATCAGGCCTTTGAAAGTCCATATACGTGTACACAAAATCAATGTAGATGAATAATGGCCTACCGCACTGTGTGTTGTTTTAGGTAGAATAGATGAGCAGAAATAAGGAAATTTAACTATGAAGGGACTTGGATTTCAAAACCAACTGACTATATGTTGCGCTCATTTTTCGCTTTGAAAACCTGAAATATTTGTAAAAGTAAGGTTGAAAAAAACCCGAATTATATGTGCTCTATCAAGTATGAAACCCAGTCAGATATGTACATATAGGCTGACCTACCCAACTCAACAATTTATTTTCACACTTTCATATGACCACCTGCTGATATTTGTGCTTGTCAAACGTTGCCGCTGGTTGATCTACGGGATGACATTTGACATGTAATATAATTAAACCGGCGATAATCATCCACGATCATGACTTATTCTTAAATTTGCTGGCCCAACCAACATGTGCCTGTTAGCTCCTTGTTTTAATATTGCAAACTAGCACGCTCTATAAACACACAATTCTGACAATTCTGACAATTCTGACGTGATCCAGTACTGCGGGAGCAGCTGGTCCTCGTGGTGCTGTAGTCGCGACGGCAAATCAAATTATTTCAGTCATATTAACGTAAGATGTAGTGTCTCATCGACGTAAGATATGTATACAAAAATGGTTATTAAAGTGGATTATGTAGTGATAAAACTTTGCCGTCAGCTGAGATGTTCCAAGTAATTCAACAGCCTCTGTAGTCGTTTCGCAGTATACAAAAAATCGTTTCCATTTCCTGTGAAGTTCTGTCCGTCCTGAAAATAACTTTTATCTGAAGAAATTATTCCACTCGAGACATACACTTAACATGAATTGGGAATAATTAATTAAGAAATAAATGACGAGTTGGAGTTGTTTATCGTACAATAAAACACTGCAGGGAGAATAAACCATGAGGGGCGCAGCGAGTTGTTTATTTGTTATATGAGATATCAACATTTTGTACAGCCTCTTTAAGGATGATGATGAAATGTACAAGCTTTAAAAACATTTACCTGTATTTTAATAACGATGAATCCCTCAATAGAATCCAACCTCGGCAATGTCGGACAAGTCCATTGTTGCACAGGTAGGTATTTCCTGCCTATTCTCACAATTCTCACGTCGATTATCTGTACCTTTTCTCCCAATACCTATTGTCATATCTCTCCCGCTTTTGGATGCGATCGTTCGGCCATCACGTTATCTGCGTTGCCCAGGTAGATAGATCCATGGGGGAACAACTCACAGGACAGCCCCCTCTCAAAAATAACGTCGTCCAACTTGCGACGTCAAGTGACGAGCCCATGTTCGAATCTCAAGGAATGACGTCATGATAGAAAAATGTTTTATCGTGAAATAAACCACGCTTCGTTCTTAATTGTTCTTTGCGATTTATCGCGCAGCTATCTTATATTGTCCTATAAATAAACTGTTTATATATAACAAATATACCATACGTTGTACACCATCTGATATAACCTTACGTACACACATACAGAGTATACTGGTGTGTCTATCTGACAAGCAGGGCCAGCAGGACCGCAAGAAGACAGACTATACCACTGCGGACAGTTCCAGCCGAATCCGTCGTAGGGAATACCACAGCTGGACCTGTGAACAAAGTCCAAATAAAGGAACAATCGTCTTCCTCCCAACATCTGATCGTGTCCAAAGTGCAAACCATTCACTTTAAGAAAGACAAATACTGGTTGAAATTATACCATATCATTATAACAATAAGGAAGATAATTTATTGATGTCAACTTCTTTATTATGAGGAACACAACGTTTCGGAGTATATGCTTACTCCTTCATCAGGTGAATAATGTTTAATATTTCCAGCTTTCCTTAACCTGGTATATCCAGGGGGCTGAAAGGTTCTCATTATGCCTTCAACAATGTGGCCCCAAACATGGTAAACACTTTCTTACCCTAATACCCGTGTGTGGATTGAAAAGCAATTCCAACACTTCAAAATAACAATGAGTTTGTTTCAAGATCTTGGGTTTGAAGGATGACTTGGAGCCGTATTTATCAAACAACTTAGTTTTAACTTATGTTTCTGAAACTTGGCTTAGCTCGGTAACCTAGTGGTTAAAGCGGTCGCTCGTCACGCCAAAGACCCGGGTTCGATTCCCGACATGAGTACAATGTGTGAAGCCCATTTCTGGTGTCCCCCGCCGTGATATTGCTGGAATATTGCTAAAAGCGGCGTAAAACCATACTCACTCACTCACTCATAAACTCATGTTGGTATTCACGAAGCGTTTCAGTCTAAAACATGACAAATTCTGCAGTGACAGACTAAGTCAATTTTACCGGAAGAGATCACGTGATCGTTAGGGACTCACCCAGCAATTTTTAACCTACCAGGGGATCTCTTTTTACTAAGAGAAAGATAATTTCAAAACGTCATCGGGGAATTCCCGGCCAGCACATGATAATAAACAACGCAGCGAGCACCGGACTACTTAGGACCACGACAGAAGAATCGATAAAGAGACGGCCAAGCTTTACAAAGGAAGACATTTTATTACTTGGGGAGGTAGTGGCAGCCAACAAGGTAGTGCTTCATAAATTGTGTTAAGTACTAAGATGTTTTAACAATAATTTTTTTTCATATTCGGCTCGATTCGGCAGATTTGGAATGAAAGATTGGCATGTATTTAATGTGCCAGACACACATGTTGGTTTAAGCATATGTTTACACAAACAATATGAAAAAATCTTACAAGTCGTGTCCAGATTCTTCGCCGTAATGGTTCTTAGAGCTTGGAGGTAGACACTGTTCGTCGTGCACGTCTGTTTGTTGAGACATTCTACGTAGATTTCAGCAGCTCTGGAAAATGTAACAATTATTAAATTTAATATCCGTTGTCCAGAAAGTGACAATAATGAAATGAATAGTTTGTGTATTTTTATTGTGAACGTTTTCTGTGAAAAGAATTCCTGTTTGAAATAACAATCTTTAATTGTGATATCTTTGTTAGCTGATAGGTCTTCATATGTATGCAGTAAAACATACGTTATGTTGATCACACGCCATCTACACAGTTGTCACTGTACAATGTAATGTCTGACATGTATGGTATAACTGTTTGAAAATTTGTTCATCAACTGCCTGTAAAAAAAAGCAGGCCATTACGTTTGGAAGAGGGCCAATACGGGTTCAGCGGGACAATGCGGGTTTGAAGAGGGCCAGTACGGGTGCAGCGGGACAATGCGGTTTTGAAGAGGGCCAACACGGGTTGAGCGGGACAATGCGGGTTGGAAGAGGGCCAACACGGGTTGAGCGGGACAATGCGGGTTGAGCGGGACAATGCGGGTTTGAAGAGGGCCAACACAGGTTCAGCGGGACAATGCGGGTTTGAAGAGGGCCAAAACGGGTTCAGCGGGACAATGCGGGTTTGAAGAGGAAAACCACGGGTTGATCGGGACATTGCGGGTTGAGCGGGACAATGCGGGTTTGAAGAGGGCAAACACGGGTTCAGCGGGAAAATGCGGGTTGAGCGGGACAATGCGGGTTTGAAGAGGGCCAACACGGGTTCAGCGGGACAATGCGGGTTGATCGGGACAATGCGGGTTTGAAGAGGGCCAACACGGGTTGATCGGGACAATGCGGGTTGAGCGGGACAATGCGGGTTTGAAGAGGGCCAACACGGGTTGAGCGGGACAATGCGGGTTGAGCGGGACAATGCGGGTTTGAAGAGGGCCAACACAGGTTCAGCGGGACAATGCGGGTTTGAAGAGGGCCAAAACGGGTTCAGCGGGACAATGCGGGTTTGAAGAGGAAAACCACGGGTTGATCGGGACATTGCGGGTTGAGCGGGACCATGCGGGTTTGAAGAGGGCCAACACGGGTTCAGCGGGACAATGCGGTGGGGCGGGACAATGCGGGTTTGAAGAGGGCAAACACGGGTTCAGCGGGAAAATGCGGGTTGAGCGGGACAATGCGGGTTTGAAGAGGGCCAACACGGGTTGAGCGGGACAATGCGGGTTGAGCGGGACAATGCGGGTTTGAAGATGCCATCACGGATTTGCCCGGCCAGTACGACATTTGCGCCTGCTTGCTCTTACATCATAACAGAGACCCTTCATCAGCACGTCAAAGTGTTGTCATCATATTTCATTCGACTGTTAAACATTTTGAAGTTTTTTTATCTCAGATTTGATGTATTGTGGTGAGTGGACAGTTTTGGCGAAAACTCTTTGAAGCGCCTTAAAATGTACAAGCCGATGTAAGGTGGAGTACACCCGTCTTATGCGCGCAGTATTCCCTTTTTTCATTTGTCAGTTTCCCGTGTGTTTTAATGCATTGTTATTTGTTACAGATAGCTGATTAGTCGTATACGTGGCTAATATGAAAACACCCATGTTATTATACAATAGTCATTATGTTAAGTGGTGAATTTATAATTTAACGTCGCAATATCTGAGCTATGATGTGAAGGAAACGGAAAGGAAAGTATACGTTCATAGAAAACCTCAGTTTGACAGATTAAATGATCACTTTTTACATTTCTACGAAGTTTGTATTTGGCGTATCCTTAAACGGGACTCAATAAATTTTAAATTTGCATCAAGTTAACCAAGACGTACCTGTATGGAATGTGCAGAGGTAGAAACAGAAACGTGACCCCTGTACTCAAATCTCTATTAACAACTTAATGAATATTTGGACTACAAAACAAGTAAATCAAACATAACCAACATCGCCAACGTCCTCTCTAAATACGTGGGGAACAGAACCAGACTTTAGATGGGTGCCGTTCCAAATGACGCCCTTTAGAAATATAGAAACTGTTCAAATTCCATGACTTTATCAATTACCGGTAACAGGATTGTATATCATGGTTTGTATTAACATTTCGTTTTGTTTATTCAACAGTCATATCCGGACATTGTCACAATAACAGCTGTCATGAAAAGTACTTACGTGCAGATCGTGTTGGTAGCCGCGTTGGGTGTGTCGACCGCTGCCACCACAGCAGCACTGCAGGCGTACATTTCGTTGACGTCACAGTGAGTGATGCTTGCTACGGTGAAAACAGTGAGATAATCAGAAATGTTATTGGTGAATTATTCATTATTTTGAATAGACTCAATTAAATTATTATGAATAAAACCCCATATTCTTAAAATTAAGAATTAAGTTAAAATACACATTATAAGTGACCTTTACATGCATGTGTGTATATATTTATATCATTTGTTTTGTTTGATTTTTGTTCAACGCCGCACTCAGCAAAATATTCCAGCTAAATGACTGCGATTCGTAAATATTCGAATCTGGACCAGTGATTGACATTATGAGTATCGATCAACGCTATAGGGATGCGGTGAGATGCATCAACCAAGTCAGCGAGCCTGACCACCCGACCCTGTCAGTCGCTTCTTTCGACTAGCATGGGTTGTCGAGAACCCGGATCATAATGGGATCTATCTTGTGTTTTAGGACATGTATGTACTTGTTATACCGAGGTAGAGTAGATATCCTGTACCCTTCATTGCCGAAAGGTCAAAGGTCGACTGACACGTGGACCAGGTGGCGCCACAGTGTGACCTGCCTGATTGAGTGTCACCATACCTCGATGTTGTTCATGCTGTTGACCACTTGTTTGCTTGGATCAGACAAGAATATTTACACCCTGTCGTGATCAAGCTCCAATACTGCTGACATCAATTAAATACAGCGTTAAGGCATTCCCGCATACATCTCTCTTCCTCCGAAAGGGATGGCGGGTGAGAATTGGTCCCCAGCAACCTATTCTGGTCGTTTAGGGATCGGATGGTCAGGCTCGGTGACTTGTTCACATGGTTTTATAGAATCTTTGCTCACAATATCAATCACTGTACTGTCTGGTCTAGACTCCATATTTACAGGCTATAACGATAAGCCGAAATATTGCAGCGTTTAACAACAAAAACATTCTCCACATTCTCAGTAAATGCGAGATTGCTCAGGTCATGGCCAAACAAAACATTGTATAGAAAGACCCCCAAATACACAAATGAATAACGCAATCTATCAAACTCTCCTTGATATGTCGCGACGTTTACGGTGTTTACCTGGAGTTGTGGAGCCAGCCCCTGAAAGGCAAGTAAACACAGATGAAACAGTAAATCTTGATCAACAGACGGGTAATCTCCCTTCCAGACCTGACAGCACAAACTATAAACACCATTACAGACCCCAGAGTGAGTGAGTGAGTGAGTTGAGTTTAACGCCGCTTTTAACAGTTTTCTAGTTATATCACGGCGTGTCAGCTTAATGTGGGAGGAAAGCCCGAAGTGATGCAGGTCTCATGGGTTTACCACTTCGGTGAAACTCACGAGCACGGGTATGGTGCTGACAAACCTAGAAACATAATCGGGGCGAACCGGGATTCGAACCCACGATCATAGGTTTCTGGCATGCCCAAGGGACGCAACTCTGCACAGCGAATCGCGGCGCCTTAGACGACTGGGCCACCCGTGCCTCCCTACAGACCCCAGAGCATCGATAAAACAAAACCATTGTCCCATTCCATTTTCAGCTCCAGCATCAGATACTCATCCACTTTTCAGCCCTAGACTTAAAGGTTCCTTTTTGAACTTTTTTCATTTAACTTTACCAATTACTTTAGTTCTGGGACTACGCGAGTTCATCTAATCAGCTAGACCTCTCCAAGAACCAATGAGATGTCTGGCACACACTGATCTGGCCCAGTGAAGACGATGGCATGTTTGATTGTGTAAGAATGTTTGTCTGAAGCATATCGGATACATTCCAAACACGGGGTAAATATAACTATAATTCTATTTAGCATTGCAGAAATATTTATTGTATTTCCTTTGGAATGTAAGTGCAAAAATACTTTCGATTCATCTTTAAATTCGATGAATATATTTTCACCACGAGTTACATAATACAGTAAACTTCGGTTATAACGAACTTAAAGGGGCCACTTATTTTAGTTTGTTATAACCTAAATTCGTTATAAACACATACAGAATATATACAGCAAATGGCTGGGTCCAGTTCGTCATATCCGCCAGTTCGTTTTAAGCGTGTTTGTTATAAACGTAGTATACTGAAGGTGGTTGGAATTTACAACTTTCTTTTCTTTGTGACTGGAAACATCTATTCAATTTCCGAATCCCTTGGCTTACTTTATGAATCATACTGTGCCTTATGTGTGTTCATTTTACCTGTTTATCCAGATTATCTTTGATAAAGAACAGTTGTCACATGCTTCGTATAATATACATCACAACGAGGCATTTGGATAAACATATTTGTATTCCCTTAAGGTACCAGGAGCTTAGGTATCAGTGACAAAAAATGATGTCCGATGCAATTCCCTATTTTGACTTGTACCATATGTTCCGGTATTAATTGAGGTGAACAATTGACTTGCCTTGGCATGTGTTTGCTACGGGTGCCGGTTGGGCAGGATACACTCACCTTTGCGCGAACACCTAGTTTCATTACTACTTGATAGTGATTCATAAACACATGCTCATGCTGTAGTCGGAACCGTACACTCGACACTGCTTTATGCAGAGATTTCTGTTGGATATGGGAAGGGTTTTGTCGCTTTATTTGACTGTTCATTTAAGATTGTAACCGCGCAACTGTCACTCAAAATACAAGGCATTTCGAACACTGCCATAAGTTCATCGTAACGGTACATTGTAGGAAGACTCGTTGGCTGCGGACATTTAGACTAACATCCCTGCAACGAGTTGTATTGGTCCGTGTTTCCCACGCCACCAGTCAAGGAGTTGATAAATGAGATCGGGTCGTGGTATTTCTGTTACATGATGGCGTGTCAATTTAATGTCGGAGGGAAGCCCGAAGTTATACTGGAGACGTGACCATTTTGTTGACACACCAAGGGAGGCAACTACACACCAAGGGAGGCAACTACATACCAAGGGAGGCAACTACACACCAAGGGAGGCAACTACATACCAAGGGAGGCAACTACATACCAAGGGAGGCAACTACACACCAAGGGAGGCAACTACACACCAAGGGAGGCAACTACACGTCGAAGGTCACACTGACATCTGCCTTAGTAGTGTACCCAGAACAGGCTAGTGGAATGAGTGAGGTTTGGTTTACGCTGCTTTGTTAACGGGATCTGGACAAAGTGGCTCAGGTTGTCAAGGTTTACCTGTTGTAGTTGTTGTAGGCGTGGACGAGTCAGGGAACACGACGTCCGGACCTTGAAATACAAACAACATGACGTCTTACGTTTTGGCGTGAACACTTATACAGATTAGATATCGTAAAAAATAAAAAGAATTTACCAAACTTTACTTCATGTAGATATGTTTGCTTCATATTAAATGCAGTACATGTAGCTATGTACTGTGTAGTTATGTACGTGTGTGTCTATTGTTTTGAGTAAGAGAGTTAGTTTGGTTTTACGCCGCTTTTAGCAATATTTCGGCAATATCACGGCGGTGACACCAGAAATGGCTTCACACATTGTACCCATGTCGGGAATCGAACCCGGGCCTTCGGTGTGACGAGCGAACGTGATAGTTTTCCAACGTAACCAGACTGTTCTATCATATCCAACCTCTACATATCCAACAATGAGTGAGTGAGTTGGGTTTAACAGTATTCTTGTTAGATCAGGGCGCGTCAGCTTAATTTAGGAGCTAAACGCCCAAAGTGATACAGGTCATAGACGTTTACCACTTTAGTGAAACCCACGAGCATGGGTATTCGAACCCATCATAGGTTTCTGACGAGCTGTATATTTCACAATCAATGTGTAAAATTTTACAAATTTGTGTGTACTTATAGTAAACGTTATTGGTAGAATGTGCTACAGCATTACGAACAAGATGAAGAACACAAATCTCACAAGTTCGGGAAAGGTTCCTGGATGTGATGGTGACGAGTGCTTGAAGATAGACAGCGCTTGTTTTACATGTCTGTTTCTTGAGACACTGTGCATAACTCTCAGCAGCCCTGACGAAATAATGTTAAACCTTTTAAATACATTTTGTCTCGATATTTGATGAATTCGAGAACATATTCTGCTTCATCTTCCCGAGACACGGGAATTAACTGACTGTAAAGGTCCAGGTTCGACCTTTGCCGAACTTGTCTGGAATTTCTAGGCTCGACCTTAGCCCACCAGTAGCTATTGCGAGTTATGTCCCTTCTATGCCCCTCCTATTGACCAATCAGATTCCACCTCTCAAGACGATGATCAAGATATATATTGTAATGAAACGGGTCTTACTTCGGGAAGTGCATCAAATCATGTAAGCACGTTGATTAAAAACATGAAAATACTAGTATTTGGAAAATATTTGTCAACGGCCAGATGACAGTACATATCCTTTGCAAACCCTGCAGTCGACCGAAATCAGCACGTTGAAATCCATGTTTTTTACGGACCGAATGTCGATTTCGTTACGCAATTTTGATGACTATGCATAGACTCGTTAGTCCAGCCAAAATATAACTCCATAATTGCAGCCTAGTTCAGCAAGGGTGGAAACTGGACTTTTACAATCAGGTAACTCCCTTGACTCGGTAAGTTGATTCTGCTGCTAAGACTATGATAACCTTTCATTGTAAAAGCGATACCATCTGGTACTTACACACTTAGTCAGTAATGTACGTTACAATGTAGTCTGTCATACAGACCCTGAAACAAATATATGCAATACAGGCCATGCAAGTCTATAACGTTTGGCAAGTCTAGATTACTTCAGTATCAGAAAATGAAGAAAGTCAATGGCCTCCTTTTTATTATATTTTATAACTATAATTTACCAACCGTTTAGAAATATGTTCATTTCAGAGACTAGATGTTAGTCTAGTTACAAAGGTTCAACGTCCAACAAAGACTGACACAACAGCTAAACAGCTAAACATGCACCAACGCGAGCAGATCCGTTCTGTCTGATACCGGCAGGAGTGGGATGCAAATATTTACTTACGCGCAGATTGTGTTGGTATTCCCGTTGGCGCCATCGACCGCTGTTACCACGGTACTACTGCATTCGTACATTTCGTTGGTGTCACAATGGACGGCTAGATAGGAATAAAGCATCACCAACATTAACATCATCATCAACAATAACATGTACACACCGATTCAATATCCTGTCTTTCGCCTTCCTTAAATTGAGTTCATAAACTGCTGAGCATAAGAAAGATTACACTTGCAAATTAGAATTATCAAAGCTTTACTAGGCTGAAAATAGTCGATGAACAACTGCAAACTTAAGTTCCAAACCACAAATATGATACTCGTATCATATATATCATCATCTTATAACCATTTCTTATTTGTTTTATATTTAGTCATCATCAGACCATCTCCGTATCAAGTGGTAGAGCGCGGCCCGGAGAGCGGAAGGTCTGGGTTTCGATACCAGGCCGCGTCATACCAAAAGACGTTAATAGATGGTACTTGTTGTTACCCTGTCTGGCGGTCGGCATTAAGGGGCTAAAACAAGGGCTGGTTGGCTCGGAGTCAGTATACTGTGTCTGAGTGTGGCATTCATGTTAAACTGCGACATGGTATCTCAGTGGGCTAGCACTATAAATCGGCATCAGTCCGGCCTAGTACAAGCAGCCACACACACACACACACACACACGTGCATGCACGTCGCTATATAAGTGCAATACGCCATTTCACCTCACCTCACCTCAAAACTTAAACATAAAGAAGCGAGAACACTTTCCAAAAGAGACGTTTCAAAATCAGGGGTCAATTACATAAACCAAGGGTGCTTATCTTCGTATGCTACACACCCCAACCCAGTGAGAGACAGGCTGGGTTTACGACACTCTTGTGTCAATAATTGAACAACGTTATCGTGTTGTATGAACAACGTTATCGTGTTGTGTAAACAATGTTATGGTGTTGTAGGAAACAACTTTATCGTGTTGTATGAACAACATAATCGTGTTGTATGAACAACGTTATGGTGTTGTATGAACATCTTTATCATGTTGTATAAACAACATAGTCATGTTGTATGAACAACGCCAACGTTATGGAGTTGTATGAACAACATAATCGTGTTGTATGAACAACGTTATCATGTTGTATGAACAACGTAATCGTGGTGTATGAACAACGTTATCGTGTTGTATGAACAACATACTCATGTTGTATGAACAACGCCAACGTTATGGAGTTGTATGAACAACTTTATCGTGGTGTATGAACAAAGTGCTCGTGGTGTATGAACAACGTTATCGTGTTGTATGAACAAAGTAATCGTGGTGTATGAACAACGTTATCGTGTTGTATGAACAACGTTATCGTGTTGTATGAACAACGTTATCGTGTTGTATGAACAACGTTATCGTGTTGTATGAACAAAGTAATCGTGGTGTATGAACACCGTTATCGTGTTGTATGAACAACGTTATCGTGTTGTATGAACAACGTTATCGTGTTGTATGAACAACGTAATCGTGGTGTATGAACAACGTTATCGTGTTGTAAGAACAACGTATTCGTGGTGTGTGAACAACGTTATCGTGTTGTATGAACAACGTAATCGTGGTGTATGAACAACGTTATCGTGTTGTATGAACAAAGTAATCGTGGTGTATGAACAACGTTATCGTGTTGTATGAACAATGTAATCGTGGTGTATGAACAACGTTATCGTGTTGTATGAACAAAGTAATCGTGGTGTATGAACAACGTTATCGTGTTGTATGAACAAAGTAATCGTGTTGTATGAACAACGTTATCGTGTTGTATGAACAACGTTATCGTGTTGTATGAACAACGTAATCGTGAGGTAAACGCTTACCTGATGCAGTTGTAGTGTCACTGAACGCGACGTTCGCACCTGGAAATACATACACAACCAAAGTCTTTGATTAAAATTACCATACGTTCTGTTATAAGATTAGACATTATAAAATTGTAAAGACTTATAACGAAATTTCCCAAATACAATGATAATTTGGTCAGTGCGACATTTTTCAATTTGTCCATGTTTTATTAAGTCATATGTAAATACAATTTAGCGACGTCCCCATTTAACCATAGGTTGGGCCAAACCACTTAAATCTTACGTCTAACCCACGGCGGTTATTGTTTATCAGCAAACCTCTACATATTTCAATCCATATTTACATCTACCCTGGCACTAGCAACACAGGTAGAAGTCCCAGCTATGCATTTAAAAGGGGTTAAAAGCTATTTCATGTTATTGACTACTACAGTGAAATAGGAAATGCCGTAAAGATTAAAATACATTTTAAGAAATAAATTCGTCTGGAGTTTTCTGTCCGTTGTGGATCAACCGTTCAATGTGATCTCACCGTCACACGCTATTTTACAAAGTAGATATGTCATATATGGCATACAAAGTACAGTGTCTTGTAAGTGTATGCTTAATTTACATGTAATCCGATGCACAGTAATTGTGATTGATTCAATTGTTTCAGTCCTGAATAGAAAACGTCAACACTGAAGAATAATCAGTGTCGACTATCAGCCGAAACAAATTCCATTGGGCGTACAAGGTTTAAATGTAATCAGCGAAGAAACACACGACGTGCCGTCCCAAGTCATCTAAAACATTTTGAAGAATATCATCTTCTGGAACAACTTCCCAAATATTGTAGACGATGGACACTAAAAACGTGATTTTGTAATTCAAAAGTCACAATCGGTGTTTAAGAATATGGCAAAACATTGGTCCGATTTGGAATAAGGAGCTGTTGAATGTCTTTCCGGTTGAATGAAATTCATATTGAATGTGATTATCATCGAAAGAAAACCGAAACATGGCAATAAAACGTTGGAATCAAGAAAACTATTCTCTACATTACTTCCATGAAAATAACATTTTGTTTTATCATGAATGACCGGTAATGTATAAAGATAATCCTCGTAATATTTATGTAAAGATAATTGTCCTAAGTTGCCTTGTCATTGCCAGCCTAGCCGTTAAAATAGGGTCGTCATACGTGAAAGATATGACTTGATTATTCACTACTGTGAGTTTTGAAACATGCAGCGACAGTAGATTATATCCTGCAGTTTTATCGTCACAGAGACAGTGGAATATATCATATAGTTTTGAGTCGTCACAGATACAGTTAAAATATATCCTGCAGTTTTTTCGCCACGCAGACAGTAGAATATATCATACATTTTTGTGTCGTCACAGATACAGTTAAAATATATCCTTCAGTTTTGTCGTCACAGAGACAGTAGAATATATCATACATTTTTGTGTCGTCACAGAGACAGTAGAATATATCATACATTTTTGTTTCGTCACAGAGACAGTAGAATATATCCTTCAGTTTTGTTTCGTCACAGAGACAGTAGAATATATCCTTCAGTTTTATCGTCACAGAGACAGTAGAATATATCCTTCAGTTTTATCGTCACAGAGCCAGTAGAATATATCCTTCAGTTTTGTTTAGTCACAGAGACAGCAGAATATATCCTTCAGTTTTATCGTCACAGAGACAGTAGAATATATCCTTCAGTTTTGTTTCGTTACAGAGACAGTAGAATATATCATACATTTGTGTGTCGTGACGGAGACAATAGAGACAGTAAAATATATCCTTCAGTTTTATCGCCACAGAGACAGTAGAATATATCATACATTTTTGTTTCGTCACAGAGACAGTAGAATATATCCTTCAGTTTTATCGTCACAGAGACAGTAGAATATATCCTTCAGTTTTGTTTCGTCACAGAGACAGTAGAATATATCCTTCAGTTTTATCGTCACAGAGACAGTAGAATATATCCTTCAGTTTTGTTTCGTCACAGAGACAGTAGAATATATCATACATTTTTGTTTCGTCACAGAGACAGTAGAATATATCCTTCAGTTTTATCGTCACAGAGACAGTAGAATATATCATACATTTTTGTTTCGTCACAGAGACAGTAGAATATATCCTTCAGTTTTATCGTCACAGAGACAGTAGAATATATCCTTCAGTTTTGTCGTCACAGAGACAGTAGAATATATCATACATTTGTGTGTCGTGACGGAGACAATAGAGACAGTAAAATATATCCCGCAGTTTTGTCGTCACAGAGACTACAATACACCTGAAAGTTATACCGTATCATCATATCGTATCATTATATCATACCGTTTTGTCACCACAGACACAGTAGAATATATCATTCAGTTTTATCGTCAAATATATAGTAGATATGCCATACGGGTTTACAGTACTAGATATATGATGCAGTTTTATCTTCAAAGATAAGTAGAATTTATCATGTAGTTTCATTGTCACAGAGACAGTAGATTATAGCAACAGTTTTAGCATCAAATGTCAAAATGAATATAAAAAAACAACGCCAGAGTACAACCAAGTCTCGATCTTCCGACGAACAAATTCCATTGGTCTTAAAGAAAAAAAATAGTTGTGAACTATATATTAATTGAACACTGAAAATCAGTAACGACACCTGGCGTCCGCGAAACGGCCATTTTGGAGCGAGCCGTCGATAATGTGAAACACAACAAGCGGAAGCAGGCCACACAATCCCGTTCTAAGACCCAAATACCCAAACATACGAGACAGGCAATTAGCAGCGTTTTAAAGAAACATTGTTTTCAAGTGAAATCTTCTATGACATGAATCAACCCCACTTTACCTGCCACGACCAATATACTTGTATACAGCAGCTCTTTCAACATGGTGGCTCCAACACTGACACACCCTCTACCCTTGAGCTGCCGTCAGATTCCACATTGACCTGGCTGAAGCATTATTGCGACACTTCCTCCTGGTATTTATAAAAAAGCCTGTTCGGCGAGCTAGCCCGTGATATATCGACACATTGACACGGCGTCCTAGTGACACGAGCTATGTCTGTTTAACATGGGGGTTAGGATAACGGTAACGGGTACTCAACGTTTTCCAGACAATCCTTCACAGATGTGCCAGATATTAACCTGAACAACGCCCTATTTGACCTGGAATTCCTCAGCTACAGCCGTAATGTGTACAACGTCTCTTGCAGAGGCATTCCATCTATTGACATTGTACAGAGCGTTGACTGTTATAAGTATTTATTGTTTTAATCACTGAGTGCATGTACATGTGTACACAACGAAACCCAGTTAATCCGGACTATTCCGTTCCCATTGACCCACCCGGATTAAAGATCACATTGGCCCACCACAAATTCAATTGAGCGAAGCATATGCTTAAAATGCCTCCGAGACAGTGCTTCAATGAACAGACAAAATATTGAATTTGGGTAGGATAGACGGGGGAACGACACAAGCCGAAGCTGCCCGTATATTGGCAAATCAAAACGTGTAATTTCTCGACGGTGGGACAAATATCGTCAAACGGGTGGGGTTACAATGAGTGAGTTAGTGACTTGGGTTTTAACGCCGCTTTTAACATTATTCCAGTTATATCACGGCGTGTCAGCTTAATGTGGGAGGAAAGCCCGAAGTGATGCAGGTCTCAGACGTTTACCACTTCGGTGAAACCCACGAGCACGGTTATGGTGCTGACAAACCTAGAAACATAATCGGGGCGAACCGGGATTCGAATCCACAATCATAGGTTTCTGGCGTGTCCAAGGGACGCAACTCTGCACAGCGAATTGCGACGCCTTAGACGACTGGGCCACCCGTTCCCCCTGGTTACAATGAGACCTGGGTGAGGCGGGCCTAACAAAAACGACGTCTAGACAGGATATTCTCATTACATTAATTGCACAACGCAATAGATTCAAATCTCCTGTTATCAATAGAGAATTCCGTGTAATACCAAGGAGAACTGCACCATCGACCGTTAAAAACCGGCTCCATGCAGCCCGCCTGAAAGCAAGGCGTCATGTGAAGGGTGTGACCCCCACAGCTTACCACTCGGTGACTTTCCTGATAGTGTGTCCTCGTACCTCGACGGCATGGATCGTTGCTCCAATAGTCAACTTCCATTTTATGTCGAGTAATATTCCAGCACCTCCAACTTATGTTGTACATTTCATAACTTTTGAGGTACAATCGAGATCGGTCATTCATGGAAGATTTCAAAGAGCGTAATACAACTCTTGCACAAATGTCGTTTGACCCGGGTTACAACTTTTAAGGTATAAGTAAGGGCGTTAAAAAGGTAAGTGACCTTAGAAAATAATGTCCAGGGACCGAAATGATGTCCGGTGCAATTCCTTACTTTTGCCTTGCCTTTGCATGTGTTTGTAGCTGATGCCACATTGGGGCAGCATAAGCTCACATTTTTCGCGAACACCTGGAACACCTGGTATCATAATTGTTTGTTTATGATATACAAAGATCTGCTCATTATATAGTCGGAATCGAACAATGGATTTTGCTTTTAACAGAAATTTCTTATAAATTTGGAAAGGATTTCGCTTTAATGTATCGTTTTACAACCTACATGTTCATCTTGTTTACTTTTGAGTAACAAAATGAAACACATCCCAACTACATTCCTACAAAGCTAAATTCTTTATACCATACGCAGACATCAACTTGCCCTCCTTTCATCAGTGACGTTCACAAGACACATGAGATAACACACTCCTTTCACGAATCAATACAACCCATACAGTGACCGCATACTGTTACCATTATGTACGTCACCCAATGAATTTGCGAATACTTGACCCAAATGATATCGTTGCCTCTAAATGTTTGGATAACCTGTATACCCGTGTACACTAATTTTCCACTGACTCGTTTTCGTTCAACACTTAATAGAGACCTGCAGTGGTAGACAAGACTTTTTACTTGTTTTCCTTGGTAACATGAAGTGTTCTTCGGAAAAAAAAAAATTGGTGAGAAACTATCCAAAATGACGTGTTTCCATGACGACAGGATATATTTTGTGTATAGGATAGCTTTTTAACAAATTTAACTTAGGAGCATATATGCTGAATTAAATTTAATAACCGTCAGTCTTTTCATTTAAATCCACAATCGTATAATATCATATTTACCGTGCAGTCGCTTGCGAATATTTACACATCCGCACTGATATAGATAGTTAAAAACTGCCCCGCCCATGCGTGAGTGAGTGAGTTGGGTTTAACGCCGCTTTTAACAGTATTCACGGCGTATCAGCTTAATGTTGGAGGAAAGCCCGAAGTGATGCAGGTCTCAGACGTTTACCACTTCTAGATTGACTCAACACTTCTATGCCTGAGGCTCTCAAAAAAGTTATATTCTGCTCTGTGGCCATGATATATGATACTATATATAGTATGCTAGTCAAAACGTTTTCCATGCTGTCAGAACTTTATAATAAACACAAAAAAAACGATTATTAATATGTACATTTCGTTTTTTGTAATTTTACTATTGCTTGTTATTATTAGGGAAGTAGATATTGCTTAAATCAAGTCTCATCAGTATTGACTTATAAATGCATCATCAATTAATTATACACATACACGGGCTGACGACTGTTTTCCGACATGAACAGTGCTTTGGGGAAACACACAACCAATTACATTGTTGGGAAGATATTCACATGGTAATAACATCTACTTCGAATGGCAACGATTGATAGGAATAAAAAGAAAATCCTTACACATCGTCTTAAAGGTTTTGCCTGAGAGGTCTGGTTTATTCTCATACGCGTGGATGTATGATGTAGCATCGCATTGCGTCAGGCCCAGCATACACGTCTTGAATTTCCGAAAGGCCCTGAAAACAGAAGGTTGACATGTTCTAGCCAATCACTGATGGAAGCATAGACAGCTAGATATTAGTTGTGTCCAAATGTTGACATGACCCGTTAAGATCCGGGTTAGAATAAGTCTCAGTGATCCATGTTTGACGTAAGAGGCGACTAATGGGATCGGGTGGTCAGGCTCGCTTACTTGACTGATGCATATCATCGTCTCCAAATTGCGTGGATGCTCATGATATCAATCTCTGGATTGCCTAGCCCAGGATCGATAATTCCTGACCGCCGTCATATAGCTGGAATATTGCTGAGTGCGGCGTTAAACAGTGTGTAGAGTAGAGTGTAGAGTTAAACAGCAAAAAAAAAAAATATTTTGCGTCAGTTGTGACCACATGTTGACATCATCAATCCAATCACTGATAGAAGGGAATCAATCAGTAGCTAGCTATTGTATTAGTTGATACTTCATGCTGACATCTTCAAACCAATGATTGATAGAAGGGAATAAATCAGTAGCTAGATATTGTATTAGTTGTTGCTACATGTTGACACCTTCAAACCAATCATTGATAGAAGGGAATAAATCAGTAGCTAGCTATTGTATTAGTTGTTGCTACATGTTGACATCTTCAAACTCTAAAAACTACGTATTGACATCTTAATGACTATGGTCATTATCCGAAATTCATGACGCGGTAATTTTGGAACTGCTGTGGTTATTTGCTTGTTTGTTTAATGCCGCACTCTTATATTCCAGACCCGTGAAGATTCGGGGTAGAATAGGTCTTCAGCAACGCATGCTTGCCGTAAAAGGCAACTATGCTGTCATAAGAGGCGACTAACGGGATCGGGTGGTCAGGCTCCCTGACTTGGTCGATGCATGTTTTCGTATCCCAATTGAGTGGATCGATGCTCATGATGTCAATCAGTGGATTGTCTGGCGCAGACTCGATAATGTACAGACATAGCTGGAATATTGCTGAGTGAGGCGTTAAAAAACAAACAAACAACAAACCCCTTATATTCCAACCGTGTGACGGCTGTCTGCAAATAATCGAGTCTCGACCAGACAATCCAGTCATATAGTGTTGCAACTTCCAATTTGTTGATATATAACTCGATATAGTTTTTTCAGTTTGTTGCTTGTGTTATCAATGAGCAGACATTCGACACCCAAAGACATTTACTCTTTTACGCCACGCCCACAAAGCAAGACGAAATAACCAACTATTTGTCATGCTGTTTTACATACCTGCATATTGACGTTGTGCTGGTGCCCATCTCGGACGCAGAGATTGAGCAGGATGCTATAGCACTGAGGCCACATGACGCTTCGGTGTGAGCCACCAGTCCTGGAAAATCAACGGTGTTACACGTTGGTGTGTACTGCAGTACTCAACGTGTCATGGAGTTAATGTTATCGGGGGCACAGGTGGCACAGTAGGTGGCGCGGTTCGCTGTGCAGAGTTGCGTCCCTTGGACACGCCAGAAACCTATGAGTGAGGGTTCGAATCCCGGTTCGCCACGATTATGGTTCTAGGTTTGTCCGCATCATACCCGTGCTCGTGTGTTTCACCGAAGTGGTAAACGTCTGAGACCTGCATCACTTCGGGCTTTCCTCTCACATTAAGCTGACATTAAGCCGTGACATAACTGGAAAAATGTTTAAGCGGCGTTAAACCCAACTCACTAATGCTATCGCCACAGTAGTTACATGACATATACTTTATAACATATATAATATGATGCGTGCGTGTTTGTACATTAGATTGACATAATCTCTCCCTCACATGATTTATCAGTTAATTCCATATTGTCTTGCCGTTCTCTGATGGAAGCTCCCTAAAACTGCTAAGGCTATGTTTCAGCCACTATTTAAACGTGTGATAAATTCTGTCAACCTGTAGTCCATTTGCTCCAAAATCGTACCGATGAAATGCAATATAGATATAAATCCGAAAACAATTCGTCTTAGATGGCATGAAAGTTGTTGTTTTTTGTCCACACCAACCCGTCACCATAATTTCAGACATTGTCATCAAGTAGGGAAAATATTGTTTAACAAACTATCATGTAATTGTTGGTGATTCAATGCCTGCTGTTACAAGGGGGTCTGCGCAATAAACATAACAGCTGAAGGGCATCGCGGAAAACAGGGTGAGTCTAAAAAATCCTCTTTTATCATATGAAGCTTTTATTCCCGTCTCAACATTGTCAGTGCACCCCCTCCGACGCGCAGTAATCAAGAACGTGAAATACCAAGGTTTTCAAATCAGCTGTGAATTTCATTCATGTACCGTATTGTAATCATGATACATTGAGCTCGTTCTGTTTGTTTTATTATTATTTTGCATTTGAAATTAGTCGAATAGCAACAGTAAGAACATCACTAACATTGCTTTGAGAATAGTGTACAGATTCCCATTGTATATTCCGTTTAATAACTACCACAGAAAGATACTCTTCTGAATTAGACGTTTCATTTGCGAAGATTTCATTTCAGACAATACAGTAGTGGGTTGGCTCAACATGCGCGAATTTCACCGGCGAATGTAGGGCTGTTCAGTTTACAGTGCAGATCAGGCATTAATACACAAATAATTACATGAGAGTTTGTCAAACAACTTTTTCTCTACTTCATGACCATATCTGAAATTATGGACAAAGAAACAACTTTCATGCCATGTAAAACGAAGTCTTGCATTTGGATTTATATTTATTTTGCATTTCATCGGTACGATAGTGCAACAAACGGACTATAGAACGTTATGCTTTCATATTCCATTTTTAATGTTTCTTTAAACTGACTTTCTAAGGTAAGTGACACGAAGGAATATGTGGCAAAAACACATGTGTTAGCCCCTTGCCCTTCCGTTCTGTTTGCCTATGTACCAGCCTACCGGTATCTCACCTGCGATAACAACGAAGCTTGTATAAAGGACGTTCCTCCACATAGTTGGTAATCTTACCGTTGACCCAGCTGTAATGAAATGGAAGCTGCCACCTAGCGGGTTTTGATATCAGAAATATTTCGAAATGCTCATTGCGAAATATAACAGGGCAGATTCATGATTGATGATAATGTGTTTGCGTAGAATCTGTGACGAAATTAGTCCCCTATCACAATTGGTTGTTGTAAGATCGGGTGTTCTGTGTAGTGGTCTATGTGAAGGGTTCTGTGTGTCGTGTTCTGTTTGGTGTTGTGTGTATACTTTTGTGTGTAGTGTTTTGTGTGTCGTGTTCTGTGTGGACTTTTGTGTTTTGTGTGTCATGTTCTGTGGGTCTTGTTTTGTGTATTGTTCTGTGTGAATGGTTCTGTGTGTCGTGTATTGTGTCTCGTATTCTGTAGTGTTCTGTGTGAATGGTTCTGTGTGTCGTGTATTGTGTCTCGTATTCTGTAGTGTTCTGTGTGAATGGTTCTGTGTGTCGTGTATTGTGTCTCCTATTCTGTAGGGTTCTGTGTGAATGGTTCTGTGTGTCGTGTATTGTGTCTCCTATTCTGTAGTGTTCTGTGTGAATGGTTCTGTGTGTCGTGTATTGTGTCTCCTATTCTGTAGGGTTCTGTGTGAATGGTTCTGTGTGTCGTGTATTGTGTCTCCTATTCTGTAGGGTTCTGTGTGAATGGTTCTGTGTGTCGTGTATTGTGTCTCCTATTCTGTAGGGTTCTGTGTGAATGGTTCTGTGTGTCGTGTATTGTGTCTCCTATTCTGTAGGGTTCTGTGTGAATGGTTCTGTGTGTCGTGTATTGTGTCTCGTATTCTGTAGTGTTCTGTGTGAATGGTTCTGTGTGTCGTGTATTGTGTCTCGTATTCTGTAGGGTTCTGTGTGAATGGTTCTGTGTGTCGTGTATTGTGTCTCCTATTCTGTAGGGTTCTGTGTGAATGGTTCTGTGTGTCGTGTATTGTGTCTCCTATTCTGTAGTGTTCTGTGTGAATGGTTCTGTGTGTCGTGTATTGTGTCTCCTATTCTGTAGGGTTCTGTGTGAATGGTTCTGTGGGTCGTGTATTGTGTCTCCTATTCTGTAGGGTTCTGTGTGAATGGTTCTGTGTGTCGTGTATTGTGTCTCCTATTCTGTAGGGTTCTGTGTGAATGGTTCTGTGTGTCGTGTATTGTGTCTCCTATTCTGTAGGGTTCTGTGTGAATGGTTCTGTGTGTCGTGTATTGTGTCTCCTATTCTGTAGGGTTCTGTGTGAAGGGATCTATGTGTAGTGTTCGGTGTATAGCGTTCTGTGTGTAAACCATGCTGTTGACCACTTGTTTGCTTGGATCAGACAAGAATATTTACACCCTGGCGTGATCAAGCTCCAATACTGCTGACATCAATTAAATACAGCGTTAATGCATTCCCGCATACATCTCTCTTCTTCCGAAAGGGATGACGGGTTAGAATTGGTCCCCAGCAACCTATTCTGGTCGTTAAGGGATCGGATGGTCAGTCAGGCCGGTCAGGCTCACATGGTTTTTATAGAATCTTTGCTCACAATATCAATCACTGTACTGTCTGGTCTAGACGCCATGTTTACAGGCTATAAGGGTAAGCCGGAATATTGCGGCGTTTAACAACCAAAGAATTCTCCACATTCTCAGTAAATTCGAGAATGCTCAGGTCATGGCCAAACAAAGCGATGTATAAAAAGATCCCCAAATACACAAAGGAATAACGCAATCTATCAAACTCTCCTTGATATGTCGCAACGTTTACGGTGTTTACCTGGAGTTGTGGAGCCAGCCCCTGAAAGGCAAGTAAACACAGATGAAACAGTAAACCTAGAACAACAGACGGGTAATCTCCCTTCCAGACCTGACAGCACAAACTATAAACACCATTACGGACGCCAGAGTGAGTGAGTGAGTGAGTGAGTGAGTTGGGTTTAACGCCGCTTTTAACAGTTTTCCAGTTATATCACGGCGTGTCAGCTTAATGTGGGAGGAAAGCCCGAAGGGATGCAGGTCTTAGACGTTTACCACTTCGGTGAAACCCATGAGCACGGGTATGGTGCTGACAAACCTAGAAACATAATCGGGGCGAACCGGGATTCGAACCCACAAGCATAGGTTTCTGACGTGCCCAAGAGACGCAACTCTGCACGTCGAATCGCGGCGCCTTAGACGACTGGGCCACCCGTGCCTCCCTACAGACCCCAGAGCATCGATAAAACAAAACCATTGTCCCATTCCATTCTCAGCTCCAGCATCACATACTCATCCACCTTTCAGCTCTAGACTTAAAGGTTCCTTTCAGAACTATTTTCATTTAACTTTACCAATTACTTTAGTTCTGGGACTACGCGAGTTCATCTAATCAGTTAGACCTCACCAAGAACCAATGAGACGTCTGTCACACACTCATCTGGCCCAGTGAAGACGATGGCAGTTTTGATTGTGTAAGAATGCTTGTCTGAAGCATATCGGATACATTCCAAACACGGGGTAAATATAATTGTAATTCTATTTAGCATTACAGAGATATATATTGTCTTTTCTTTCAAGTGTGCCACAGGACACTCGTCAAGATGTTTAGGTGTCCCTTTTGGAATGTAAGTATCTTTAAATTCGGTAAATAAATTTTCACCACGAGTTACATAATAGATGGTTGGAATTTACAACTTCCTTTTCTTTGTGACTGGAAACATCTATTCAATCTCTGAATCGCTTGGCTTACTTTATGAATCATACTGTGTATTATGTGTGCTCATTTTACCTGTTTATCAAGATTGTTTTTGTTATCACTTGCTTCGTATAATATACATCACAACGAGGCATTTGGATAAACATATTCGTATACACTTAAGGTACCAGGAGCTTAGGTATCAGTGACAAAAAATGATGTCCGATGCAATTCCTTATTTTGACTTGTACCATATATTCCTGTTTTAATTTAGGTGAACAATTGACTTGCCTTGGCATGTGTTTGTTACGGGTGCCATCGGTTGGGCTGGATACGCTCACCTTTTCGCGAACACCTGGTTTCATTACTATTTAATAAGGATTCATAAACACATGCTCATGATATAGTCGGAATCGTACAATCGACACTGCTTTATGCAGAGATTTCGCTTTATTTGACTGTGCATTTAAGATTGCAACCGTGCAACTGTCACTCAAATACAAGGCATTTCGAACACTGCCATAAGTTCATCGTAACGGTACATTGTAGGAAGACTCGTTGGCTGCGGACATTTAGACTATCATCCCTGCAACGAGTTGTATTGGTCCGTGTTTTCCACGCCATCAGTCAAGGAGTCGATAAATGAGATCGAGTCGTGGTTTTTCTCTTACATGATGGCGTGTCAATTTAATGTCGGAGGAAAGCCCGAAGTTATACTGGAGACGTGACCATTTTGCTGACACACCAAGGGAGGCAACTACACACCAAGGGAGGCAACTACACACCAAGGGAGGCAACTACACGTCGAACGTCACACTGACATCCGCCTTAGTAGTGTACCCAGAACAGGCTAGAGGAATGAGTGAGGTTTGGTTTACGCTGCTTTGTTAACGGGATCTGGACAAAGTGGCTCAGGTTGTCAAGGTTTACCTGTTGTAGTTGTTGCAGGCGTGGTCGGGTCAGTGAAGACGACGTTCGGACCTTGAAATACAAACAACATGACGTCTTACGTTTTGGCGTGAACACTTATACCGATTAGACATCACAAAAAATGAAAAGAATTTACCAAACTTTTCTTTCATGTAGATATGTTTGCTTCATATTAAATGCAGTACATCTAGCTATGTATTGTGTAGTTATGTACGTGTGCATCTATAGCATTGAGTAAGTGAGTTAGTTAGCAATATTTCACGGCGGGGACACCAGAAATTGGCTTCACACATTGTACCCTTGTCGGGAATCGAACACGGCCTTCGGTGTGACGAACGAACGTTTTAACCGCTTGGCTACCCGGGCACCCCCTGATAGTTGTCCAACGTAACCAGACTGTTCTATCATATCCAACCTCTATATATCCAACAATGAGTGAGTGAGTTGGGTTTAATGCCACTTTGAACAGTATTCTTGTTAGATCAGCGCGTGTCAGCTTAATGTGGGAGTTAAACGCCCAAACTGATGCAGGTCACAGACGTTTACCACTTCGGTGAAACCCACGAGCACTGGCATGGTACTGACAAACCAAGAAACATAATCGGGGCGAACGGGGATTCGAACCCGTTATAGGTTTCTGGCGAGCTATATATTTCACAATCAATGTGTAAAATTTTACAAATTTGCCCATTTGTTATATTATGATAATATGACAACGAATTCGTCAAAGTCGAAAGTCAATATATAGAGAGGTGAAATTTACTAGTGTACAGCAGCTATTAAATAGACAAATTAAAAAAAACAAACCGACACGAATTCTCTCCAACATGTGTTTGTTTTTTTCTTCAGGGAGAAGTCTTCTCCCTGAAGAAAAAAATATGTGTGTGTATATGAGTGTGTGTGCTTATAGTAAACGTTATGGGTAGAATGTGCTATAGGATTACGAACAAGATTAAGTACACAAATCTCACAAGTTCGGGAAAGGTTCCTGGATGTGATGGTGACGAGTGCTTGAAGATAGACAGCGCTTGTTTTACATGTCTGTTTCTTGAGACACTGTGCATAACTCTCAGCAGCCCTGACGAAATAATGTTAAACCTTTTAAATACATTTTGTCTCGATATTTGATGAATTCGAGAACATATTCTGCTTCATCTTCCCGAGACACGGGAATTAACTGACTGTAAAGGTCCAGGTTCGACCTTTGCCGAACTTGTCTGTAATTTCTAGACTCGACCTTAGCCCACCAGTAGCTATTGCGAGTTTTGTCCCTTCTATGCCCCTCCTATTGACCAATCAGATTCCACCTCTCAAGACGATGATCAAGATATATATTGTAATGAAACGGGTCTTACTTCGGGAAGTGCATCAAATCATGTAAGCACTTTGATTAAAAACATGAAAATACTAGTATTTGGAAAATATTTGTCAACGGCCAGATGACAGTACATATCCTTTGCAAACCCTGCAGTCGACCGAAATCAGCACGTTGAAATCCATGTTTTTTACGGACCGAATGTCGATTTCGTTACGCAGTTTTGATGACTATGCATAGACTCGTTAGTCCAGCCAAAATATAACTCCATAACTGCAGCCTAGTTCAGCAAGGGTGGAAACTGGACTTTTACAATCAGGTAACTCCCTTGACTCGGTAAGTTGATTCTGCTGCTAAGACTATGATAACCTTTCATTGTAATAGCGATACCAGCTGGTACTTACACACTTAGTCAGTAATGTACGTTACAATGTAGTCTGTCATACAGACCCTGAAACAAATATATGCAATACAGGCCATGCAAGTCTATAACGTTTGGCAAGTCTAGATTACTTCAGTATCAGAAAATGAAGAAAGTCAATGGCCTCCTTTTATTATATTTTATAACTATAATTTACCAACTGTTTGGAAATATGTTCATTTCAGAGACTAGATGTTAGTCTAGTTACAAAGGTTCAACGTCCAACAAAGACTGACACAACAGCTAAACAGCTAAACATGCACCAACGCGAGCAGATCCGTTTTGTCCGATACCGGCAGGAGTGGGATGCAAATATTTACTTACGCGCAGATTGTGTTGGTATTCCCGTTGGCGCCATCGACCGCTGTTACCACGGTACTACTGCATTCGTACATTTCGTTGGTGTCACAATGGACGGCTAGATAGGAATAAAGCATCACCAACGTTAACATCATCATCAACAATAACATGTACACACCGATTCAATATCCTGTCTTTCGCCTTCCTTAAATTGAGTTCATAAACTGCTGAGCATAAAACAGATTACACTTGCAAATTAGAATTATCAAAGCTTTACTAGGCTGAAAATAGTCGATGAACAACTGCAAACTTAAGTTCCAAACCACAAATATGATACTCGTATCATATATATCATCATCTTATATTTGTTTCATATTTAGTCATCATCAGACCGTCTCCGTATCAAGTGGTAGAGCGCGGCCCGGAGAGCGGAAGGTCCGGGTTTCGATACCCGGCCGCGTCATACCAAAAGACGTTAATAGATGGTTCTTGTTGTTACCCTGTCTGGCGGTCGGCATTAAGGGGCTAAAACAAGGGCTGGTCGGCTCGGAGTCAGTATACTGTGTCTGAGTGTGGCATTCATGTTAAACTGCGACATGGTATCTCAGTGGGCTAGCACTATAAATCGGCATTAGTCCGGCCTAGTACAAGGAGCCACACACACACACACACACACACACACGTGCATGCACGTCGCTATATAAGTGCAATACGCCATTTCACCTCACCTCACCTCATAACATAAACATAAAGAAGCGAGAACACTTTCCAAAAGAGACGTTTCAAAATCAGGGGTCAATTACATAAACCAAGGGTGCTTATCTTCGTATGCTACACACCCCAACCCAGTGAGAGACAGGCTGGGTTTACGACACTCTTGTGTCAATAATTGAACAACGTTATCGTGTTGTATGAACAACGTTATCGTGTTGTGTAAACAACGTTATGGTGTTGTAGGAAACAACTTTATCGTGTTGTATGAACAACATAATCGTGTTGTATGAACAACGTTATGGTGTTGTATGAACATCTTTATCATGTTGTATAAACAACATAGTCATGTTGTATGAACAACGCCAACGTTATGGAGTTGTATGAACAACATAATCGTGTTGTATGAACAACGTTATCATGTTGTATGAACAACGTAATCGTGGTGTATGAACAACGTTATCGTGTTGTATGAACAACATACTCATGTTGTATGAACAACGCCAACGTTATGGAGTTGTATGAACAACTTTATCGTGGTGTATGAACAAAGTACTCGTGGTGTATGAACAACGTTATCGTGTTGTATGAACAAAGTAATCGTGGTGTAAGAACAACGTTATCGTGTTGTATGAACAACGTTATCGTGTTGTATGAACAACGTTATCGTGTTGTATGAACAACGTTATCGTGTTGTATGAACAACGTTATCGTGTTGTATGAACAAAGTAATCGTGGTGTATGAACACCGTTATCGTGTTGTATGAACAACGTTATCGTGTTGTATGAACAACGTTATCGTGTTGTATGAACAACGTAATCGTGGTGTATGAACAACGTTATCGTGTTGTAAGAACAACGTATTCGTGGTGTGTGAACAACGTTATCGTGTTGTATGAACAACGTAATCGTGTTGTATGAACAACGTTATCGTGTTGTATGAACAACGTAATCGTGGTGTATGAACAACGTTATCGTGTTGTATGAACAAAGTAATCGTGGTGTATGAACAACGTTATCGTGTTGTATGAACAATGTAATCGTGGTGTATGAACCACGTTATCGTGTTGTATGAACAAAGTAATCGTGGTGTATGAACAACGTTATCGTGTTGTATGAACAAAGTAATCGTGTTGTATGAACAACGTTATCGTGTTGTATGAACAACGTTATCGTGTTGTATGAACAACGTAATCGTGAGGTAAACGCTTACCTGATGCAGTTGTAGTGTCACTGAACGCGACGTTCGCACCTGGAAATACATACACAACCAAAGTCTTTGATTAAAATTACCATACGTTCTGTTATAAGATTAGACATTATAAAATTGTAAAGACTTATAACGAAATTTCCCAAATACAATGATAATTTGGTCAGTGCGACATTTTTCAATTTGTCCATGTTTTATTAAGTCATATGTAAATACAATTTAGAGACGTCCCCATTTAACCATAGGTTGGGCCAAACCACTTAAATCTTACGTCTAACCCACGGCGGTTATTGTTTATCAGCAAACCTCTACATATTTCAATCCATATTTACATCTACCCTGGCACTAGCAACACAGGTAGAAGTCCCAGCTATGCATTTAAAAGGGGTTAAAAGCTATTTCATGTTATTGACTACTACAGTGAAATAGGAAATGCCGTAAAGATTAAAATACATTTTAAGAAATAAATTCGTCTGGAGTTTTCTGTCCGTTGTGGATCAACCGTTCAATGTGATCTCACCGTCACACGCTATTTTACAAAGTAGATATGTCATATATGGCATACAAAGTACAGTTTCTTGTAAGTGTATGCTTAATTTACATGTAATCCGATGCACAGTAATTGTGATTGATTCAATTGTTTCAGTCCTGAATAGAAAACGTCAACACTGAAGAATAATCAGTGTCGACTATCAGCCGAAACAAATTCCATTGGGCGTACAAGGTTTAAATGTAATCAGCGAAGAAACACACGACGTGCCGTCGCAAGTCATCTAAAACATTTTGAAGAATATCATCTTCTGGAACAACTTCCCAAATATTGTAAACGATGGACACTAAAAACGTGATTTTGTAATTCAAAAGTCACAATCGGTGTTTAAGAATATGGCAAAACATTGGTCCGATTTGGAATAAGGAGCTGTTGAATGTCTTTCCGGTTGAATGAAATTCATATTGAATGTGATTATCATCGAAAGAAAACCGAAACATGGCAATAAAACGTTGGAATCAAGAAAACTATTCTTTTACATTACTTCCATGAAAATAACATTTTGTTTTATCATGAATGACCGGTAATGTATAAAGATAATCCTCGTAATATTTATGTAAAGATAATTGTCCTAAGTTGCCTTGTCATTGCCAGCCTAGCCGTTAAAATAGGGTCGTCATACGTGAAAGATATGACTTGATTATTCACTACTGTGAGTTTTGAAACATGCAGCGACAGTAGATTATATCCTGCAGTTTTATCGTCACAGAGACAGTGGAATATATCATATAGTTTTGAGTCGTCACAGATACAGTTAAAATATATCCTGCAGTTTTTTCGCCACGCAGACAGTAGAATATATCATACATTTTTGTGTCGTCACAGATACAGTTAAAATATATCCTTCAGTTTTGTCGTCACAGAGACAGTAGAATATATCATACATTTTTGTGTCGTCACAGAGACAGTAGAATATATCATACATTTTTGTTTCGTCACAGAGACAGTAGAATATATCCTTCAGTTTTGTTTCGTCACAGAGACAGTAGAATATATCCTTCAGTTTTATCGTCACAGAGACAGTAGAATATATCCTTCAGTTTTATCGTCACAGAGACAGTAGAATATATCCTTCAGTTTTGTTTAGTCACAGAGACAGTAGAATATATCCTTCAGTTTTATCGTCACAGAGACAGTAGAATATATCCTTCAGTTTTGTTTTGTTACAGAGACAGTAGAATTTATCATACATTTGTGTGTCGTGACGGAGACAATAGAGACAGTAAAATATATCCTTCAGTTTTATCGCCACAGAGACAGTAGAATATATCATACATTTTTGTTTCGTCACAGAGACAGTAGAATATATCCTTCAGTTTTGTTTCGTCACAGAGACAGTAGAATATATCCTTCAGTTTTATCGTCACAGAGACAGTAGAATATATCCTTCAGTTTTGTTTCGTCACAGAGACAGTAGAATATATCATACATTTTTGTTTCGTCACAGAGACAGTAGAATATATCCTTCAGTTTTATCGTCACAGAGACAGTAGAATATATCATACATTTTTGTTTCGTCACAGAGACAGTAGAATATATCCTTCAGTTTTATCGTCACAGAGACAGTAGAATATATCCTTCAGTTTTGTCGTCACAGAGACAGTAGAATAAATCATACATTTGTGTGTCGTGACGGAGACAATAGAGACAGTAAAATATATCCCGCAGTTTTGTCGTCACAGAGACTACAATACACCTGAAAGTTATACCGTATCATCATATCGTATCATTATATCATACCGTTTTGTCACCACAGACACAGTAGAATCTATCATTCAGTTTTATCGTCAAATATATAGTAGATATGCCATACGGGTTTACAGTACTAGATATATGATGCAGTTTTATCTTCAAAGATAAGTAGAATTTATCATGTAGTTTTATTGTCACAGAGACAGTAGATTGTAGCAACAGTTTTAGCATCAAATGTCCAAATGAATATAAAAAAAATCAACGCCAGAGTACAACCAAGTCTCGATCTTCCGACGAACAAATTCCATTGGGCGTAAAGAAAAAAATAAATTGTGAACTATATATTAATTGAACACTGAAAATCAGTAACGACACCTGGCGTCCGCGAAACGGCCATTTTGGAGCGAGCTGTCGATAATGTGAAACACAACAAGCGGAAGTAGGCCACACAATCCCGTTCTAAGACCCAAATACCCAAACATACGAGACAGGCAATTAGCAGCGTTTTAAAGAAACATTGTTTTCAAGTGAAATCTTCTATGACATGAATCAACCCCACTTTACCTGCCACGACCAATATACTTGTATACAGCAGCTCTTTCAACATGGTGGCTCCAACACTGACACACCCTCTAACGTTGAGCTGCCGTCAGATTACACAATGACCTGGCTGAAGCATTATTGCGACACTTCCTCCTGGTATTTATAAAAAAGCCTGTTCGGCGAGCTAGCCCGTGATATATCGACATATTGACACGGCGTCCTATTGACACGAGCTATGTCTGTTTAACATGGGGGTTAGGATTACGGTAACGGGTACTCAACGTTTTCCAGACAATCCTTCAAAGATGTGCCAGATATTAACCTGAGCAACGCCCTATTCCTCAGTCTCATATATACAGTCGTATGTGTACAACGTTTCTTGCAGAGGCATTCCATCTATTGACATTGTACAGAATGTTGACTGTTATAAGTATTTATTGTTTTAATCACTGAGTGCATGCACATGTGTACACAACGAAACCCCGTTAATCCGGACTATCCCGTTCTCATTGTCCCACCCGGATTAAACAAGTGCCCGGATTAAGGAGTTATTGGTTTGGACTAATGTCGTATACCCCGATGTCCCACAATAAGCGTCCGAAAGCGGGGTGTCCGGATTATAGAGGTCACTGTACCAATGATCGTCCACGCTGTGTATTTTGTTCCTTCTTCCAAATATCCAAATGTACTTCACCGTTTTCCTTTGTTATGACCATATCTCTGATTTTAATAATTATATTTATGGCCACCGGGCAACGCTTTGTGTGAAATTGCGTATACCTTCGGAACTTCTGCCATGAACTTTGAACTATGGGCGTGAACATGATAGGCTGTGTGCCCATATTTGGTGCTGTGTCGGATGGAGCTCTTGGAAGTACTCAGTGTTGGGTGCATACAGATCATTGTCTCAATACAAGAAGTGACAGACAAGTGTGTGTGTGTGTGTGGGTGTGTTCGCGCGTATCTCTGTGTGTGCGTGTGTGTGTGCGTGCGTGCATGTTTGTGTGTGCGCATGTGTGTTTCTGTGTGTGTGTATCTGTGTGTGCGTGTGTGTATCTGTATGTGTGTGCGTGTGTCAGTGTGTGTGTATGTGTGTGCGTGTTTGTGCGTGCGTGCATGCATGTTTGAGTGCGCATGTGTGTTTCTGTGCGTGTGTATCTCTGTGTGTGCGTGTGTGTATCTGTATGTGTGTGCGTATGTCAGTGTGTGTGTATGTGTGTGCGTGTTTGTGCGTGCGTGCGTGCATGTTTGTGTGTGCGCATGTGTGTTTCTGTGCGTGTGTATCTCTGTGTGTGCGTGTGTGTATCTGTATGTGTGTGCGTATGTCAGTGTGTGTGTATGTGTGTGCGTGTTTGTGCGTGCGTGCATGCATGTTTGTGTGTGCGCATGTGTGTTTCTGTGCGTGTGTATCTCTGTGTGTGCGTGTGTGTATCTGTATGTGTGTGCGTATGTCAGTGTGTGTGTATGTGTGTGCGTGTTTGTGCGTGCGTGCATGCATGTTTGTGTGTGCGCATGTGTGTTTCTGTGCGTGTGTATCTCTGTGTGTGCGTGTGCGTGTGCGTGTACGTATATATTTATCATGTGGTGTTATTGTCACAGAGACAGTAGATTGTAGCATACATTTGTATCATCAAATGTCCAAATAAATATTTTAAAAAATCAACACCAGTCTCGATTTTCCGACGAACAAATTCCATTGGGCGTAAAGATAAAAAATAGTGGTGAACTATATATTAATTGAACACTGAAAATCAGTAACGACACCTGGCGTGTGTATCTGTATTTGTGTGCGTGTGTGTATGTGTGTCTGTGTGAGTTTGCGTATATATACTGAACCAAATTAAAAACTTCACAATCCTAAAATTTGAACATTTTGGCCAGTTATCATTGTTGGACCTTATTGTGTATTTAAACAGTAATGGCCACGTATTGTCTTCAGATAACACCCGTTTTTGTGCAGGTGAATCGATCAAAATCATGTGCACAGCACTATAGTGGCAAAAGTGTTTTTTCACGTGCAACTGATCACGTGGCCATAATAAGGCACGTGTTTTCAACCATACTTGTTAGCAGTCATTAACAAAAAAGAAAAAAACACAAGAAAACAAAAGTCTTTACGGCCATTGGTCATGCCACGCCTTTCAAATGTGCAACGTGAACGTGCCATCGGCATGTTGCAGACGGGAACGTCCGTAGCTGAAGTCGCAAGGACGATGGGTTGTAGTCGACGGACTCTTTATGATTTACAGACGCGTCTACAGCAAACGGGTACCACCGCTGATCGCCCTCGTCCAGGCCGACCACGTGTGACGTCACATGCAGAGGATCGTCAGATTGTCTTACGTCACCACCGTAACCGATTTTTGACGGCTACCTCAACCAGAAATGAACTGTTTAGGGGTAGACTGAGTGCGCAAACTGTTCGAAACCGTCTGAGAACTGCTCACCTTCAAGCACGACGGCCATACTGCGGGCCGATTCTGACTCAATTACACAGACGTCAACGTCAATTGTGGGCACAGCGACACTTACGATGGACTCAGAGAAATTGGAATCAAGTCGTCTTCAGTGATGAATCCCGATTTAATCTTCGATATGCTGAAGGTAGGGCGAGGGTGTGGAGGCGCCGTCATGAACGTTACGCCCAGTGTTGTGTACAGGAAGTTGACAGATTTCGAGGCGGAAGTGTCATGGTGTGGGGTGCTTTCTGTGGCAATGCACGTTCCAGGCTTCTTGTCATCCGTGGCAACCTCAACGCTGCTGCTTACCGCGACCAGGTACTGGCACCAGAACTTCTGCCTTTTATGGCAGCACATGCACCCGGTTTGATCTTCCAACACGACAATGCCAGACCCCACACAGCAATTTTGACAAGGAATTTCCTTCAGAATGCGGGAGTCAACGTCATCGACTGGCCGTCAAGGTCTCCCGACCTCAATCCCATCGAACACGTCTGGGATGCTCTTGGCAGAAGTCTGCGCATTCTCCAGAACCAAACACAGAATTTGGTCCTTGCGCAGGCGTTGTTTTCGGCAGTTGTCAACGCACATGGTGGCCATACACGCTACTGAACTTGTGTGCCATCAGATTCTCGTGCTTGGGACTTATGATTTAAACTGTTGATGTTATTACCGAATACCGTAGATGCTTGAAACAAATTATGATTACCACCGTTAATTAAAATCCTTCTTTGGACATTAATGATTAAAAATAACCTTGTCTGATACATTTGTTCGTTGTATATCATGTATGGGATTACTTTTAAAAATGTGAAGTTTTTAATTTGACACGGTATATATATATAATATATATATATGTATGTCTATGTGTATCTGTGCGTGTGCGTGGGCGCATGTGTGTATCTGTATGTGAAACTTCTTAGAGAGATTACAAAATGTTCGGTTTGTAAGAATATAAATTAAACATAACAAATATATTTTTATTTACAATTCCATGTCAACGCCGAAGTTGCCCGTATATTGGCAAATCAAAACGTGTAATTTCTCGACGGTGGGACAAGTATCGTCAAACGGGTGGGGTTACAATGAGTGAGTGGGGACTTGGGTTTTAACGCCGCTTTTAACATTATTCCAGTTATATCACGACGGGTATGGTGCTGACAAACCTAGAAACATAATCGGGGCGAACCGGGAATCGAACCCACAATCATAGGTTTCTGGCGTGTCCAAGGGACGCAACTCTGCACAGCGAATTGCGACGCCTTAGACGACTGGGCCACCCGTTCCCCCTGGTTACAATGAGACCTGGGTGAGGCGGGCCTAACAAAAACGACGTCTAGACAAGATATTCTCATTACATTAATTGCACAACGCAATAGATTCAAATCTCCTATTATCAATAGAGAATTCCGTGTAATATCAAGGAGAATTGCAACATCGACCGTTAAAAACCTGCTCCATGCAGCTCGCCTGAAAGCAAGGCGTCATGTGAAGGGTGTGACCCCAACAGCTTACCATAGGCGGCAAACATTGGGTAGGCTAGGCAACACCAGGGACGGGAGTCAGACTCGGTGACTTTCCTGATAGTGTGTCCTCGTACCTCGACGGCATGGATCGTTGCTCCAATAGTCAACATCCATTTTATTCCAGCAGCTCTAACTTATGTTGTACATTTCATAACTTTTGAGGTACAATCGAGATCGGTCATTCATGGAAGATTTCAAAGAGCGTAATACAACTCTTGCACAAATGTCGTTTGACCCGGGTTACAACTTTTAAGGTATTAGTAAGGGCGTTAAAAAGGTAAGTGACCTTAGAAAATAATGTCCGGTGCAATTCCTTACTTTTGCCTTGCTTTTGCATGTGTTTGTAGCTGATGCCACACTGGGGCAGTATAAGCTCACATTTTTCGCGAACACCTGGAACACCTGGTATCATAATTGTTTGTTTATGATTCACAAAGATCTGCTCATTATATAGTCGGAATCGAACAATGGATTTTGCTTTTAACAGAAATTTCTTATAAATTTGGAAAAGATTTCGCTTTAATGTTTCGTTTTACAACCTACATGTTCATCTTGTTTACTTTTGAGTAACAAAATGAAACACATCCCAACTACATTCCTACAAAGCTAAATTCAATATACCATACGCAGACATCAACTTGCCCTTCTTTCATCAGTGACGTTCACAAGACGCATGAGATAACATATTCCTTTCACGAATCAATACAACCCATACAGTGACCGCATACTGTTACCATTATGTACGTCATCCAATGAATGTGCGAATACTTGACCCAAATGATATCGTTGCCTCTAGATGTTTGGATAACCTGTATACCCGTGTACACTAATTTTCCACTGACACGTTTTCGTTCAACACTTAAAAGAGACCTGCAGTGGTAGACAAGACTTTTTACTTGTTTTCCTTGGTAACATGAATAGTGTTCTTCGGAAAAAATAAATTGGTGAGAAACTATCCAAAATGACGTGTTTCCATGACGACAGGATATATTTTATGTCTGTGAAAGCTTTTTTAACAAATTTAACTTAGGAGCATATATGCTGAATTAAATTTAATAACCGTCGGTCTTTTCATTTAAATCCACAGTCGTATATTATCATATTTACCGTGCAGTCGCTTGCGAATATTTACACATCCACACAAACTGATATAGATAGTTAAAAACTGCCCCGCACCATGCGTGAGTGAGTGAGTTGGGTTTAACGCCGCTTTTAACAGTATTCACGGCGTATCAGCTTAATGTTGGAGGAAAGCCCGAAGTGATGCAGGTCTCAGACGTTTACCACTTCTAGATTGACTCAACACTTCTATGCCTGAGGCTCTCAAAAAAGTTATATTCTGCTCTGTGGCCATGATATATGATACTATATATAGTATGCTAGTCAAAACGTTTTCCATGCTGTGGTCCTGTCAGGACTTTATAATTAACCCCCCCAAAACGATTATTAATATGTACATTTCGTTTTTTTGTAATTTTACTATTGCTTGTTATTATTAGGGAAGTAGATATTACTTAAATCAAGTCTCATCAGTTTTTACTTATAAATGCATCATCAATTAGTTATACACATACACGTGCCGACGATTGGTTTCCGACATGAACAGTGCTTTGGGGAAACACACAACCAATTACATTGTTGGGAAGATATTCACATGGTAATAACATGTACTTCGAATGGCAACGATTGATAGGAATAAAAAGAAAATCCTTACACATCGTCTTAAAGGTTTTGCCTGAGAGGTCTGGTTTATTCTCATACGCGTGGATGTATGATGTAGCATCGCATTGCGTCAGGCCCAGCATACACGTCTTGAATTTCCGAAAGGCCCTGAAAACAGAAGGTTGACATGTTCTAGCCAATCACTGATGGAAGCATAGACAGCTAGATATTAGTTGTGTCCAAATGTTGACATGACCCGTTAAGATCCGGGTCAGAATATGTCTTAGTGTTCCATGTTTGACGTAAAGGGCGACTAATGGGATCGGGTGGTCAGGCTCACTTACTTGACTGATGCATTACATCGTCTCCCAATTGCGTGGATGCTCATGATATCAATCTCTGGATTGTCTGGCCCGGGATCGATTAATTCCTGACCGCCGTCATATAGCTTGAATATTGCTGAGTGCGGCGTTAAACAGTGTGTAGAGTAGAGTGTAGAGTTAAACAGCAAACAAAAAAACCATTTTGCGTCAGTTGTGACCACATGTTGACATCATCAATCCAATCACTGATAGAAGGGAATCAATCAGTAGCTAGCTATTGTATTAGTTGATACTTCATGCTGACATCTTCAAACCAATGATTGATAGAAGGGAATAAATCAGTAGCTAGATATTGTATTAGTTGTTGCTACATGTTGACACCTTCAAACCAATCATTGATAGAAGGGAATAAATCAGTAGCTAGCTATTGTATTAGTTGTTGCTACATGTTGACATCTTCAAACTCTAAAAACTACGTATTGACATCTTAATGACTATGGTCATTATCCGAAATTCATGACGCGGTAATTTTGGAACTGCTGTGGTTATTTGCTTGTTTGTTTAATGCCGCACTCTTATATTCCAGACCCGTGAAGATCCGGGGTAGAATAGGTCTTCAGCAACGCATGCTTGCCGTAAAAGGCAACTATGCTGTCATAAGAGGCGACTAACGGGATCGGGTGGTCAGGCTCCCTGACTTGGTCGATGCATGTTTTCGTATCCCAATTGAGTGGATCGATGCTCATGATGTCAATCAGTGGATTGTCTGGCGCAGACTCGATAATGTACAGACATAGCTGGAATATTGCTGAGTGAGGCGTTAAAAAACAAACAAACAAACAAACCCCTTATATTCCAACCGTGTGACGGCTGTCTGCAAATAATCGAGTCTCGACCAGACAATCCAGTCATATAGTGTTGCAACTTCCAATTTGTTGATATATAACTCGATATAGTTTTTTCAGTTTGTTGCTTGTGTTATCAATGAGCAGACATTCGACACCCAAAGACATTTACTCTTTTACGCCACGCCCACAAAGCAAGACGAAATAACCAACTATTTGTCATGCTGTTTTACATACCTGCATATTGACGTTGTGCTGGTGCCCATCTCGGACGCAGAGATTGAGCAGGATGCTATAGCACTGAGGCCACATGACGCTTCGGTGTGAGCCACCAGTCCTGGAAAATCAACGGTGTTACACGTTCGTGTGTACTGCAGTACTCAACGTGTCATGGAGTTAATGTTATCGGGGGCACAGGTGGCACAGTAGGTGGCGCGGTTCGCTGTGCAGAGTTGCGTCCCTTGGACACGCCAGAAACCTATGAGTGAGGGTTCGAATCCCGGTTCGCCACGATTATGGTTCTAGGTTTGTCCGCATCATACCCGTGCTCGTGTGTTTCACCGAAGTGGTAAACGTCTGAGACCTGCATCACTTCGGGCTTTCCTCTCACATTAAGCTGACATTAAGCCGTGACATAACTGGAAAAATGTTTAAGCGGCGTTAAACCCAACTCACTAATGCTATCGCCACAGTAGTTACATGACATATACTTTATAACATATATAATATGATGCGTGCGTGTTTGTACATTAGATTGACATAATCTCTCCCTCACATGATTTATCAGTTAATTCCATATTGTCTTGCCGTTCTCTGATGGAAGCTCCCTAAAACTGCTAAGGCTATGTTTCAGCCACTATTTAAACGTGTGATAAATTCTGTCAACCTGTAGTCCATTTGCTCCAAAATCGTACCGATGAAATGCAATATAGATATAAATCCGAAAACAATTCGTCTTAGATGGCATGAAAGTTGTTGTTTTTTGTCCACACCAACCCGTCACCATAATTTCAGACATTGTCATCAAGTAGGGAAAATATTGTTTAACAAACTATCATGTAATTGTTGGTGATTCAATGCCTGCTGTTACAAGGGGGTCTGCGCAATAAACATAACAGCTGAAGGGCATCGCGGAAAACAGGGTGAGTCTAAAAAATCCTCTTTTATCATATGAAGCTTTTATTCCCGTCTCAACATTGTCAGTGCACCCCCTCCGACGCGCAGTAATCAAGAACGTGAAATACCAAGGTTTTCAAATCAGCTGTGAATTTCATTCATGTACCGTATTGTAATCATGATACATTGAGCTCGTTCTGTTTGTTTTATTATTATTTTGCATTTGAAATTAGTCGAATAGCAACAGTAAGAACATCACTAACATTGCTTTGAGAATAGTGTACAGATTCCCATTGTATATTCCGTTTAATAACTACCACAGAAAGATACTCTTCTGAATTAGACGTTTCATTTGCGAAGATTTCATTTCAGACAATACAGTAGTGGGTTGGCTCAACATGCGCGAATTTCACCGGCGAATGTAGGGCTGTTCAGTTTACAGTGCAGATCAGGCATTAATACACAAATAATTAAATGAGAGTTTGTCAAACAACTTTTTCTCTACTTCATGACCATATCTGAAATTATGGACAAAGAAACAACTTACATGCCATGTAAAACGAAGTCTTGCATTTGGATTTATATTTATTTTGCATTTCATCGGTACGATAGTGCAACAAACGGACTATAGAACGTTATGCTTTCATATTACATTTTTAATGTTTCTTTAAACTGACTTTCTAAGGTAAGTGACACGAAGGAATATGTGGCAAAAACACATGTGTTAGCCCCTTGCCCTTCCGTTCTGTTTGCCTATGTACCAGCCTACCGGTATCTCACCTGCGATAACAACGAAGCTTGTATAAAGGACGTTCCTCCACATAGTTGGTAATCTTACCGTTGACCCAGCTGTATTGAAATGGAAGCTGCCACCTAGCGGGTTTTGATATCAGAAATATTTCGAAATGCTCATTGCGAAATATAACAGGGCAGATTCATGATTAATGATAATGTGTTTGCGTAGATACTGTGACGAAATACGTCCCCTGTCACCTGTTGTAAGATCGGGTGTTCTGTGTAGTGGTCTATGGGAAGGGTTCTGTGTGTCGTGTTCTGTGTAGTGTTTTGTGCGTCGTGTTCTGTGTGGACTTTTGTGTTTTGTGTGTCGTGTTCTGTGTGTAGTGTTCTGTGTGAATGGTTCTGTGCGTCGTGTTTTGTGTCTCGTATTCTGTAGTGTTCTGTGTGAGGAGTTCTGTGTTTAGTGTTTGGTATGTACATGTATTGTTCTGTGTGGAAATGGTTCTGTGTGTAGTGTTCTGAGTGCAGGGTTCTGTGTGTCGTGTTCTGTGCGTCGTGTTCTGTGTCGTGTTCTGTGTGTTGTGTTGTGTGTAGTCTGTCGTGTTATGTGTGTCGTGTTCTGTGTGAAAGGTTCTATGTGTAGTGTTTGGTGTGTAGTGTTCTGTGTGAAGGGATCTGTGTGTAGTGTTCTGTGTGAAGGGTTATACCGAATAATTAAACAAGTGCCACCAAAACGTTTAGAAAGCTTACTAAAACTCTACAATCTCATACACCAATCTGGTTAGGTCCCTACACCATGGGAAGAAACATTGGTCATTCCAATACCAAAGTAAAACAAACCAGCCGACGAGGCCAACTCATTTAGACCAATCATCTTAACCTCTCATCTGTGCAAAACTATGGAGGCAATAGTTAAAAACCGGCTCCAGCATTACTTAGACCAAAACGATATAATGAACCAGAACCAATAAGCATCTTCCTAGACTTCACCAAAATATTTGATATGGTTTGGCACTATGGGCTTAAAAAAACCCTAAAAACCAGGACTAAATGGCCAAATAATTAACTATACACAGAATATTCTTACAAACCGCAACATACCGTGGGTATAGACTAAATGCTATCGGACGATCCTTGGCGGACGCCAAATTTGCATTCAAACATATCAGACATCAAACCCCTGTCCCGTACACACGTTTTAACATTTTCATATATACTACATAATAACTTCAACATTTTGGTCCATGTGCAGTAAATAATCTCCATAGTTTACACCTGTGTATAGAATAAAATGCTTTAGAAAAGTCAACAAATAATCCATAAAACCTTCCCTTTTTTGTTGTTGATATAGCGCTGTATCCTAAATTACAATATAAAGATATTATCATCTGTTGAATATCCTTCCTTAAATCCAGCCTGCGATTCTGAAATTTTATCCATGGTATTGGCCCAACACACAAGTCTCTTGTTAATAATAAAGTAAATATTTTACTGAAGATACACAAGAGAGTTATCCCTCTGTAGTAGTTGACATCATTAGAAGCACCTGCTTTATGGAGCAGAACTAAAATACCAATAGACCAAGTTTCCGGGAGGTGTACCTCATGAAACATCACATAAAATAACAATTCTAGGTATGGGACAAGTAAATCAGCCGAATGTATAAATAATTCAGAAATGGTGTCATCTATTCCTGGAGATTTGTTGCATTTTAAATGATGGATGCTGTTTAATATTTCCTCTTTTGTTAAAAGCATATTGAGAATATCCTCTGTAATATCTTTAATGACATCATCATTGGTACAATCATCTTGTAAGATTCTCGGACCAGTTGATGTTTGTTCACCAGCAAACAAATCTCTAAAATGTGCAAAAAAGTCGGCAATCTTAATATTATTTTGAACATAGCTTTCAGCTAGCTTTTAGCTTCAGGGTGAGCGGGAGATGAGGTGACTCTGCACGTGACTGGATAGAAAAGTCATTGGCAAGCTCAAACACTGCCGCAGATACAATTATATGATCTATTACACTTGCCCCATTTTGCCCAGTGAATGTATAATCCCTAATCTCACGGTCAGTTCCTGATCTTACGTTCATGACATGAACGGTGCATAACGAGCACAACTCTAACAAACATTTACCAAAGTTCTTTACATTCTTATCACTTGAGAAACGATTTAAACTAAAATAATCCCAGCTTGAGTTACCTCGCCCCAGCCCTTCGATATATTCAATAATGTCATCTTCTGCAAAATCCGACTTCGTACCTGTTCTGGCATTATAGTCTCCACCACAAATAACAATAGCACCTCTTAATTCGGATAAAATGTCCAACAAACTGTTTTGAAATATAGTGATGCCATTTTTACAATCAACAGATAAAATGGTGAGTGAGTTGGGTTTAACGCCGTTTTTAACAGTATTCCAGTTATATCACGGTGAGTCAGCTTAATGTGGGAGGACAGCCCGAAGTGATGCAGGTCTCAGACGTTTACCACTTCGGTGAAACCCACAAGCACGGGTATGGTGCTGACAAACCTAAAAACAATCGGGGCGACCCGATTTGAACCCACAATCATAGGTTTCTGGCGTGCCCAAGGGACGCAACTCTGCAGAGCGAATCGCGGCGCCTTAGACGACTGGGCCACCCGTGCCCCCGAGCGCTGCTGAGCCTGTAGTTGAAGTAGTTGCACCGGGAGACGGGGAAGGTGTCCTCTGTTACCGAACGGTTTCAGCAGCCAGTTACACATAGGATAGGTTGGGCTTCCTATCAAAGCGACAGGAAAATCAGCCTCAAAGTGTCTATCACCTACAAGTTAAATCCATTCTGGTGATGTTGTCAGAAGACGCCCTTGATCAATTGCAAACATTCTGGCATTATGGACGCGCCATAACCAGTCAATACACAGATCAGTAAATCTGTAGCAGACATCACATACAGCCAGCATAATGATCGAGTACCAGTCTTTGCGATTGGCATCTTCTGTGTGACAATAGCATGGACAATTGATGGGGGCTTGAGCTGCATCTATTGCACCAGCACAGTTTGGAAACTTCCATTTGTTCCCGAAACCAGTGAAAACGTTTTTGTGGTCGCGACCTTCAGGGCCCACTTGAACAAAACAACCTTAGCGCTACAATTATTGTAAATCCTTAAGATCGAGATCTTAGGCTTCGGCTAAAATCGCCATCCACTTACACAAAAAGACTGTAGGCTGAGATCATTATAAATTACAACTGAAACTTACAATGGGTCCGGACCAATCTTAAGTAGCTCAGTTCATTGTAGTCCCTGAATAAACTTGACAAAATGGCGTGCATGTCTTCTTTACGTTCAAACATTGCCTTTATATATGATTGAACTGTACGATTCGAATCGACACTTCAACAACACGAAGAACGCACCACAGATTTAACGTCAGAACATACTATTAATTGCGATAGTGAACCAGATAACTGTCGACCCGAGAGCTAAAATACCATTCTAACTCGACCCAATGCTGAAGGAAGTGTGTGACAACACAGCTTGTCGCTAATGGGGGAGGATTAAAATGTCGTCTGCAAGCGATTAGTAATGACCATGACCTTTTGGATAGCTCAAGGGCAGATAATCATAGTTTATACTTTAGATGGGAGCGGTTTTCCTTTGTATTTGCCATCGCCCGTAGAGTAGAATCTTCCCTGCCCAATGAATTAATGGTGTAAAATCGCTGATCTCCGTCTACGTTTCGTTTGGGTCCCTTTTGTGTCAATGATGTTTTCTGCAGTCTATCATTGCAATAATCTGCAATTAAATACAAGCATAAGTGCACAATCATGCAGGTTCCTTGCTCATTCTTAAATCTGAAATCGAGTGGAACAAGGGACGAGCGGTTTTCAGGTATGACCTTTAAATAAATGCACGTATTCATCAAACAAAAAAGTACATATGATCGATGAGACATTTAAATTTGAAAAAAAATACCTTAAAAAGTAAATGCGAAGTTGAAAAGTTCACACGCAGTGATTATATACTAACCCAAAAATGAAACTGCATTTAAATAATTAAAATAATACAAAAAGTATAAATCACAGGAATAAGAGATGTAATTTAAAACCTGAATGTGCATGAGTGATACTGAAAAGTGAGATGATCGTGCCAATGAAAACGCTTTTGACGTTGGAAGGCGTTATGCACGTGAGGTAACGAGCATGATTTGGATGTGAAAAATCGTGCAATGCATGCAATAGTGCGAGTGAGATGCCTACTTAAAAGCCCAAACATGACCATTCGAAACGTCCACATTTTCAACTGAAGATGTCGACGCAGCCCGCCCCAACGCCATGCCAAGACTAACAACAGCTGAACGTCCTATGGCCCTGGGTATGCTACGGTCCGGTACCACCCAACGGGAGGTTGTTCAGCATTTCAGTTGTCATCGTAAAACCATATCCGCATTAGTCTGTCGTTATGTACAACAAAATGACGTCAGAGACCATAAACGTTCAGGGAGACCGAGAGTTATCACACCTGCTCGAGATCAATGGATTCGACTGGTTCTCCGAAATCGGCGTCAAGCAGCAACAACAACAGCACGTAGCATTCCTAACTGTAGACGGATTCGACCACAAACTGTCATCAACCGCCGAAAGGTTACGGCCAACGTGCTAGGAGACCTGCTATTCGTCCCGTTATGACATTACGTCATCGCCGGGCACGTCTACAATGGTGCAGACAACATGTCAGGCAGCCTCTGTACTTGTGGAGACGTGTGATGTTCACTGACGAGTCACGTTGTGTTTCATGCAATATCATTGCTTTTGAATACATTTCATATATATATATATATATATATATATATATATATATATATATATATATAGTGTTACTTCGATAAAGCAATGCCCTATTTCACTACATTTACTATTCACTGACATGACATCGTTAGAGTTTTTCACGTCTTACTCTTTTTTAAACCTTCAGTCATGCCGATTAAAAGAGTTGGTGTCAGTAACCCTAATATATATATATATATACATACATACATACATACATACATACATACATACATACATACATACATACATACATACATACATACACATATATATATAAATGTATATATATATGGGATTTGTTTAATGAATACCTTATGAATACCTTTATAGTGTTACTTCCATAAAGCAAGTATATATACAAAATAACAGACGTCAAATTTAAGCCTTCTATATTGTGCTACCGTTACTCACAAAATAAAAGCTCCAGTCAATAGTGAACGAAATCCCAGTGGGGGCAACTTTCATTATACGACTCTTCATCTACATTAAGCGACTCTTGCTCAGAAGTTGTTTGATCAAAATTACAACATTATCAAGGCCTCTGCAAAACCAACAAAATGTGTGTTTTTTTCAGGTGAATAATTGATTCCACAATCCATGGTTGTGACGGGTGCCACTTTTTAGGAAGGATACGCTCATCTTTTCGCGACCACCTGGTGTCATCATTATTGCTTTTGGCAGTGATTTCTATTGTATAAGGAAAGGTGCCTGTCGCTTTTATCTAAACTTCGTTAATGTATCTGGAATCCGAAGCAGTACTGATTGAATGTTGTGGTGTTTGTTAATTAGTAGAGAAAAGATAACTTACATGTGTGAGAGCGTGAGAGGGCTTCAAGGGTAATTCTAATCTTATCATGGTGTAGGAATTCGTGTAGGGAATCGAACCTTAACATAGCTCTACCCACAAGGCTACCACACACCCCATGTGGCCTGTGTGTAATGCAGTTTACGTCATAGCATGTTGACTTCAGTAAGATCCACAGACCAGGATAATGGTCAAGAGGACTTGGAACAGAGAGCATACTACCGATTAATATGGGAGGAACACTTGTGAGAGCTATCACTAAATAAAATGGGCATCGTATTTTCAGGATAGACTGAGTGAATTTGTGTTATGAAGCTTTAACAATGTTCCAGTCATTTCGTTGAAGGAAACACTTGGATGTACATGTAGCTTCATGCTCTGCACGCAATTTAGAATCGAAAATTGCTAAAAGGGGCGTAAAACCATCCTCACTTACTCAACTCAAGACCGCCTCTATATATAGCTGTGTGTGTGTGTGCGTGTGTGCGTGCGTGCGTGCGAGCGTGCGTGTGTGTGTGTGTCTGTGTGTGTGCGTGTGTGTGTGTGTGTGCGTGCGTGCGTGCGTGCGTGTGTGTGTGTGTGTGTGTGTGTGTGTGTGTGTGTGTGTGTGTGTGTGTGTGTGTGTGTGTGTGTGTGTGTGTGTGTGTGTGTGCGCGTGTGTGAGTGTGTGTGTGTGTGTGCACGTACAGTACTTTTCAAAGCGTGTATAGCATGTTGAATGGATGACCCCAGCCCATATAGGGTAAGAAGGCAATGAAAGCTTGCCAAGCCTTTCAAACAGTGAAATAAACACAGAACTCCAATTATTAAAAAATATTTAATATTCAAACGACATTGATGCCTCTTCGACAGGATGTTTATGTGAAGATCCAGAGAGTCAGTAGAGGGATCAGTAGCAGGACTGCTGTGAATGCTGGGATGTCGCCAGCGCTAGCATGGGGGTACTGGCCAAGGTGAGGACCTGTAAGCAAGACATTAATTAAGATAAAATCATTACATGATATGAAATAACTCTATAAACCTAGCTCATGGTGATCACTGTCAGCTGACAATGAGTGCAATATTCATCGTTTTCAGCTTTTACATCAAGTATATGAATGTCACATATCGCCTCAGTGTAAGCGAGTGAATTATTATTAACGTCGCTTCGGTAATATGTCAACCGACAGCGGTGAGAACAAATACACGTACATCAAACATGTTTAAACAAATCGATACCATTACTAACTGTTACACCACAGACTTTTCCGTCAACTTGAAGATAATTTGGCAGGTAAACAAAACACATTTACAAACAGACTGAGTAAGTATTCATATAACTGGCAATATCGCCATCTTGTTTTGCAGTGTTTCCATGGAAACGTAAGAGAAATGAAACTCTTATTTGTATAAGGCGTTCTACATATATTGCTATGAGTGAGTGAGTGAGTGAGTGAGTGAGTGAGTGAGTGAGTTGGGCTTAACGCTGCTTTGGACTGTATATCAGTTATATCACGGCGTGTCAGCTCGATGGGAGAGGAAAATCCGAAGTGATGCAGACCTTAGTTCCTTACCACTTTGGTGAAACTCGCGAAAAAAATAAAAACATAAGCAGTGATTCGGAAAAAAACCCGTTTCCGATTATGATCCCTGATTTGAACCACCATACGGGTTTGGCGACAGCGATTAAGATCAACGACGGCATTCGTGCCCAGGCTATTTGGGTGTCTTAAAGGCGTCTCTGAACGCTGCTTAAAACACAAAAATGAGACGTAACAGTATCCTGTTACTTGACATACATTGGTTGACGCATACGTTCTCACTATTTGTTATAACTATCTATCGTGTGCAGAGACGGAAATCAAATGTGTCAACGTTTTGAGGTCACTTGTTGCTTTAGGTTTCCTGCCTTTGGGTATCGCTCGAAGGCTTCCTTTAAAGTGGCGTTACACCGTGGCGTTACACCGTGGCGAACACTGGCGTATATGGTGACTGGAAGACGGTTCTTACATGAGTCTTTCAGTTGCAGTGAGTCCATCCACTGTCTGGCTTGTGTGAAGGCAGGGTCATCCATACACGATGTCAGCTTGTTCAGGCACATCACAACCATGTCAGCAGCTCTGCAGGGAGACAAGTTAAAGAATCAAGAATTTCCGTGAAGAAGGTGAGTTGAGGTGAGGCGAGGTGAGGTGAGGTGAGGTGAAGTGAGGTGAGGTAAATGGGGTTTAACGTCGCGTCCAAGATGGTTGCACTCGTAAAGCGACGTGCATGGAGATGTGCGTGTGGATGATTCAGACACGTCACAAACATATCAGCAGCTCTGCAGGGAGACAAGTTAAAGAATCAAGAATTTCCGTGAAGAAGGTGAGGTGAGGCGAGGTGAGGTGAGGTGAGGTGAGGTGAGGTGAGGTGAGGTGAGGTAAATGGGGTTTAACGTCGCGTCCAAGATGGTTGCACTCATAAAGCGACGTGCATGGAGGTGTGCGTGTGGATGATTGTACTAGTCCGGACTAAAGCCGGTTTTAAAGTGCTAGCCCACTGAGATACCATACCGCAGTTTAACATGAATACCCAACTCGGACGCAGTATACTGACTCCGAGCCGACCAGACCTTGTTTTAGCCCCTTAATGCCGTGCGCCAGACAGGGTAACAACAATTACCATCTTTTAACGTCTTTTGGTATGACGCTGTCCGGGCGGACGTTCTACCACTAGACCACGGAAGCGGCCCCCACTTTATGTGGATGACATGTTCTGTTTTATTGATTATCATGGATTTTGTCGCTTGTATTTATTTGATCAAAACAACTGATGTGATGTCAGTCATATGTAGCTTCGGCCTATTATGTATTCGCACCGACCATGGAAGTTTAACGTAAACTTAAAACCTTCGTAGCGCAACGATTCTCGAAGCTCTACAGTTTAACCGTGAACTGCAGTGGACAGTATTTAACCATCTACCGAGGCGTCATAGAGGTGAGGTGAAATGGGGTTGACATCGGTTTTGCTTTCACAATGGAGATTTCTTATAATTTATGAAAAGGGTTTTGTCGCTTATCTTTAAAAGTGGAAGGTGGCAAAGTTATCGTCGCACCTGCAGGTGCTGTCAGTGGACTCCGTGCCGTCGCGGATGGAGTCAGCGAGGCTGGTGGTGCAGGAGTTGATGGCGGCGACGTCACACTGGCTCGGGGGCATCGTTTGCGCGTAGCTAGTAGCTGCAATGAAGGAAGAGTCAATCTCAAACGTCATCAGAACGGGTTCTATGCAATGCTTGGAATTTAATACTGATGGATTCTAGAATTCTAGCATTAAATTATCACAATTATATATGTACAGGTGTTCTTTAGTACTGAACGAAGAACACGGGTGGCCGTGTCGCCGACAACGCATGTACAGCGGCGAACACGACACACACACAATATATACATCATGGGCAGCACACACAGTATATACACCGTGAACTGTATTTACAGAACACACAATATATACACTATGAACTGTATATACAGAAAACACAACATATAGACTATGAACTTTATATACAGAACACACAACATAATTATACACTATGAGCTGTATGTACAGAACACACAACATATTCACTATGAACTTTATATACAGAACACACAACATAATTATACACTATGAGCTGTATGTACAGAACACACAACATATACACTATGAACTGTATATACTGAACACACAACATAATTATACACTATGAGCTGTATGTACAGAACACACAACATATACACTATGAACTGTATATACAGAACACACAACATATACACCATGTACAGTGTATATAGCGCACACAATTGCAAGGTATACACCACACAGAGGATATTCACAACACATAGCACATACAACATACATACATCAAACACAATATATACTCCACACACAACATATCCACCACCCACAGGTTATACACCACCCACAGCATATGCAATATGCACCACATATTCACCGCACACGGGATATTCACTCCAAACAGTATATACGACATGCACAATATATACACCACACGCGACATAGACAACATATTCACCACACAACATATACAACATACACAACATTCAACACACACAGGATCTACACCACACAATGCATGTTCAGTACAAACATATATACCATACACAGCATACACAACATACACAACATTCAACACATACAGCATATACAACGCACACAACATATTCAACACATACAGCATATACCACGCACAACATATTTACCACACACAGCATATACAACACACACAACATATTCACCACACACAGCATATACAACACACACAACATATTCACCACACACAGCATATACAACACAAAACATATTCACCACACAAAAAATATACAACAGACACAACATATTCACCACACACAGCATATACAACACACACAACATATTCAACACATACAGCATATACAACGCACAACATATTCACCACACACAGCATATACAACACACACAACATATTCACCACACACAGCATAAACAACACACAACATATTCACCACACACAGCATACACAAAACACACAACATCTTCACCACACAAAAAATATACAACAAACACAACATATTTACCACACACAGCATATACAACACACACAACATATTTACCACACACAGCATACACAAAAGACACAACATCTTCACCACAAGAAAAATATACAACAGACACAACATATTTACCACACACAGCATATACAACACACACAACATATTTACCACACACAGCATATACAACATACACAACATATTCCACACACACAACACTACAACATCAACTCCACTCACAGCATATACAACACACATAGCATATTCACCCTGACAGCATAATATACATCACACATGACATGTACAGCATACACAACATATACACCACACCCAGCAAATACAATATACCTAACATATTCCCCACACACAACACTACAACATAATCCCCCCTCACAGCATATACACCACCTACAGCACATACAACATACACAACATAGCCCCCGATCTCAGCTAAAACGACGTACGCAACATAAACACCACCCACAGCATATACGACACACACAACATATCCCCCACTCACAGCTGAAACGACGTACGCAGCATATATACCACCCACAGCATATACGATATACACACACAACATATCCCCCAATCACAGCTTATACAACATACGAAACATATTCACCACACACAGCACATTAACCACAGACAATGTATACAACATGCACAAGAGATTCACCACACACAGCACTACAACATATTCACCACGCACATATATTACACACCACACACAGCATATACAACATACAGACAGACATTTTCTTCGTATATGTTGGCCATCAGGTCAATACTTTAGTGACAGTTTTACAAAACTTATGTACATACACAACATATTCACCACACACATGATAAGGGCCATTGTTAATGTGGACAATGAACGTCAAATGACGTTAACTGATGTAAGGAGAGAAGTACATTCTTGCTGACTGCATTGACTAATCCCCATGATGCATACAGCATTCTATCTTACCTGAAAGCATAACAGCTGCATAAAGCACAACTTTCCACATTTTGTCTCGGTAGTTGAAAACAACCTCTCTCTGTGAATCCAACTATAACGAAATGCAGGACGCCTGAGACGGTTCAAAGGCTATCAAAAACGGTATTGCGACATCCCGGGAACGGGTGGCAGTGTTGTGCGAGAGAATTTGTGAGTGTTTGTGAGTGTTCCTTTGTGTGGAATCTGCTCTGTTTAAACACATGAATCAGGTCACTGTATTCACCATGGCTGTGTTAGTTTAGTAATGTGATCCATGATGCGTGATGACGCGATGATCATGACCTGGTGACTGGTCAATCAGACTATATACGTTCATATTATGTTTATCTCTGAAATAGTTTTTTTAAGGATTCGAGTTCTTAATGTATGTAAACATTTTGTGGAATGAAAATACACTTGTAATCAAAACACGATGGCTAAATCTGTGAATTAAGCCAGAGCCTTCTCTTGTACCTATCTTCTGTCAGATTCAGAGCGGCATTTCAATCATTGCATTTTGTCCAGCATTTATTGCTTTACGAAACAAACTTTGAATGTTGTAATCCGCCATGCTTGTTAACGTCTTCTGATGTAACTGAGGTCAAACTCACGTTAAGGAACCCTCATTACGGAGCTTCACCACGGTCAAAACTGCACAACATCCTTACATTATTTTCAGAAGTGCAAACAAAACGATCCCTCGCAAAGCAGAACGGGGTTATGAGTATAAAGTACACTATGCATATCAATGGAGAAGGTAAATATCAGCCTTTACCTATGAATAACATTACTTGTTAAATGCTTTTGTTTAGGTATGGACTATGCTTGATTTATCTGTATAGTGTGCTGTAATTTTGGTTAAACTTTGATGTAATATGACTTAAGTTTCTTATATGACTGTACATTCTTTGTAATCAGCCAAGTATTACCAAACCCCTTATTGTGGTATAGCTCGTCACTAGGGCTCATCGTTAATATTTGAACAGAACATTCTTGGTAATCAGCCAATTATTACCCAACACCTTATTGTGGTATAGCTCGTCACTAGGGCTCCTCGTTATTATTTGAACAGAACATTCTTGGTAATCAGCCAAGTATTACCCAACCCCTTACTGTGTTATAGCTGAATTCACTAGGGCTCCTCGTTATTATTTGTTTAATCTCAAACCAATACCTTCTCAAACTGCACACGTTGTGCAAAAAATGTCGGCTTTGTCGTCCATTACCCCTAAAGGCTAATGGACAGCGCGCTGTCAATACTGAGAAAACATTTATGTAGATACCGATGACGCAGATTGTTTTGTCAGTGCAAGACAAACAGTGGATGTACTGTTATAATCACGTAGGAACACGAGCCGTAGAAACTAGAGTTGGGTATGGAATCCTAGAAGGGACATTGTCGTGTTGTCGCGTTTACGAAACTGAGCCAAAACTCACCAATTTATACAAAGCGCGACAGCACCCGTTGGTGAAAAAAACAAAACATTATTCAAAGCCCAATAAGGCGAAATTGGTCAGAAGTCGCGTTGTCGCGTGGTCGTATTAGCGCTGTGGTTAATCAGGAAATTTTTTTCATGTTTTTTTGCTAAAAACTGATGTACCTTCTAGGTTTCCATAGCCGGGCGGTATCCTCTCGCTCAAGCACTCAATTACACAGGGTATGCTGTGTTCGGACGTTATCCATCAACCTGGCATGACGGTACACTCTTCTGCGGCGGTGTATGTGTTCGTTGACGTGACACGGGATTCAAGCTGTTGTTCTAAGGGTGCGATGTGAATACCCCTTAAGCTTGAGCGCTCTGATTGTGACCGGCAATAACGTGTAAGGATATCATTAGAACTAATAATAGACGCCATTGAAAAATCGAAAGGAAAACCAAGACAAGAGTTGTTGGAAACGAAAACGCATACCCAGAACGACAGCGTTCAGGTTTCCCTGTATAATCACCAAATCAGTCTTCTGACCTCCACAAATACCGCCCCACACCATGACACCTCCCCCGCCGAATGGATGGACCTCACGAATACACGACGGAGCCAAACGTTCCCATCTGCGTCGATAAACTCGTTCTCTGCCGTCATTTCGAAACAAGTTAAACCGACTTTCATCAGTAAACAGCACTCGACGCCAATTTCTCACTTGACACGTCGAACCTGCCTCGTCCATCGCAGTCTCAGGCGTCGATGTTGAGCAGTCAGTACCATTCCTCGGAAAGGACGATACGCTCGGATTCCAGCAGCACGAAGTCGTCGTAGTACTGTACGTTGGCTAATGGGATGTCCCAAAGCTGTTGCTGCCGTCGCCGTTACGAATCTGAACGCAGGTGAATGAGCCGTATCTGACCGTCTTCCAGTGGTGTTGTCACTAGGGGGTCGTCCGGTTCTAGGCCTGTCCTGTCTAGTTAAAACCCCCGAAAAAGATAGATGCATGAAGTAAAATGTATTGAAAAGATCAAAATCTCAACGAGAACAGTATGACAGTCATACAACATCCAATATTGGCATGACAGTTGTTCGTATTGAGGTGGGGTAGCAAAAACAAGCTTTCAACGTAATTAACAAAGGGCAGACCTATCTAAAATCGTTCAAGTTCAATGACACGTCACAATGACCATAATCTGCTAAAAAACACGTAAAAACGCTCCGGCGCACAGAAAAGTCAGTCGTCTGATGATAAGTCACGTGGGAGAAGATGCCATTCTTCTTGGGCGGCCTGGATCAGTTCTTGTCGGTTGGTTGGAGGATGAGATCGCTGTCGAACACGAGAATCCATGACATCCCAGAGGTTTCCTATTGGGGACGTCTGGGGAGTGAGCAGGCCACGGCAAGACGTTGACGTTGTTGGCTGCAAGGAAATTCTGTACGATTTGAGCTGGGTCTGCTGGGTCATTGGGGTCTGCTGGGTCTGCTGGGTCTGCTAGGTCATTGGGGTCTGCCGTTGTCATGCTGGAAAGGACACAACGTGGCAGCTGATAAGAAAATGGCAGGACATCCATGTAACGCTGAGCTGTCAAATTTCCGTTAACGGTGACCAGTGGTGTTCTCTCCTGACCACAAATTCCTCCCCACACCATAACATCCCCTCCACCATACGCCACGACCTCCTGGACGCAACCTGCCGCCGTTCGTTCTCTCTTTCGGCGGTAAACACGTTGTCTTCTATCAGCTCTGATCACACTGAACCGGCTTACATCAATGAAGACGACCCTCTGCCAGTTACGTCAATGCCACAGACGTACATTGCGGGCTCATTTCCTTCTCTGAAGACGATATTGCGCTGTAAATAACTGTCCTCTGTAAGGTCTGTAAGCCCTAATTCCTTGAGCCTTGAGTCGCCTGGACACTGTCTGTCGACTAAACATATGACACCATTGACGTCACTGTCAGAAATCAATTCCGAAGATTCAAAATACACAAGTACTGGCCTTCACTGCGCGTAGTTACCCTGTGTCTGCCTGTCTGATGTCTGCCCGGTCTGATTGTAACGTTGCAGTAACACGAGTGCAGCCAAAGGTTCTAGCAAAGTGAGCATGTGTTGCTACCATCTTTATCATGCCCAAGGCCCGCTAGCGTTCTTCGGGTATCGACTGTGGCCTTTCTGTGGTGTTTTTTAGTCAGTGTGAGTATCATGCAATCCGTATCATTTTTATACCTTTCTTTGTACGTGTAGTTTCTGTTTCTGTTGTTACCAGTTTCTGCATCGAGCATTGTTCTGTTTGAACGATGTGTTTTGCATTGATTTAGTTTCAACTTGTGTTTTAAATATTTGCAATTTAAGTTTTAAGTGGTAAAGTTGTTTTGGCCGTCAGTTAAGTTACTCTCAATAATTTATACAGTCACTATAGAAACAGCCATCGACAAAACATCAGTGAAACAGAAACCCGTAAGGCAGTTTATTATAAAAGGCCACGAAAATGGCATTTGTTGCAAAAACTTACCAGCAGTATAGTGAGAAAAAGTATTGACGTTCATTCTGTAATACAATTTTCGTGTTTTGGAGGTCCTGGGGCAAAGCGCACGGGATTACGAAATATCAGTATCTTGACTAGTACATTTTCAGTGTTTATTTAGAGCAGACTTTAACGTAGCTCGCCTCTATAGATTCTCCGGACTACTTCAGTATTTATTTGCTTTGACAGAAATTTGCATCAGGGAATAAAAGATATATTGGTCATGATAAAACAAATCTGGACGTTCTGTTCATTCAAATATAAGGACGTGAGGAGGGTGTGACGCTGGGCCCATATACATGTTGACTTGCTATCCAATTTTAACAGCATGTGGTTTTTACTTTATTAGACCAAAACAACTTAAAAAAATTAAGGGGTTGGGTTTAAGATCATGGATCGACCTTACCCGTATTGACGAATTGAATACAGTGGAGATGCATGTTACTCATTTCAAAGGTTTGCCCTAATTCTCACACTTTTTGAATGCTACAACTGCTGCAGGTTTATGTCAATACGAGTTTGTGCTTAGGAGCCACGGTGTTTGTAAAAGGCGGAGACATTGATAAAAACAAGTTCTAAACAATGTAGCGGGTCTATTAACCAGATATATGTAGTAGTGATTTCCACAATCTTCATTTTCTCTCACAAGTCCTGCCGTGAACGACACCAAAAACCCTAACGCCCACAATGAGGAACATCGCAATTTGTCTCTGCTTTATCTCGGGTAAGATGACCTACTTTATGAAATCTCAAAGTATTAATTTTAACAGGAACCATTAAATCAGATTAATATGTAATTGTCAAACTATATTTACTCGTCGTTTATGTTTTGACTAAGACTGTGAAAACTAACGATTTTCAGGTTACATTTATTAAACCAAATAATAACTGTAGACTAGTTTATTTTTTGTTTTTCGGACTGTGCTTTCATATACCCCGTTCACATGCGCCTCTATACATATGTGTGTATCTGTGCATACGTGTGTAGAAATACTTACGTGAGTATACTTGTCATGTGAACGCGTTTACTCATGTGTGTAATTTGACACCGGGAGCAAATTTGCATGTCTGGAGCAGGTGCAAATGTAAATGTAAATTTGCACTGTGTGTATATGTTGCAATGTGAACGTTTATGTTAACGTAAGATGATGATCTAATTAATATCTGTTCGTTTGCCAACACCAAACATATTGTCAACAGTTGCCAACTTTAGAGAGGGTGTTTTCTTTTGGTTTCAAGGAGTAAAATAGTACAAACTGAATCAAACACATGTTGCTTCATGATCACGCGAAAATGTTCGGTGAAACAACCTGTTTTGTGTTGAAAGTCATGAACACACTGACAAAAATGTGTGCCTTACGCAATTTACATACTTTTTTAACATTACACACCTAAGTTGATTTTCATGTGAACGCATAGTAAATTTACATGTCAACATGTTTGTATAGTTACAAATGGGCAAAATTACTTCCGTTAGTAAATGTCGTGGATGTGAACGGGGTATTATATTGCTAGCAGCGAGTGACCTCAAGTTGAGGTGTACCGCTACGTGTAACTCATCCCACTTTGCAGTGTAATCGATTAAGTAGAAGTGTACCGTTATGCGTGTGTCAGTCAGACAGTGATAATTGCTTGTCGCCGAATCAGCAATTGTGCAGTTATTGCCGGCTAGGGTTTTGTACAGGAAACGAAAAAAAACCAGGACAATATGTTTGTGTTTCACATAACAGTAAACGTTATAGTTTCTCAATATAATGAGTATCTGGTTACAACTGACAAGATGAAAATCGACTGATATTGTCAGAGCGGATAATCTGTTCCATTTGAGGTATATGGCTCGGTATTTCTTGTGTACATGTACCATACACCAGACTTAAAGGTATAATGATCAAATAAATAATTTCGTTTGACGGATCTCGGATATAGTACTTTGGACAATTTAATGCTTTTTTATTTCTTATTGTCTCTACTTTGGTCTCACAAGAAGAAAAAATACTTTATCATCCACAACTGGCTCCAACAGGAGATATCACTTGGGTGAAATTGCATCACAATGCTTTGCAGACCACTGTGACGCCTTTGGTCACCATGACGTCACAATCAAATGATATCACTAATGGCGCTGCTACTGCTTATTACTGTCTACAAACTTGATGTTGGATGATAAATAAAATCTCACCCTCGTGTCTTTTGATATGAAAATTATCAACACACGTTGATATATTTGATATCAAAAGACACTGATGAGATTCTCTATATCATAAATTGTCATAAAATCTAGCCATTTGACGCAAGGCAGGTTAACAACAAGTACCGGCCGGGGCATCATGTGATCTGTTATGTATCACACATAAATAGTTCACCGAAAACAAGTAATGATCGTTTTTTTCCAGGTGTGAGGACCCGGGTCTTAAACAACCTAATATGTATGCTTGTCGTCAGAGGCGACTAACGGGATCGGGTGGCCAGGCTCACAGACTTGGTTGATGCATGTCATCGTGTCCCATTGCGAGGATCGATGCTCATGATGCCAACCACTGGTTTGTCTGATCCAGACTCGATAAGTTACAGACCGTCGACATATAGCTGAAACATTGCTGAATGCGATGTTAGGTCGTTTCAGGTGCAGAGAGTACGAGAGGCCATTTCGTTTAAGCCACGACTATACGCGATACACAGTTGCGTCCCCTAGGTGTGCCAGGGTCTTGTGATAGTGGATTCGAATGCCTGATTATGTCAGCACCATTCCCATGGTCCTGGATTTCACCAAAGTGTTAAAGGTGTGAGACCTGTATCAGTTTGGGGTTTCCAAATACTGTTCAAAGCGGCGTCAATACCAAACTCACTAACTTACTCTAAGTTCGAATTATATCATTAGCTTCACCTGTTATTAATTTGTGTGCTTTTTAAAATGTCATATTTCCATATACGTGTATTTCCAGCTTTGGGGTTCAACGTGAATGCTCAGACGGAATGTGACGTAAATAGAATGATGATGTGTGGCCAATTTCTGGCAAATATCGGCAGCAGTACAGCTTTACTGGAACAATGCAGGTACGTCATTAAGCTACATTTTCCCCGTCGTCTTCATGCTATAATTACTTGATACTCGTATATTGGGTGTAGGGAGAGGGCTAAGTTTTATTGAAATAAAATATATTTGAGCCGAAATTTCACTCACATACCCGTTTAGAACCCCACGAAATTGTTAAAATCATTCTACCATGCATTGTCATCTTCCATGGAGCTGGGTACACTGGCATCATCTGTAAAGAACACATCACGCTTGACGCAAGAACAAATCACAGAGTTAAATATACAGGCTCTGAGTTCTGATTTAATTTCAAATATTTTCGAAGTTTTGTCGAACTCTACTTGTAGGAATGTGATTTAAGTCTGAGAACATTTTCGCAAATGTTGACTCTCGAATATAAATCGCATCGTCCCTATGTGGTTACACGAATTATCGCCGTAACGTGATATCAGTGTGGATGGGACACCGTTAGGGACACCGTTAGGGATCGCAACGACGCATTAGTGCACCGAATTCTAAGTAAGTTATAAAGCTTTGAGCTGCTAGCTCTCCACGAACAGATGTATAGACTGTACAAACATTGACTTGCATATATTTGCACAGGTTCTACGAGGAATACAAGGCGTGTGTGCTTGGTGTAGTGGGATGTGACGGTGCAAACACCATCGCCCAGTCGGAGGCACAACTGGCTCAAGCTGGAATCGACATGAAGCTATTGTGTAAGAAAATAATACGTACATGTTCATGTAGATATGTTCTGTTACGTCATGACGCAATACGATGATGTCATAGAACAAAACAAAGAAGTGTCGTTCAGATGCAGAATTTTACAGGGGCGTTCTCCGTTTTCTGGTGGGTTTATTGAAACTGTTATTGAATCTCATCGAACGGCATGAAAAATGATCTCTGAACACATTCACATTCTGTTTATTTTCTGAACCGCCTCCGGTAGTGGCAGAGCGTCCGCCCGGAGAACCGAAGGTCCAGGGTTCGATTCCCGGCCGCGTCATTCCAAAAGACGTTAAAAGATGGTACTTGTTGTTACCCTGTCTGGGGGTCGGCATTAAGGGTCTAAACGAGGACTGGTCGGCTCGGAGTCAGTATACTGTGTCTGAGTGGGGTATTCATGTTAAACTGCGTCATGGTATCTCAGTGGGCTAGCACTATAAATCGGCATCAGTCCAGACTAGTACAAGCATCCACACACACACACACACACGTCGCTATATCAGTGCTACATAACGCGACGTTAAACCCCATTTCCCCTCCCCTCCCCTCTTTATTTTCTTCATGTAGGTTCTTCAGTGGAATGAATCTTCCAATCTCAGTAAACCAGAGCCTGTCCTCCCACACGATATCTCTCTGTGTGAGGAGTGAGGGAGTTTGGTTTAACGCCGCTTTTAACAGTATTCCAGTTACATCACGGCGTGTCAGCTTAATGTGGAAGGAAAGCCCGAAGTGATGCAGGTCTCAGACGTTTACCACTTCGGTGAAACCCACGAGCACGGGTATGGTGCTGACAACATATGGGCGAACCGGGATTCGAACCCACAATCAAAGGTTTCTGGCATGCCCAAGGGACGCAACTCTGCACAGCGAATCGCGGCGCCTTAAACGACTGGGCCACCCGTGCCCCCCTCTGTGTGAGGAACTGATGACACCCCGATTGAAGGTCAAGTCAGGAGAAGCCTTGTCAGGTTTGTCAGCACCATTCCCGTATTTGTGAGTTTTACCAAAGTGTTTTCCTCTTTGCCCCAGGATCTCCAATTGTGGAGTTGATGTGAAATCATGGCAATGATCACTCCTATGCTACTTGGTGAAGTACTGATACTAAAGAAGTATTTTCAACCCACGTGAACATGCATGGCCCTTAGATGGCTCCGGGAGGTTCGTTAAGAATCGAGTGAGTCATGTTCGTGTGACCTTTGACCCGCTGAATCTAAATGAAACATGCGTGGGTTCTTGAAAAATGTCAGTTGTCAGCTTTCTTGACGACCTCGATTTGGAAATTTATATTTTTACAAACAAAAAATTACATGACACGAATATTCTTTCAATGGTATTTCTTATTGGGTGTAGATTCCACGGAGCTCAAAAACAGCAGGGTGTAAGCAATATCCACAGGGAGATAATAGCGCGGTCGTCATTACGTACAAACGTTTAAGTTCGTTTTCGAGAAACAGATATCGCATATGATGGTTTGAATGCTTGGCCCCCCTCTAACTCTAAATCTAATCTATGCCCCAGCGGTGTGAAGTTCACCTGGCGTGACCTCCTATGGAGTGAGTGTCTTTTGGTCATCAAGCAGAGAGGAATAGCTAGCACTCACTCACTCACTCACTCACTCAATAAGGAATTCCCGTGAAGTCAGTATGAAGTTAAATACATTATGAATAGCCCAAACACTGTCCCCTACGTATTAAAGCAGGAATATTCCTAACAACCATAACATTATCCAGTCGTGATATTCAGTTGTGACCAAACTCTTTCCACAATCATGAGAAACCTCTGCCGAAAGCAGAGTCCATTGTAAGATAAGGACTTCATCAAAAGCATGTGTTTATATATGACTCTCATATATATATATCATGCCTGACAACCATGTGAATTTCGTCCCTCCTTTCTTTTTCGTTGACCCACTGTCTTGTCTTATTCCAGGCCCTGTCGTTGTCGCAAACACAGAAGTTATGTTTTTCTGTGGTCACATTGACTCTCATCATAGTTCTGAATATCTCCAGGGGGCGATCGGATAGCCAAGTGGTTAAAGCGTTCGCTCGTCACGCCGAAGACCGGGTTCGATTCCCGACATGGATGCAATGTGTGAATCCCATTTCTGGTGTCCCCCGCCGTGATAGTGCTGGAATATTGCTAAAAGCGGCGTAAAACCGTACTCACTCACTCACTCTGAATATATGATGTGAATGAACACTGAATTGTTACGAGGTGGATTGAACATTGGGATGAAATCGTAATAGAACTACTCAAAAACTTTGAATGGCATATATATTCCTTACGCAGGACACGAATATGCTTTCGATGGTAGTCCTTATAGGGTGTAGATTCCACGGACCTCAGAAACACAGTAACAAAATAGCGCCGTCTTCATAACGTACAATCGGAAAAGATCGTTTAAGTTCATTTTCGAGATACAGATAACAGATATGCTGGTTTGAATGCTTGACTCACTCTAAACCTAAATATAATCTGTGCCCCAGGGCTGTAAAGCTCACCAGGTGTGGTCTTCAAGCTGTGCGGAATAGCATCGGAGTGATTCATCTCATTTTAATGGGATCGTAGATCTTCCAACTTTGCTAAGTGGCGATCTGGTCTGCCTGCACAATACCAAAGGTCGTGGGTTTGTCCCAACGCTGTCCCCTACGTATTAAAACCGGAATATTCCTAACAACCATAATTGCAGACTCTTATAAGATATCGTAATATATACAGTCGTGATATTCAGTTGAGACCTAACTCTTCTTATAATCACGAGAAACAGCTGCCGAAAGCAGAATCCATTGTTAGATAAGGACAATATGATAAGCATGTGTTTATGAATGACTATATATCATGTCTGACAACCATGGTGAGTTTTGTCGCTTCTTTCCTTTTCGCTAAACCACTGTCTTGTCTTATTCCAGGTCCTGTCGTTGTCGCAAGCACAAGAGGTATGGTTTTCTGTAGTCCCATTGACTCGCTTCATAGTTCTCGGGAGCATGGGTGGCCAAGCCGTCGAAGGCGCCGCGATTCGCTGTGCAGAGTTGCATCCCTTGGGCACGCCAGAAATCTATGATTGTGGGTTCGAATCCCGGTTTGCCCCGATTATGTTTCTAGGTTTGTCAGCACCATACCCGTGCTTGTGGGTTTCACCGAAATGGTAAAAGTGTGAGACCAGCATCACTTCGGGCTTTCTTCCCACATTAAGCTGACACGCCGCAATGTAACTGGACGACTGTTAAAAGCGGCGTTAAACCCAACTCACCCACTCACTCATAGTACTGAATATCTCGAAAGCGTAACGTGAGTGAACACAGAAGTGTTACGAGGTGGATTCAATATTGGGATAAAATCGTAACAGAAGAGAAAAAATACTCAAAAAATTTAAAGGGCATATTCCTTTTTTAAATTCCACAAAACTGATTTTAAAGTCTCTGATCAGGATCCATACTAAACTTGGAGTGGTATACATGTATATTACATCCAATACATGAATTTGTCAAGAATATCAGTTACCACTAACATGCAGTGTGTTTATGACATAATACTACCACTGAATTCTTCTGTATCGTACGTATCATCTGTTACAAATAACCAATATTTAGTATACGAGCCTTTTCGGGTACTATAATGTTATTCTTGTTGTGGATATGCTGACCATTATAAATGATTTTTGTAGTATGATTTATTTTGTTCTATTACGTTTGAACTCCCATTTCCATTTTGCCTCAGGCCCTGAAGACGGCACCAAATTTCCGAGTCAATGTAACATCGTCGACATCTACAACTGTGGCCACATCCTGGCTCAGGAGGTTCAACAGGCTCGCGGTGACGACGAGAAAGTATGCCAGTATGTAAACTAGAGCATTGTGATTTATGTGTAGAACCAGGCAGGGGGAAATAAACAGTGGCATCAGTCTCACCCCTCAGGTAATCCCAGATTGTACAACTCTGTTGGTGTGAGCTAGGTATGGCGTTTCTCGTAAGGCAACCGGTTGGGGATAATTTCAGCAAAATCCCCGTATAAACGACAAGGGACAGAACTTCAGATTTTGTATGCACGGAAACTGATAACTTAGGTTACAAATGAATGTAGAGATTAGCATTCGTATGAGCGTCCTTGATGATTTGGGTTTGGTATTTAATTCTGAGTTATTACAAAAATGTAAATTTTGATTTACTGTTGCTTCTCGGCGGATCCGTGATTGAACAACTAAGTAATGACCTTACTACATTCTTACTACAGGTGGGGGCACGGGTGGCCCAGTCGTCAAAGGCGCCGCGATTCGCTGTGCAGAGTTGCGTCCCTTGGGCACGCCAGAAACCTATGATTGTGGGTTCGAATCCCGGTTCGCCCCGATTATGTTTCTAGGTTTGTCAGCACCATACCCGTGCTCGTGGGTTTCACCGAAGTGGTAAACGTCTGAGACCTGCATTACTTCGGGCTTTCCTCCCACATTAAGCTGACACGCCGCGATATAACTGTAATATTGTTAAAAGCGGCGTTAAACCCAACTCACTCACTCACTCTTACTACAGGTTTGAAGATTACATTTCGGGCATGTAGTTACTATTTTTCTACAGGTAGATGCCATGGTGTAATCTGCAAACCCTGATTACACAATTACGCAAATTTTGACAACATTGGGCTATAAATGGACTCCATACATTGTACCATCTGGGGAATCAAACCCGGGTCTTCGACGTGACGAACGAAGGCTTTAAGCTCTTGGCTACCCCACTTTTAGGGTCTTAGCAACGTGTGGAGGCCCCCTTTTCACCAACTAGCCAATCACAAATGCCAATCGATCAATCAATCAATCAAAATCAATCAATCCATCATAAAATGAATCAAACAACATCAATCAAAATCATTCAATCAATCAATCAAGCACAAATGCCAATCGATCAATCAATCAATCAAAATCAATCAACCCTTCATAAAATTAATCAAACAAAATCAAACACAATCAATCAATCAATCAATTTGGTCAATCAATCAATTTGGCCAATCAATCAATTTGGCCAATCAATCAATTTGACCAATCAATCAAATTGGCCAATTAAACAAACATTACGAAGCTTGTTATCATATATGCTTCATCTTTTTTTCCCTTGAACAGAGCTGCCACCAAGTATGTTACATGTCTCAACAAGCTGACATCGTGTATAAACGACCCGGCCTTCACACAAGCCAGACAGACGTTGGAAGAAATGAATCTGAAGGATATATGTGAGGCCATCGATATTAATTTGTCACTGTGTTTCTTATCTTCTTGTCACATGTCAAATAGCCAATACAGTAAGCATGTCTTATGGGAGAGTTGAGACCATTCTAAGGAATGAACTGGGCATGAGAAAGGTTTCAGCATGCTGGGTTCAAGGTATCTGAATCGTTTCAGAAAACGTTTCGGGTTCATCGTCTTAATTGCTAATTTACGCTGTTTTGAATCCAACAACCCAGCTGATTTTTGTGAGCGTGGATGAGTTTTGGGTTAATTACTCTCAGCCAGAGACTGATCAACAGTCAAACCAGTGGAAACATCTAACGCCCCCTCTCCCGAAGTGGCAAGGTGATTGCTTCGGTTTTCTGGGAGTCCAAAGCCATTCCACCCAAGGACCGGTGCACCGTGGCATTTATGGCCAGTGTTGTGCTCATCTGCTTAGGCAACTGTGTGAGAATATCAAGATTAAACGTTGTGGAAATATCCCTGAAGGCGTGTTGTTACACCAGGGCGAGTCTGCTGTCGCGATGGTTGCAAAGCATGACAGTGGCTTTGAAATTATTGAGCATCCTCCGTGTTAATCAGATTCAGCACCGTCAGATTTCTTCTTCCCAAATTGAAGAAAGAACTGTCTGGCAAGCATTTCGCAAATCGCGATGACGCCATGCTGTTGTGGAGGACTGTTTTGTATCACCAGAAGGAAGCCTTCTACACCATTTGGATCCAGACTCTCGAGGTGGATCGAGACACTCGAGATGGATCCAGGCAGCTCGAGGTGGATCAAGACACTCGAGATGGATCGTGCACTCGAGGTGGATCGAGACACTCGAGGTGGATCCAGGCACTCGAGGTGGATCCAGACGCTCGAGATGGATCAGGCACTCGATGTGGATCCAGACGCTCGAGGTGGATCAGGCACTCGTGATGAATCCAGGCACTCGAGGTGGATCAAGATGCTCGAGGTGGATCAGGCACTCGAGATGGATCCAGGCACTCAATGTGGATCCAGACACTCGAGGTGGATCAATACACTCGAGGTGGATCCAGGCACTCGAGGTGGATCCAGACGCTCGAGGTGGATCAGGCACTCGAGGTAGATCCAGATGCTCGAGATGGATCAGGCACTCGAGGTGGATCCAGACGCTCGAGGTGGATCAGGCACTCGAGATGGATCCAGGCATTGGAGGTGGATCCAGGCACTCGAGATGGATCCAGGCACTCGAGGTGGATCCAGACGCTCGAGGTGGATCAGGCACTCCAGATGGATCCAGGCACTCGAGATGGATCCAGGCACTCCAGTATCGTTTGCAGAAGTGCGTGGACCGCGGAGGGGATTAAGTTGAGAAATAATTAGCAACTAACTCCATCAACACAGCTCACCATAGTTAGGTTTAGGGTTTTTCAGCCACCATTCGTATATATATGTAACAACATACTTCAACTATTTACTATGTCGTGAAGATCCGGGGTAGAACAGGTCTTCAGCAACCCATGCTTGCCGTAAAAGACGAGTATGCTTGTCGTAAAAGGCGACTAACGGGATCGGGTAGTCAGTCTCGCTGACTTGGTTGATGCATGTCATCGATCCCAATTGCGTGGATCGATGCTCATGATATTAATCACTGGATTGTCCGGTCCAGACTCGATTATATACAGACCGCCGTCATATAGCTGGAATATTGCTGGGTGCGGCGTAAAACAACAAACAAAAATTACTCTGCTCTTCAATCACGGGACTGAAATGTCGCCAAATATTTTCACGATGAGTAGCTTTTGTGTTTTTGCACAGATTAAATCAATGCAATTTACTGCTCTTTTCTTCAGGTGCACAAGCGATTGCATACCCGTCAAGTTCCCCAAGTTTCCATGGCAACACTATTGCCAGCATAATATCTATGTCGCTGTTATTCTGCTTCTGGATGTTGAAACGCAACTGAGGCATGTAATGAGAACAAACAACACTTTGTGAACTGATGATATAATAAAGCTATAATAAGAGCAGTTTGTGTCATTTTAGTCAAACCAATTCTATGTCCCGCGGACCGCCTCCATGGTTTAGTGGTAGAGCGTCCGCCCGGAGAGCGGAAGGTCCGGGGTTCCATCCCCGGCCGCGTCATACCAAAAGACGTTAAAAGATGGTACTTGTTGTTAAAACAAGGACTGGTCGGCTGGGAGTCAGTATACTGTGTCTGAGTCGGGTATTCATGTTAAACTGCGGCATGGTATCTCAGTGGGCTAGCACTATAAATCGGCATCAGTCCGGTCTAGTTCAAGCAGCCACACATACACACACGCGTGCATGTACGTCGCCATATAAGCGCAATAATCTTGGACGCGACGTTAAACCCATGGCCAATTTCACCTCACATCTATGTCACACGTATCTTACGACATGGTCCACGTGTGGCAGGAGCAGTGCTGTTCGGCGTTAGGCAACAAACACGTACATGCAATGTTATGCTAAGTGTGCGGGTGGCGGGTTCTACCGGTAGAGTAGGACATGATATCCATTTTCGCGAACACCTGGGCCCTGTTCCACAGAGCGATATCGATCTTAGTGGTACGTTGATCGTAAGCCATGGTAAAGTATGGGAGTTACGACCAACTTAGCACTAAGGTCGCTTTGTGGAACAGGGCCCTCGGCCCCGTTCCTCAAAGCGATGTTAGCGCTACGATGATCGTAAGACTATGCTAAAGTATGGGACTTACGATCACCTTAGTGCTAAGATCGCTTTGAGGAACGGGGCCCAGGGTGTCATCTCTGTTCTTCCCTGATCCATTTACAAATTCTAACCACTATTTTCCTTATCGCCCAGTGGAATCTGTTTCGGCAGAAAACCGATACCGAAAATTCTCCGGCGCTTTCTGTATATTTGCTACGGATATACATTTTAACCCCATATAAATTAGGAGCTGGTCGCGACTAAGCTTCTCGTGACTCTCATAAGGAGTGAGTAGCAATTCAACCAAAAGTCGTGTCATTTTAACCATGCGCGGATATCGTACTGAGAGTCTACATCATATGGGCAGTTCCTCCCACATCAAGCTGACACTGTTCAAAGTGGCGTTAAACCAAACTCACTCACTAGTTTAGGGAAAATTTATTCTTTATCCTACCATGACACTGAAGAATACTTATTTCTGACTGTTGAAAATACGATCAAAATCAGGTATCGAATTAACAAGCATCTTCATGCAAAGACATTGCGATCTATTGATAGCTTACATATCGATGCTTAATGATGGTTGCTGACACCTCATTGCTGAAGCATTTGGACACAACAGCTTACCAAACATGATGAGATTTTTTCAAAACACGCACAATTAGGTAAACCATAATTATCACTACATGTATATAGTGCCAAAACAGACACATTTTCCACATGCTGTTTGAATGCCGTGAAATTACGCAAATTACCGTTCTCTACGGTGGACCATAAGGGACATTGAGTCCGTTTTTCCATATTTTGATATTTCACTTACTTTTAGCGTAACGTTTTGCAAATAAACACGATTTGTCTTACAAATGTGTGATAAATCATGTGTAGAGAAGATATTGAATCGCTGAAAAGTGAAACGAAAATGTCAAAAACAAAAACGAAAATGTCAAAAACAAAAACGAAAATGTCAAAAACTAAAATGAAAATGTCAAAAACAAAAGCGAAAATGTCAAAAACTAAAATGAAAATGCAGAAAACTATTTCCACCGCGGTGAAAACTATTTACACCACGGTGGAAATATTATCACCGCGGTGGAAATAGTTTTTGTGGTTTCATTTTAGTTTTTGACATTTTCGCTTCACATTTCAGCGACGCAATAGCTACTTGAAAGTACATTTTCCATGTTTTCGGTTGTTTTTATACATGATTTATCACATATTTGCATCTTGACAAATTGTGTTAATTTGCAAAAGGTTACGATAAAAGTAAGTGAAACATCAAAATATTGAAAAACAGACTCCATGTCCCTTATGGGCCACCGTAGTTCTCCCATGCCGCACAGTGTCGAATCGCCTCGCGCCACCTGGGTTCGTTGGCAATGAGTTTGAGTCAGTTACAGGTCGGGATTCGTGCAAATAATGAACTCCACTGTGTATCGGAGCTGTGCTCCAATGATCATGGGTGTCATTAAACAAGAATAAAGTAATAATAAAAACCTGGTAATAGGTGCACAGGTGTATCATTAACAACTTATTGCACCAGTAACTTACGTGTGGATTCTATACACACACATTTCAGTAGACAATTCAGCCAAGAAATCACAAGTGATCAAGGGACATAACTCTATTTTATTCACTGATATTCTGCTAACTCGAAGTGATTGAAGCGGCCGGTCAATACCACCATAAAGCCAATATATGCACTTCACGTGCCACTCTCCCCCTCTTTTAATAAACGAGGATAAATGATGACCTCGGACAAAAGACACAGTATTCCAGTTATATCACGGCGTGTCAGTTTAATGTGGGAGGAAAGCCTGATGTGATGCAGGACTCAGACGTTTACCACTTTTGTGAAACCCACGAGCACGGGTATGGTGCTGACAAACCTAGAAACATAATCGAGGCGATTCGATTCGAACCCATAACCATAGGTTCCTGGCGTGCCCAAGGGACGCAACTCTGCACAGCGAATCGCGGCGCCTTGAACGACTGGCCCATCTGTGCCCCCTCGGACAAAAGAAGAAAAACAAAGAATACTGAGATATACTTACTTTGTTCAAATAGCCCTACTGATAATAAGAACACTTTTAAAAGTGTATGAACTAAACAATATGGATAGGAACATTGCTATGATAACCCTACTGTCGATAAGTTCTCATTATCTAGTCCTATGTCGGCTAACAACGAGGTCGGGGCGTCACTTTCTACTCCTCGTGGCACTACATGAGCATCGATCCACTCAGCTGGAAGACGATGATATGCAATCAACCACGTCACCTCTTACGACAAGCAGAGGTCACTGCATCCTCCCGAGGAAAGGGAGTTAACTGACTTTAAAAGTCCAGTTTCCACCCTTGCCGAACTAGGCTGACATTATTGAGTTACATTTTGGCTGGACTAACGAGTCTATGCATAGTCATCAAAATCGAGTAACGAACTAGATTTCCGGTTCGTAAACAACATGGTTTTACGTGCAGATTTCATGTTTTAATCAAGATGTTCAAGTGATGCACTTTGCACAGAAAGGCCCGTTTTCTTACAATATAGGTTTGTCAGTACCATACCCGTGTCCGTGGGTTTTACCGAACTGGTAAACGTCTAGGACCTGCATCACTTCGGGCTTTCCTCCCACATTAAGCTGACATGCCGCGATATAACTGGAATACTGTTAAAAGCGGCGTTAAACCAAACCCACTCCCTCACTCTTACAATATAGATCCTGACTATAGATGATTTTGACCGTGCGCCGCCATTTTGTTTGAAACAATTGCAAGTTTTATGAAAGGTGGAATCTGATTGGCCAATAGGAGGGACATACAAGGGACATAACTCATAATAGCCACTGGTGACGCTACGATCGAGCCCTGAAATTCCAACGTAGTTCGGTAAGTGTGGAAACTGTCGTCTAAGGCGCGTCCTTTTGAAATGTTAGTCATCTATGATCGTGTGTTCGCCCTTATGATGTTTCTAGGTTTGCCAGCACCAAACTCGTGCTCTTGGGTTTCACCAAGGTGGGATACATTTAAAAACCTTCTCTGTCACAACGGGCTTTTCTCCCACATCCGTTTGGTATGTTGAAACCGGCTTTAAACCGAACTCACTTACTCATTTGTAACTAGCATTGTAGCCACGATTGCTCACAAGGGTACAATTTTTAGCCCATTAAGGAATAGTGCTTCAAGCGAAGCCCAACGCACCATTACCGACTCACTGGAATATCAAAATAACGTTACAACTGATATACTAATAACTAAGTACATGTTATCCAAAGACGATCAAATAACACCCCCCCCCCCCCCCCCCCGCGTCATTGTTGTAGTAATACTGACGGCATTGTTGACGTCATCGTATTGAAATGAAAGCGACAAGAAATTACTGTTCCTCGTCAAGTCCACTGGACGATTCCGGCTACACATACGCAGTAACAGACAACCACACAGTGATGATACCAGGTGTTCGTGAAAAAGGTGATGGCATCCGCCCCAAATACAGGATAGTAAACCGTTTACCTGAAACATGTCTCGAGAGCTCCACTAAGGCCTAGAATGTTGTAACGCTGATCAAACAACCTTCGGCCAAATGTCATTTAAAATCTTCATGGAAAGTCACAGCCTATGATTTGTGATGAAAACCTATTACAAACTTTGTATTGAGTTAAACAATATGACGATACAGACAGAGGGGGACTCACAAATATCGTCCCCTCTCTATATACATATAGGGGTCCCGGATGGTCTCTCAATCTAAGGTCCGCCTCCGTGGTCTAATGGTAGAGCGTCCGCACGGAGAACGGAAGGTCCGGGGTTCGATCCCCGAAAGCGTCATACCAAAAGAGGTTAATAGATGGTACTTGTTGTTATCCTGTCTAGCGCTCGGCATTAAGGGGCTAAAACAAGGACTGGTCGGCTCGGAGTCAGTATACTGTGTCTGAGTGGGGTATTCATGTTAAACTGCGGCACGGTATCTCAGTGGGCTAGCACTATAAATCGGCATCAGTCCGGATTAGTACAAGCAGCCACACATACACGTGCATGCACGTCGCTATATAAGTGCAATAATCTTGGACGCGACGTTAAACCCCATTTCACCTCACCTCACTGAACAATCCAAGGCATCGCAAATTCGACGCGATGAGTTGCGCCCCTTTGGCAGTGTCCGCTTAACGTGGATTCAAATCCAAGACTTGCGCTGATAGTGATTCGGGCATTCCTCTCTCTCTCTCACACACACACACGCTGATAGTGATTCGGGCATTCCTCTCTCTCTCTCACACACACACACGCTGATAGTGATTCGGGCATTCCCCTCTCTCTCTCTCTCTCTCACACACACACACGCGCTGATAGTGATTCGGGCATTCCTCTCTCTCTCTCTCTCTCTCTCTCTCTCTCTCTCTCACACACACACACCCACGCGCTGATACTGATTCGGGCATTCCTCTCTCTCTCTCTCTCCCTCTCTCACACACACGCGCTGATAGTGATTCGGGCATTCCTCTCTCTATCTCTCTCACACACACGCGCTGATAGTGATTCGGGCATTCCTCTCTCTCTCTCTCTCTCTCTCTCTCTCTCTCTCTCACACACACACACACGCGCTGATAGTGATTCGGGCATTCCCCCCTCTCTCTCTCTCACACACACACGCACTGATAGTGATTCGGGCATATCCCTCTCTCTCTCTCTCTCTCTCTCTCTCTCTCTCTCTCTCTCTCTCTCTCTCTCTCTCTCTCTCTCTCTCTCTCTCTCTCACGCACACACACACGATGTGAACCTAACCCATCCAGTCACTATGTATACTATTCAAATCAAATCACTATTCAAACCAAGACTTGCGCTGATAGTGATTCGGGCATTCCTTTCTCTCTCTCTCTCTCCCTCCCTCTCTCTCTCTCTCTCTCTCTCACACACACACACACACACACACACACACACACACACACACACACACACACACACACACACACACACACACACACACACACACACACACGATGTGAACCTAACCCAGCCAGTCACAATGTATACAACAATATGTGGAAGTATCCAGAATACTAATGCTAGCACTGACGGAAATCCCATTCAGCTGAACACAAAACTTAAACGCAACATAATGATAATCAATGGTGAGACAAACTTCTAATTTGGATGTGATCGAGATAATTTTATTTTCTTAAAAAAATATATTAGTCATATGCAAATAGGTGCACTTTGAGGATAAAAATAAAAAAAATAACACATTTAATTTAATTAGAACATTACAGACAACAGAGAAAAAGAAAAACGTCACATAAGAAATTCTTATAATATAACTTGATTAATCTTAATCCAGGGCACAGTCGAAGAGTTATCCTTAGTTCCAGACAAACGTGGTTCCAGTGTTAGATCACAGAGCCGATAATATATCTCCTTCGCCTAACAATGTACATTTTATGTATCGAGTGTTCGAGTTCCCGAGGTGCCGCTGTAGTATGTAGGTTGCTTATGTATCTACCGGTGTTCACAGATGACTACCAATTTTATCGATGTTTCCAAACTAGCGAGGGGCAAGCACAGTAACATAAACATGTAGATTAGAGTATACGCGAACATATAAGCTGCTACACTAGGAGACAATGTATGAAACATATACATCTGATTATTGGTCATATCGGAATCTTGGATTGAGCAATCCCCTTGTATTTATGTCTGACATTATGGAGGACAATAGAACAAAATGCAACAATTAAAATAATAAATTGAAACAATGATTCCATATAGTTATGAAATAGATGTAAATAAAGCTTTCCGGAACTTTTGATGAACTCAGGTCAGAACAGTGACGAGGAATATTAGATTTAATAAATGATTTAAACTTTTGTTGGTTTCAAAACGGGAACTGCTTCTAGATTTGTAGAAGCTGAAACACAGGAGATGGCCCCATGTTCCAATGCTCAGATCCACAGGTAAACCATCAAAGCAAAGGGAAGTGATGTCATCACGGACACGAGACTGGCTGCTGCTGCTGTTACTGGGGGCATAACATCCCCACCTGAAAACAAACACAATATGTACCAATTGTTTGATAGGCATTACTTAGTAGTTGACGGATGACAAAATAGACACAATTTATTGATAACAACTTCTTCAATACTGTAAAGGCGACGTTTCGGTATAGATCCTTATACCGTTGTCAGTCTTGCTTGACAACGATATATGGATCTATACCGAAAAGTCGCTTTTTACAGTACTGTATTAAAGAAGTTGTTATCCGTAAAATTGTGTCCACGTTGACAGTATGATTCGTCAGCTCGGTGGATGCTGAAATATCCCGACACAAGTAACCTCATAACTGTCAGTAGATATACACGCCATCTCGTGTAAATATCAGGAATTGTTATAAACGTCAAATCGTCATAAAAAATAGTGATGGTGTTCTAGCTACTCTAGTATTAATTCAAACAGAAATGAAGTGTAATATGTTTATATCGAGTGTGTCAGGTGGAGTGTGTGAATGAGTTGGATTTCACGCCGGTTTTAACAGTATTCCAGTTATATCACGGCATGTCAGTTTAATGTGGGAGGAAAGCCCGAAGTGATGAAGGTCTCAGACGTTTACCACTTCGGTGAAACCCACACCCACGGGTATGGTGATGACAAACCTAGAAACCTCGAACCCACAATTATAGATTTCTGGCGTGCCCAAGAGACGCAACTCGTAGACGACTGGGCCACTCGTGCACCGTGTCAGCAAAGGGACGCAACTCTTAGACGACTGGGCCACTCGTGCACCGTGTCAGCTTGAACCAAGGCTTCTTTTACAACTACGGTTTTAAATCAGTGACAGTGTGGGGACTCTCACATCAGTCACGGGAAGAGCTTCAAATCATAAGGAGTGGTTTCGGTATGTATGTTTCGTTATATTCGGTAAATAATTCGTTGCTGACATATCCCCACGTGACAAACTGGTCCCTACTGCCCAATGCATATCGTAAGAGCCGAGTAAACATTACCCTCTCGTGGTCCGAAAGTATCAGGTTATGGTGTAATGGTACCTCGAATTCGTGGATTGTGTCTCATCAACATTTTGGTCCAGACTTAAGTCATCGGCAGGTTATAGCTTTGATAATGCTTATCACGGCATAACACAACATTCATGGACTGCGACTGATATCCTTACACATTTCCCGAAGACCGAGACCCTCTAGTTCCATCCTTGCCTGGGTAAATGCCGGGTTCTGCATGCACGATACCAGTCTGTTCAGACACGCCACAAAGTCACGGGCAGCGCTGAAATTAACAGTCACATATCTTTGTGAGAGAGTATTATAGAGTCAAACGATATCAATTGGGTTATCTCAACAGGGTAAGTTCAGATGGTGCATTTGCAGATGTTCCAGGATCCGCTGATTATAGTCTCGAGACAAAGAGTTGCTACAATTATGGTCCTGTATATCATCATCATCATCATCATCATCATCATCATCATCATCATCATCATCATCGTCGTCGTCGCCATTATCATCATCATCACCACCATCCTCCTCCTCCTCCTCATCATCATCATCACCATCATCATCATCACCACCACCATCACCATCATCATTATCATCATCATCATCCCCGAATTTGTCCCTTTTGGTGCAACACGCAGTGACATACATGGAACTTAAACACTGTTCCGTGCATACACATACACACTTCCCAAAGTTACACTACCTCTCAGCTGGCACCTAATACATCTAAGATTATTTACTGGGGACACTTACTCACACCTCTTCCCAGCAGCATATTCTCTCTGTAGATTGTTGCTGCACATCCTGATGGCATTTACGTCGCACTCCATGTTGTCTGTAATCAGATTTAACATTATTACTTCACACAAAGGACTTGGTTAGGTGCAACCCGCTTTGGACAGTATCTTGATGTCGTACCTGCATAATGCTGGGACGCAACACTGCACAGCGGCTCCTTAGATGACTGGGCCATTCTCCCTTATACAAGAGTAGGGGGCACGGTTGGCCCAGTCGTCAAGACGTCGCGATTCGATGTGCAGAGTTGCGTCCCTTGGGCACGCCAGGAACCTATGATTGTAGGTTCGAATCCCGGTTCGCCCCGATTATGTTTCTAGGTCTGTCAGCACCATACTCGTGCTCGTTGGTTTCACCGAAGTGGTAAACGTCTGAGACCTGCATCACTTCGGGCTTTCCTCCAACATTAAGCTGACACGCCGTGATATAACTGGAATACTGTTAAAAGCGGCGTTAAACCCAGCACACTCGCTAATACAAGAGTGGTGTTTAAGATAGACGGGTAGATTGGAAGAATATACTTCCACACATGACAGACGTGGGTATACCTTTATCCAAAGTTTATCAACCCCAATTCAGCTGCCTGGGTCATGTTTGAAATGTGGACTGGAAGTTATTATCATAAGTTTACACAATTTTACCAAAATTTCCCTTATGTAGATATAAACTCACATCGTGTTGCCATTGGAGGAGCTGAAACAAGAACGACACATACATACAGATAAATGCATTTTAAACGAATTACTACAATGTTACTTTTTACAGTTTCCTTGGGAATAGTCATTAGATTTTTCTATTCAGAGCAACAATGCGCATTGCAGAAGCAGTGAAATTAGAGTATACCACATTTCAGTATTTTCTTGATACGGCTCTCAGATACGTCACGCACAATAATGTCAGAATCGAGATGCAAAGAGAATGCACCTTGGAAGTATCACACCAAACATTTGTTGGTCATGATTGATCAACTGATTGTCACCTTATGGTACATACCCCAACTTGTTGGTCGCCACGTGCCTGAAACAATCATTAAACGAACGTTGAATACACTGCAAACTCTAAATTTCATTAAAGATGTCAGTGTATCGTGAGTATCGTGAATGTACTCTTAGTTATGATGATGACAGTAGAAGGAAAGGTCATGATTACAACGGTTGGCTGAGTTCCTAGGTGAATCGAAGAACATACCACGAGGTATTGTCGCCCAAGGCCAGGGAGTTGATGTTAAAATAACAGCGACAATTTGTTAATAACACCCATGAAATACATGAATGAGAGCGAAATTGCAGGGAATTATAGTAAGGGAAAGAAAGAGATACGAAGAGGAAAGAAGATACCTATCATTGATCCAGAAAGAAAGTTTTAGGAATTATGTAGGAAGAATGAAGGATTAGAAAGGAAGAGTTAGTGAGTAGAAGAGGTAGATAGGAAGAGTTAGGAAGAAGAATATTGGGTGAAGTAGACAGGAAGAATGAGACGGACGAAAGCTAGAGAAAGTAGATAAGCAGAGTGCGGAAGAAGAAAGCTAAAGGGAGAAGATAGGAAGAGTTTGGGAGAAGAACTCTAGAGGAAGTAGACAGGAAGAGTAAGTGAGTTCACGGGCTCTCTTTGTTGGCTGCCCAGGGGAAACTAAGTACGTACCACGAGGTGTTGACCCCATAGGCCACGGAGTTGTTGCTGCAAAATAACAGTGACAAGTTAACACACATGAAATGCATAAATGAGAGCGAAATAGCAGAGAACTAGAGAAAGGGAACGAGAGAGAGATACGGAGAGGGAAAGAAGATACCTATCATTGATCCAGAAAGAAAGTTATTGGAATGAAGGATTACAAAGCTAACAGGAAGCATTCGTGAGAGGAAAGCTAGAAGAGGTAGACAGAAGAGTTAGTGAGAGGAAAGCTAGAAGAGGTAGACAGAAGAGTTAGTGAGAGGAAAGCTAGAAGAGGTAGACAGAAGAGTTAGTGAGAAGAAAGCAAGAAGAGGTAGACAGAAGAGTTAGTGAGAGGAAAGCTAGAAGAGGTAGACAGAAGAGTTAGTGAGAGGAAAGCTAGAAGAGGTAGACAGGAAGAGTTAGTGAGAGGAAAGCTAGAAGAGGTAGACAGGAAGAGTTAGTGAGAGAAAAGCTAGAAGAGGTAGACAGAAGAGTTAGTGAGAGGAAAGCTAGAAGAGGTAGACAGGAAGAGTTAGTGAGAGGAAAGCTAGAAGAGGTAGACAGGAAGAATTAGTGAGAGGAAAGCTAGAAGAGGTAGACAGGAAGAGTTAGTGAGAGGAAAGCTAGAAGAGGTAGACAGAAGAGTTAGTGAGAGGAAAGCTAGAAGAGATAGACAGGAAGAATTAGTGAGAGGAAAGCTAGAAGAGGTAGACAGGAAGAGTTAGTGAGAGGAAAGCTAGAAGAGGTAGACAGGAAGAATTAGTGAGAGGAAAGCTAGAAGAGGTAGACAGGAAGAGTTAGTGAGAGGAAAGCTAGAAGAGGTAGACAGGAAGAATTAGTGAGAGGAAAGCTAGAAGAGGTAGACAGAAGAGTTAGTGAGAGGAAAGCTAGAAGAGGTAGACAGAAGAGTTAGTGAGAGGAAAGCTAGAAGAGGTAGACAGAAGAGTTAGTGAGAGGAAAGCTAGAAGAGGTAGACAGAAGAGTTAGTGAGAAGAAAGCAAGAAGAGGTAGACAGAAGAGTTAGTGAGAGGAAAGCTAGAAGAGGTAGACAGAAGAGTTAGTGAGAGGAAAGCTAGAAGAGGTAGACAGGAAGAGTTAGTGAGAGGAAAACTAGAAGAGGTAGACAGGAAGAGTTAGTGAGAGGAAAGCTAGAAGAGGTAGACAGAAGAGTTAGTGAGAGGAAAGCTAGAAGAGGTAGACAGGAAGAATTAGTGAGAGGAAAGCTAGAAGAGGTAGACAGAAGAGTTAGTGAGAGGAAAGCTAGAAGAGGTAGACAGGAAGAATTAGTGAGAGGAAAGCTAGAAGAGGTAGACAGGAAGAGTTAGTGAGAGGAAAGCTAGAAGAGGTAGACAGGAAGAGTTAGTGAGAGGAAAGCTAGAAGAGGTAGACAGGAAGAAATAGTGAGAGGAAAGCTAGAAGAGGTAGACAGGAAGAGTTAGTGAGAGGAAAGCTAGAAGAGGTAGACAGGAAGAATTAGTGAGAGGAAAGCTAGAAGAGGTAGACAGAAGAGTTAGTGAGAGGAAAGCTAGAAGAGGTAGACAGAAGAGTTAGTGAGAGGAAAGCTAGAAGAGGTAGACAGAAGAGTTAGTGAGAGGAAAGCAAGAAGAGGTAGCCAGGAAGAGTGAATGTGAAGAAAGCTAAAGGGGGTAGATAGGAAGTGAGAGAGGGAAAAGAAAGTTAAGGAAGTGGACAGAAAGAGTGAGGGAAATATTAAGACAGTTTGGGGAGGTTGATGGGAAGAAAGAGGGAGAAGAAAGCTCCAGGAGGTAGATAGGAATAGTGCGGTAGAAGAAAGCTGGATGACGCAGACAGGAAGAGTGTGGAGAAAGTTGGAGGAAGAAGACAGGAAGAGTTAGGAGAAGAAAGTTAAAGGGCGTACAACGGAAGAGTGAGGGGAGGAACGCTAGAAGATGTAGACAGGAAGATTTAAGAGAAGAAAGTTAAAGGGCGTAGAACGGAAGAGTGAAGGCGAGGAATGTCAGATGAAGGAGACCGGAAAAGTGACGACAAAGGCAGCTGGGGGAAGTAGACAGGAAGAGTGAGGAGAGGAACGCTAGAGGAAGTAGACAGGAAGAGTTAGGAGAAGAAAGTTAAAGGGCGTACAACGGAAGAGTGAAGGTGAGGAATGTCAGATGAAGTAGACCGGAAAAGTGACGAGTAAATAATCGAGTCTGGACCAGACATAGATAGAAAAGAGACCTAGAGAAAATGTGAGACACAAACAGAAGGCAAAAAAGACGCACGAGAAGATAGGTAAAGGGAAAATTCGACATATATTGAGCAAGTAAAATACACAAATTAAAGCTACATGCCTTACACATGCTACAAGAGTCAGCTAAAATATATCAATACGTGCGAGAAATGAACACAGACTCACGTATCATTGGAGGAGCTGAAACAGAAGCAAATGTCAGATGAAAGTGTGCGAAAAAGACTGTAACGTTTACCATTAAACAAATCTTTTCTATTTGTAGTTTTTTTTAAAACAAATGATCTAATTTATAAATTAGGTGTATGTCCTTGTATGTCTCATATTTAACAGGGGCCCGAGAAACCACTTCTACTTCCAAATGGTTAAACAAGTGCATTAGTTAAGTGAGTGAAGTTGTGTAACGCTGCATTTCAGTAATATTGATAAAGGAAGAAAGTTCGAAATGAAGAATAATGATGAGAAATATAAGTATATGAGTTAGTGAGTGAGTGAGTATGGTTTGACACTGCTTTAAGGAATATACCACTATATCACGGCGGAGAATACCAGAAACGGGCTTCTCACACGGGACTCATCTGAAGAATCGAACCTGAGGCTTCGGCATGTCGAGGAAAGGTTTAACCACTAGGCTACTCCACCTCAGAGAAGAAATTAGACAGGAGAGGAGAAGGATATATTATAATTAGAGAATTAAAGTGAAGAGAGAGAGTGGGGATTAGATGTGAGACGAAGAGATTGGAAAAGTTAAGATAAGAAATGCTGAAAAACTATGAGAAGGTGAAATAAAAATGAATGAGAGCAAAATTGAAATTAAGAGGAAATAAAAGGGGAAGAGAGATAAAGCGATAGGAAGATGATTTACTCGTTAAACCGCAGTCCCATTGAACAAGGCACATGTTAAGCTAATACTGATGATAGAATGATCAGACACATTGGAAACTACGGTTACTTTTGATTACATCTCCTGCATCAAACAGTGTTCTTAACGTCATTGCTCATTGCAGACAGAAGGGGCGATGTCCCATACGGTCTAATTCTGTTGTAGAAGTCTAATGTTGGCATGACGAATTAATGTGATTGTATACTTACTCCTTGTGGTTGCTCCACCCTCACCTGCAAACATATCAAGAATAACATATATTATAACAAATAATAATAAATTAAATATTAAACCAGCGATAACAAAACATCAAGATGCAAACCTTTAAGTAATAAAAATATGAACATAGCTTTGGTCCAGAGAGACATGCTTATAATAACAAAAATAAAAATGATCAAATTATCATAATAGTAACACTATTTTTCAGGGCATCATTTGCAGAAGCCCGAGGTCGGATTAACCAGGAAGCCAGTTGAGGAGATCGATGGATTCTGCTCATGTCAATGTCCTGAAAATTAGGTTTACCGGTACTATAACTATGATGGATAGAATTTGTTCTAAAAAAAGACGAATGAAGCTAAATCCAAAAACAACCCACCCAAAACAAACAACAACGCATACTGTTATTCACATTGTTCAACTGTCATGAAACACGTCATTAACAATAGATTACGTCACCATAACTCGTTTGACGTCATTCGACATTGGCCTTCGATTCGGCCAACATCAGAGGGAAGCTATTTTAGGAGCTATTCGATCTTTTGAGAGATTGCTGAATATATAGAGTGACTGAGTGAGTATGGTTTTACGCCGCTTTTAGAAATATTCCGTGTACCATATTTAGAGTGTTACAGATGGTACAATGATGGATACTGGCATTGACAGGAAATATGCGGTCTGCCTAAAATTTTCAGACCTAGGGTGGGCGGTCGGGTAGCCTAGTGGTTAAAGCGTTCGCCCGTCACGCCGAAGACCCGGGTTCAGTTCCCGACATGGGTGTGAAGCCCTTTTCGGATGTCCCCCGCCGTACTATTGCTGGAATATTGCTAAAAGCGGCGTAAAACCATACTCACTCACTCAGACCTAGGGTAAAGACGTCTACCCTTTGCTATGGTGTTCGACCACAGATATCCAATCAGTCGCGTGTTTTCGGATCTAAACGGCTGTTCTTTTTCCCTAAGTACTCACACGCAAAAGAAACGCAAGTGGTTTTAAGCAAATAGGTAACAAATACGGAACCCTAAATTGATACGAGTTTTAGCATGTAGTGAGCCTGATGATGTTATTAATATTTTTGGTTGCATTTTGGAAGCCCTGAGTAAAAACGCAACATAAAAAACGAATCGCCAAAACGCACCATTTCTATGAATGTGTGGGTATCATGCACCCATGTCTCGCGAAATCGAAAATGCACGAACTGTCACAAACTGTAGTGGGTATAAAACAGGGCCGAGTCTTGGACCTACCACTTCTTGTGTCTCCTTTGCAGACGGAAGAGTCAGAATTTGTCGGCGTTGAGGTGATCGTTTCGCTGACAGAAACGTTGTGGAAAGGGATCCATGGGATGGACCTAGCGTCATGATATGGGCAGGGATTGGACTTAATGCGAGACTTGGACCCATGTGCTTTCTGAATGTTAGTCAAGGTCGGGGACACGGCGTCACTGCTCAGCGGTATATCGACCAAGTGATCAGACCCCACGTTGTTCCATTTTTTGCACAACATCAACAACATATTTTCCAGCAGGACAATGCTCGTCCCCATGTTGCCAGAGCTACCATGGCCTTTCTGCAACAACACAACATCCGTGTTCTACCGTGGCCAGCCCTCAGCCCTGATCTGAACCCCATCGAACACTTGTGGGATGAGGTTCAAAGGCGTCTGCACTATGTGCGCCCAGTCCCTACAACTGCCGATGAACTACGCACAGCTGCTCTAGATGTGTGCAGGAGGATCCCTAGGGCCTTCACAAATCGTCTGATTCATTCAATGTACCGGAGATCTTTGGCAGTGATCAATGCTAATGGTGGTCAGACCAGGTATTGACTGACATTTTGGGTATTGACCCGAAACTGTGTAAGCCCTTAACATTTGAAAAAACCCAATTATGTCATCTGCCTTTTAATCCATTAAACTGTCTTCAGTCAAATTTTTGTCAATCTTGCCCTATTAGTATTTCTTGTCTTTACTGTTGAAAATAAATAACATGTATACTGCAAACTCGACTTGCGTTTCTTTTGCGTGTGAGTATATATGCACGGTGCTTCATCGAACACGGATCCGTGAACATCATCAGTAGGAGTGTGAGGCACTCGTTCAAACACCCGAATTGACAGAGCCGTAACGATACAGTCAGGCGCTATGTTTCTTTATGTTATTATGCAAATTAGCTATGGTTTTGTATCATATAGCAACGTGAATGATAATGCCCCGTCGTTAGGCAGAATGTTGAAATTCCAAGACTAACATCAGAACAACGTGAGCAAGCAATTGGGATGGTACAGATGGGGACCTCACACACCACCGTTGCAAGAACATATGGCTGTTCCCGTGTTGCTGTTGGAAACGTTTTGCAACGTTTCAGACAGACTGGAAGGACATCGGACAGACCCAGGACAGGGAGACCACGGGTCACTGCACCACAGGAAGACGTTGCACCTCCGCAACCGCTTCCTCACAGTGACGTCATCGGCAGTGAATGCTTTGGGTCGGCGGGTGAGCACACACAGAGTGACCAGAAGACTTCATGCAGCGGGTAACTGAGCCTACCGACTGTTCAGAGGACATATATTGACTGCTAAACATCGACGAAGATGGGCTAATACAGTGCGGCGATGGCAGCGTGGGGATTGGCAACGCGTGGTCGTTACGGACGAAAAGTTAACCGTCGCAGGGGTGAACGCGCCGCTGCTATCTGCGTTCCAGAATCGTTCCTTACGGTGGAGGTGGCGTTATGGTGTGGGGTTGAATTTGTGGAGAACAGACAACGCCACTCGTAGTCATCATCGGAAACCGCAATGCGCAACTCCATAGAGATGACATCTTCCGTCCAGTAGTGCTGCCCTACCTCCAGCAACAACCCCGAGGTGTTTTGTACCAACACGACAAAGCCAAACCCCAGACAGCTCGTATCGTACAATGTAGTTAACTTCCTTGCCAACAACAACGTCAACATCTTACCGTGGCCGACATTTTCTCTTGACTTATCACCCATTGAACACCTTTGGGACGTCTTGGACAGGCGAGTTAGAGTCCGATCACACAACCTCCCGCCAACAGAGTTGATCGAGCTTTACAAGATAAATAGATCCACTTTCCACGTGACCTCATCAGACGTTTGACGTTTTCCGTCCGACGTAGTCTTTGCATGTATGGAGGCACGTGGTGGCCACATTCGGTATTAAAGTGACATATTTTGTGTCTGTGAGATCGAGACCACTTTCCGTGTTTGAATGAATTGCAGTAAAAATCTGGACAACTGTATTTTCAACTCCCACTGACTTTGTATGCTTGGTGTACACTATTTAACCACAAAATGTCAAGTTCGAGTTGTTCAATACTTTGTGGAATCGTTGGTTTATTACATATACTTTACCTCAAACTTTTGTTATTTTTAGTTTATAAATTACAGTCACTTCAAGCTGGTGCAAAGTTGCTTTTGCCGTTCAGTTTCTTCTCTGAGTGAATTTCAACTTCTTTAATCTGTCAATGCAACTTTTCAGAATAGATGCTTGTACTTGTATCATGTGCTATTGGCTTCGTACTTCAGCTTCTAAAATGTATATTAAAGATTATACCTGTAAGTGAACGTTTTTTACTCGGCAGTCGTCCGACGGCAAATAACCGTGGGCCCTACAAAAAGAGAGAGCGCAATGGTCCACGTCATCGAGGTGAATCATTGAAACCACACGAACCTGGGAGATAGCGACGAGAAGGGGGTACTATATGCCTACATATATTCTGCCTCGGCATCCCAGGGGAATAAGGGTCTCCACGTTTTACTTACATCTCTCCTGAAAGTTCACGTTACTTCTCAACATCTGACTCTTCAGGTCAGCAATAATTGTCGACGCATCGCATCCGGGTTCGCTGTAGACGCACTGCTGGTATTGGTAGTAGGACCTGATGTGAAAGATGAATATACACTCCTCACAATGAAACACTAGTAACCTAAACCTCGGATTTTAAAACACACACCAATATTGTAAATTGCTGAGGCTAAACCAATACCCATGCTGTAAGCTCTCGACAATGGAATGCACATATGACTTGTATCAGCTCCCAAGATTAATTAAGAAAACTAAGATAAACATTTAATAAATTAAATTTATACTATTTGCCGCCATGAACCCATATACTTCTTATCTAATCTCCTGGCAGTGGCATTTCTTAATATATCTCATTGTTTGAATATATGAAGAAAGACGAGACAACAACCAAAGCACTTTAGTTATTCATTATTAACATGAAAGAATGTCAGGGCGCTGCGGTAGCCTAGTGGCTGAAGCGTTCGCTCGTCACGCCGTGGACCCGGTTCGATACCCCACATGGGTACGGTCGTTGAAGCCCATTTCTGGTGTCCCTCAGCGTGATATTGCTGGAAGCGGCTTAAAACCATATTCACTGAAAGAATGTCACGCCACATCATTGTCAAGCAATGACCTCGTTCTCCTTCCGTAAATACAAGGAGAATCGTGACCATGTGTACAATATGCAGTCAGATTTCTCAGTTTACATACGATTGTGCCTGGTTCATGATATAATCAACAGCCCAGGTCTATACTCTCCGTTCATTGTACATGCAGCTGAAAGGGGTGGCCTGCTTGAATACCTACCTACATGGTCGTGTCCACATATAGTGAATGCTACGCCCAAGGATATGTGTATCAGTTTACACTGTAGTTCAACAAGCAGAACACTCTCCTTCTTCCAACAGATTCTTAGCTGTCTGTTTGGGAGTTTTGTTATGTGTTACATGTGATCAGTGTATTCATCATATTGAGTTATTACAAGCCCACTGAAACTATTCAATTTATACAAACAGTTTCATTCGGGGAATATAATTAAACTCAACTTTCTTCAGCAATGTATGAAGTGGGTACAAGCAACATCTATTATGGATAAGTTCATAAGGGGAAGCAAACATAAAATGTTATTCAATTCAATCAAATGCTTATCATGTGCCATGCATGTTAACTATGCGTATTTGTAATCCATCAGGCGTGTTGTGTGTGAGATAGCGCTTACAATAAATAAGGCATTTCAAAGTTTACCATTGAAACCTATTGACTTTCTAATCATGTGCCAATTTGGTTCAATTAACATTGTGTTATTACAAACTGCTTGTCATAACATAAACAAAAGCATATACCACATTTTTACAGGTTTAAGAGACTAATCATCTGTTATAACCAAATGGACAAAGGGTTTGTTTATAGTTCGCACAGATACAAGAGTTGTGAATATGTTATTCAAACTGTGGGGTGTCCAATTTGCTGTTTCATTGACATGAGGTTACCACCATGAATACTTAACTTACGACAAGCGCTCTCAAAGACTAGCCATTCCAAGTATATCTCAACTTACCATGACTTAACCAATATGCTATCTCAACTAACTATGACTTCACTAATAAGCTATCTCAACTGTCTATGACGTGAGCAATAGGCTATCTCAACTGACTATGACTTAACCAATAAGCTATCTCAACTGCCTATGACTTAACCAATAAGCTATCTCAACTAACTATGACTTCACTAATAAGCTATCTCAACTGTCTATGACGTGAGCAATACGCTATCTCAACTGACTATGACTTAACCAATTAGCTATCTCAACTGACTATGACTTAACCAATAAGCTATCTCAACTGTCTATGACGTGAGCAATACGCTATCTCAACTGACTATGACTTAACCAATTAGCTATCTCAACTGACTATGACTTAACCAATAAGCTATCTCAACTGACAATGACTTTACCAATAAGCTATCTCAACTGTCTATGACGTGAGCAATATGCTATCTCAACTGACTATGACTTAACGAATCAGCTATCTCAACTGACTATGACTTCACCAATAAGCTATCTCAACTAACTATGACTTAACCAATAAAATATCTCAACTGACTATGACTTCACCAATAAGCTATCTCAACCGACTATGACTTCACCAATAAGCTATCTCAACCGACTATGACTTCACCAATAAGCTATCTCAACTAACTATGACTTAACCAATAAAATATCTCAACTGACTATGACTTCACTTATAAGCTATCTCAACTGACTATAACGTAACCAATAAGCTATATCAACTGACTATAGCATAACCAATAAGCTATCTAAACTGACTATGACTCAACCAATAAGCTATCTCAACCGACTATGACTCAACCAATAAGCTATCTCAACCGACTATGACTTCACCAATAAGCTATCTCAACCGACTATGACTTCACCAATAAGCTATCTCAACAGACTATGACTTCACCAATAAGCTATCTCAACCGACTATGACTTCACCAATAAGCTATCTCAACCGACTACGACTTCACCAATAAGCTATCTCAACTAACTACGACTTCACTTATAAGCTATCTCAACTGACTATAACGTAACCAATAAGCTATATCAACTAACTATAACGTAACCAATAAGCTATATCAACTAACTATGACTTAACCAATATGCTATCTCAACTGACAATAGCATAACCAATAAGCTATCTAAACTGACTATGACTCAACCAATAAGCTATCTCAACCGACTATGACTTCACCAATAAGCTATCTCAACCGACTATGACTTCACCAATAAGCTATCTCAACCGACTATGACTTCACCAATAAGCTATCTCAGCTGACCATGACTTCACCAATAAGCTATCTCAACTGACTATAACGTAACCAATAAGCTATATCAACTAACTATAACGTAACCAATAAGCTATATCAACTAACTATGACTTAACCAATATGCTATCTCAACTGACTATAGCATAACCAATAAGCTATCTAAACTGACTATGACTCAACCAATAAGCTATCTCAACTGACTATGACTCAAACAATACGTATCTCAACTGACTATGACTTAACCAATATGCTATTTCAACTGACAATTAGGTAAGCAATACGCTATCTCAGCGACTATACCATTACCAGTACATGGATGTCCCAAATTAGATCTTTCATCACAAGGTTCATTTGTCATCTACATGGCACAATTTATTTATTCTAAAGTGATAAATACTTAAGTACCTCGATATTTGGTAAGAGTTCATGGATACTTTATTATCAATACATCTGTATTATGTGAGTTGGTAAGAAAAGTGAAACCACTACCTTTAAGGCGCTTCGCGAATCTGTGATTTTATACATGGGGAAAACACGTATAGCGAACTAACTACTATACCCATATGGACGATGTCAGTATCAAAATGTAGCGCGGAACACGGGCTTTCCAACGGGATTATAAAATATATACAATGCTGTGTACAATTATTGAGGAGGCAAAAGTGATCATAAATACATGAGAAATATACGAGTGTGCATATAAATTCCCCTAAAGTTTGAAAGTCATACATAGTTACAAAAACATTTTCAACACAAGAATAAGGTAGCGAACAGGTAAAGGAGATAACATACATCAAGTCAATACATGGTATGAGTGTGCCAGTTTATCACAAGTTATGAATTAGTCGGGTCACCAATTCTCTAACCTAGAATGCTATGACATTGAACGACGACCGCGGAGCGGTTACTAGACCGTGGTAAGGGTAGATTTAATGACCCGGTGACCCTGGTATCTCAAGTCTGTTTAAAAAATATTAGAAATGACATTACCTGCAGACCATAGTGTTGTCATTCAAGTTGCTGAATACGTCCACGGTGAGTTTGTTGGTGCAATTAGTGATCTTGTTGTAGTTGCATGAACTCTGCCCATCACAACTGGGCAGAGAAGCTAGAAGAACAAGTAAACAAGTATATAATCCATAGATCTGACTGTTCTTAACACTTAAAAGTAGCGTTTATGTCATAACAATGTAAGCATTATACATTCGGGCGCTGGTATCTCGAAGCGGGACCGTGTTGTAACTTCGAGATATCCGGACATTCGAGATAGCGAGGCAAGTATAGGTATCATAGATCCATAGCAATACGATTGCATAACACGAGAAATTACGAAAATGTACATGCAATGATAAATTGAAATGTATTTAGCTATTTTTCATGTGTATTACACGTAGGATTGGCATATACAACGTGTACCCTGGGCAATGTCGTAAATACAATCCATCACTCCCGACGTAGTCATAATAAGGAAATGGTTTACGCAATATTAACTACGCATAGGGCATTCCAGTTATTCAATGTTCGAGTACATGGTCAAATTATGGTGTCCACTGAGTATTGACAGTGGCTGAACGAATACTTCAAATAGCAATGTAAGTTTGCAGCAATTTTAGACGACAGTGTGAGTAAAGGTACTGGATATATCTGGGAGTGAAGTGCTTATTTGCGCCTTTAAAAACTGTTAATTTGGCAAATGCCAACTTGGAGATGAAGGTACGACATTCTGAAAAATCAAAGCTGGGACCGAGAGCAATGTTCGAGATAGAGAAATGTATTTTTATCTCGAATTCGAGACAAGCGATCTCATTTATAAATTATGTATTAATATAGAGATATGGTACTGACCGGAGAAGGGTCGAGGTATCGGTTCTGGAGATAACGGGTCCGACTGTAGTTCAGAAGAGCTACCATGTACCCCAACAAGTGAGTGAGTGAGTATGTTTTTACGCCGCTTTTAGCAATATTCCAGCAATATCACGGCGGAGGACACCAGAAATGGGCTTCACACATTGTACCCATCTCGGGATTCGAACCCGGGTCTTCGGCGTGACGAGCGAACGCGTTAACCACTAGGCTACCCGACCGCCCCTCTACCGATTAGTAGAAAGGAACAAGATTATGTTCTGAAAGTTTATGTACCTGACCTGACACTGGATATCATGTAAATAATTAATTATTCGAAAAGTACATGTAGATAAACGCACTTATTATTCTATTGACTATGTTTGATTGACTACAATTACCCAACGAATTCAAGAGAGAAGTCAGATTGTCTCCTAACCCACAAACCCCCATCCCGACGTCGACTCTGAGCCTATTTTTTCCTTCTCCAAATGAATAAGTTGAACATGTATTCTAATAATACAACATACACATATATAAAACAAATGTTTAATATACTAATCAACATGATTCGAAATCTTACCCGCAAGAAAGAGGAATATGGCAATCGCTCCCTCCATGTTGCCTGTATAAGACTGTTATGGTTGCTGTTACGCCTCTCCTTGCCTTTACCTCCCTTAAGAAAGCCACACCTGAGTGCACATTCATTGTTAGCGGTCGCTATTTACACATACATCCGTACATTATAACGAAACGTGTTTGAAAGGATATACCTTGCCTCGCCAGTCAGACTGGTGCTTCTGAATATTCGTTCAACCTCGCATCCATTGTCAATATTATTTGCAGCCCTCCGTACCAGTGGGCCAGGTTCTCACACGCCCTAGTTACACATGTCGGTATAAAGGATACATACTCGTGTTGAAGATGTGAGGACACCCTTTTCACAACTTGTGAACAAATGTATCTTGGCACACTTTGTCAAAAAGGAAGAGCAGCAGAGAGCCACATGACATAGTTTCGATAAAGTGTGACATATGCATATATTGAGTATGAGGTTGGATATGAAGGCGAAATGTATCAGGAACAACCATATGTTCTCTGTTCTGCTGGGTCCTGAGCATTGATTGACTCTAACCAAGGAGGGGAGGTAAACCGTTAGAAATATATAGGCAAGGAAGACAGGGGGGTCATCACCGTCGGGTAGAACAGATCAATGTGAAAGTCGTTGTCAGATTGGTTCCCAGGCAGGGTGTGAATGTTATTGTGTGCATTTGTACACTAACGACGGAGAATGGTGAAATATGTTGACTAGAATTTCTTGTTCAATTCATACTTGTTTGGAGAAACACATGGCCTCCTTTTAAATAAAGCGACAAAACCCTTTCCACATCCAAAAGAAATCTCTACATAAAGCAGAGTCGATTGCACGATGCCGACTATATCATGAGCATGTGTTTATAAATTACTGACAGTGTCAAATAGCGATGATATCAGAATCAGACAAAAATCCTTTTTCTACCTGACAGTGTTAAAACGATTCCTCCCTGGTGGTTGCATGCTCACGAGTATTAATTCTGCATTCTACATTTCTCATCATATTTTCTGAAAACGTAGTCTTATACAGAAAGATTAACACCACTTTATTGCATTACTTTAACACAACTGTATAAATCTGACATATGATGACGCCATATCTGACCTATAAAAAAATAAAATATATTTATACACTTTTCACAAGGCCCCAACCTACTTCAAATATACTGAACCACAAAAGAAACGTCACCCCTAGTAATATTGCATGAAAAGTTGTCATTTAAATATTTGGGTAATTTTTGTCAAAGTTTCTAAAATTTAACATTACCTTGTCCGGAAAAATGAAATTTGATGATAAAACAACAAAGCAGGTGACAATAAAACCGATCGCCCAAACGCATCACGGCAACGGCCATGGTAACCCTATGCACGTGAGTCCCATGCAAATTGAAATACACAGTCATGCTTATTCTGACAAATAAGGTTTCTCATATATCTATCCATGGTGACGTTTCTTTTGCGGTTCAGTATATATATATACCTATATACCTATTGTTATGATACCTATTAACCAAATATAGAGGTTAGGCCCTGGTTAATATGTAGCATAATTTCATAAGGCAACGTTGAACTTCGGGTCAGAATAGGCCCCATTTATGTAGGCCCTATTCATGTTGTGCGTTTTTTAAAAGCCCCGTGAAATCGCCGGAATATGACTGACCGGGACGCTCAACAACATTCATTCAATCATTTAAAGCGGTAGCGGACATTATGAAATGGTTCTAAACAAATGTCCGATGTAACAAGTCATTGTTTCGGAGGATTGTCTTGTGTGTATGAACGTCACACGCCTAACAGTAATCGTAAGTATTGCACAGATTATGCGTGTTTGTTTGTTTGTTTGGTTGTTTGTGCACAGGCACTCAGCAATAGTATAACCATAGTGAAGACGCTCTGTAAATAGTCGAGTCTAGACCAGACAAATATTGACATCATCAGCATCTATCTACGCAATTGAGATAACATGATATGCGTCAATGAAGTCAGCGAGCCTGACCCCCCGATCCCGCCAGTCGCCTCTTATGACAAACATGGGTTGCTGAAAATAAATAAACATTGCATGAAATGAAATTTATACAATTTGCCGCGATCAAACCAGAGATAACTTATCCAGTCTCATGGCAGTGACCTATTCTGGACAGATTCTGGATCCTGGGTAAATGAGGTCCTTCCTGACTGGGTGCGACTGTAGATGCATACGTACAGAGTTTACTTGACAGATACATTTATAAATGTAGTTACAGGTAAACTACACAATTACACGACATGGGACAAGGTATGCGGTTTAATTTATGTACATATCAACTTATACCCAGGTAGTTACAGCAGAATAACAGTACGTCCTCCCGAAAAGAAAATACTTGTTTATTGGCACGACTTACTATGATTTAACACATCTAAGTAGAAACGTATTGGAAAGAGATTGAATACGGATTGAATAAGGATTGTTGGTGTACTTTAGGACACAAAACGCGTATACATTATGCGCAGTGGCGGTTTTATAAAAGCTAGAAAAGAACTGCTAAGTCACGTTAGTTATTACATGAGCATGTATAGATACAGGTTTATTTGTGAATTTGCTTTTATGCTCGGTCACAAAATGTGTTTCTAAACGTCAAGCTCTATCCTGTGAAGCACGGTAGAACTCATATAGATGAAACTGTTCCCATGAGTTGAGTTTGTTGTTTAACGCCGCACTCAGCAATATTCCAGCTATATTACGGCGGTCTGTAAATAATCGAGTCTAGACCAGACAATCCACTTATTGACATCATGAAGACAGATCCACGCCATTGGGATCGATGACATGTATCAACCAAGTCAGCGAACCTGACCACCCGATCCCGTTGGTCGCCTCTTACGACAAGCATAGTCGCTTTTTACGGCAAGCATGGGTTGCTGAAGACCTTCCCCGGGTCTGGACGAGTCTGTTCTTATGAATGCCCGCTGAATAACAGTATATGGGGTGTGCATGTAAAAAACACATGATCTCATGTTTGCGTTCAAATACAAATAAACGAGTGTATAAACGATTTGGGTCTCTACTTTGTGTTACAAAAATACAGGGCTCCATACACTTTTTACTGAATTTATTTGCTTTTGCGATACCTTTAATAAGGACGTTGTATTGCTGACGTGTATTCCACTTGACGTATTTATGCCACGTGTCAGTTTACGCCTTCCAGGCTTTTAGTGGGACTCGATGACTATCTTTAAATACAGACTTGATCATTGCTCGTAGACCCTGTACATATCATTCTCTCTTCCCTTACACCGCCTCCGTGGTCTAGTGGTAGAACTTCCGCCCGCAGAGCGGAAGGTCCGGGGTTCGATCCCCGGCCGCGTCATACCAAAAGACGTTAAAAGATGGTACTTGTTGTTACCCTGTCTGGCGCTCGGCATTAAGGGGCTAAAACAACGACTGGTCGGCTCGGAGTCAGTATACTGTGTCTGAGTGGAGTATTCGTTTTAAATTGCGGCATGGTATATCAGTGGGCTATAAATCGGCATCAGTCCGGACTAGTACAAGCAGCAACACACACACACACGTACATGCACGTCGCTATATAAGTGCAATAATCTTGGACGCGTCGTTAAACCCAATTTCACCTCACCTCGAGCTCCCTTACTGTAATGTAAGTACACTAGTACCGACATTGCGCAACCCCGGGGGCTTGTGCGGTTTTTATTCTATGTGTGTGACGCTTGGGTTGAGTTGAATAATGACTGGATTCACACGTTCACATTCCCAGCCATCGCGGGACCGCCATCGCACCTTTAGGGTATGTCGAAATATGAACACGTGACGGGGCGTAGAGTCATGAGAGGATTAGTCACAAGATACAGCGTCACCGGGTCAATGGGTTCTGGTGTTGCAATATCAGTTTTATTCCGTTGTATTTCAAGTGGGTTGTGCAATAAGTCGAATAATGTCTATCCCGTAAAAAGAAATATTCACTTCATGATCACGGGAGAGGCATACAAGATGATAAATAAGTTCAAGGTCATGGAAGTTTTTTCTCTAGTCTTGTGATGTTTTTGTGTCAAAGGTGGGAGCTAATGGATGTTTTTTGTTGGTTCACTCCCAATTGTCAGACGTCCCATTTGTCAGACTACCCAGTTGTCAGACAGACCAGTCAATTGTGACGAGTATAGCTGCCTGGTCTTACCTACTAATTAATGAGCTGCTCCCAACTGTGGGCGGACGATGCGACTCCAACCCCGAAGTGATACATATTAACAAGATTATGATTGTGTTTGTAAGTTGCTGTTGATCTGTGTCGGGTTGCGGGTGTTTTATTAGCAAAGATTTGGAGAAGTCTTTTTCCAATGATATAGAATACAGGAAACTCAGTGAAGATTAACAAACAATGTTAAATACAATATTAGGTAGAATAGTACACATGAAATAGATTAATCTTCTCCATAACCCGAGTTTTATCTCAAATATCGTATAGGTACCGTCTCATGTAGTCTCCACCAAAAGCCAAACTAATACACATATGAAAGGAAAGTTGAAATTGCAAATTTCACGCCTCAGACTCGGTCACAAAAAGCACTATGAAAAGGTTTGTCCATCTTCAAATCAACCTGAATCCATTGCTCACTTAACTTGTAACTGGAATGCCCGGGCTTGGTTAAAAAAAGAATTGCACTTAGACCCGCTAGCTCACAATAGATATGTGTACCCTACTCACACACAGGAGTCCCAAAGAGGGACAGGTCAGCCGAAATTGTTTAGGCAGAAGGCGACCTCTTAAACACTTAATGCAACAACAACAGACCCTGTCATAGATCTCCTAAAGCCAAGAGATGCAATAGGGAGGCCAAACTAAGTCTATTTCTGAGAGATGGACAGCTACTCGGACGTATATAAACAGAGCAGCCAAAGATAAAAATGAAATTATATCAATATACGAAAATAGAAATCATATCAATACAAAAACAGAATTTATGTGAATACCAAATTTACAATAGATATGCGTACCCTACCCTACTGTTGAACATTTGGTGAAGCTGAGCTGACAACAGCCATTGTACAGAACTGTGATCAGTGTGTGTTGTGTATATGTGTACCCTACCCTACTGTTGAACATTTGGTGAAGCTGAGCTGACAACAGCCATTGTACAGA